GGGTTCCGCACCTTGGCCCGACTCACTGGTCCCAGCAGTAAACCGCGGCCTGGCCCCATGCGAGGGAGAGTGTTCCACCAGGCTGGGATGGGGTTCTGTGCCCCTCCCTCTCTTTTTACCCCACCCTGGCTACACCTGTATGTGCCACACACACCCAGTGTGCACCTTCCTCCTCGGTACACCTGTCAGCCACACACTGAACTGTACTAAGCCAGTCATCCAGTGACCTCCCAGAACCCCCACCTATCAGCTCATGAGGCTTTTGGGGTATGTCTATGTATAAGTCATAACAGTGATTGTACCTATTGTGTATTTCTGATAAGCTGAGCTGGTGCTTTGGGTCAACTTGTATGTTTCTTGTTTGGTTTACTCCTACTCGGATGCGCTTGGTTGCTATTGTGAAGATTTTTAATGCACACTTACCCTGTGGTGTCAGTGTCATGAATTACAGTTTTTATAATCCAATTAACTATAGGGGAAGACTCGGTAACTGTGAGTCAGCCGTGTGCTGGTGCTTTTAGCTCCATTTCATCTACTTTGCAGCACAGAAATGGACTCAGACACACCATTTCACTTTTCTAAACAAATGGCAATGCCTGAGGACAACTTTGGTCATCACACCTGGGAGGGAGATAGCTACTGGTACAGTGCTTATAATGAAAAGGGAACAGGGATGCTGCTAAGCATCCTACAATGCACAGAACAGCTCACATACACACACAAAAGAAGGACTCAGCCCTAACACTGAGTCCAGTCCATTACCTCTTGGTCCTCAGGGAATTCCTCTTCTGTTGTTGTTGTTGTTTTTTGTTTTGTTTTGTTTTGTTTTTGTTTGTTTGTTTTTTTGTCTTTTTGAGACAGGGTCTCACTATGCAGTTCAGGCTGGACTTGAGCTCACTTTGTAGCCCAAACTGGTCTTGAGTCTTGAACTTGCAACAATCCTCCTGCCTCAGCCTCCTGAGTTCTGGGATTACAGGCATGTGCCACCACACCTGGCTCAATTCCTCTGCTTTTTAAGGTGAGCACATGACTGAGATAATCAGTCTGAAATAAAAGTGCCTCTTTCTTCTCTGCTTCCTATGGTTTATATCTAAAATGTCCCCCCAAAGCCCCATGCAATCGCAGGTGGGGCTTTGGGGTGGCCAGATCATGGGTGTGTGACAGCTGGCTTAGCCCACTAACTGGTTTGGCATAGTTCTGGGTGTGGATAATGGGAAGGCCCACCCTGGGTTTGGCTAGCACTATCCAATAGGCTTGCACCTGGATGAGACAAAAGGGAAAGGAAGGCTCAATGCTCACCGCCTCCTTGCTGTGGGCTGTTTCTCCCCTGCATGCCTCTCTGCCAAGCCCCTGCCTTGGTGCCAGCCAATTATAGACTGAAACATCTACAAACTGAGCCAAAATAAACCACTCTTCCTTTAACTGGTGGATGTCAGGTATTTTGTTCCAGCAAAGAGGAAGTAACTAAGACATCACTGGACAGAAATAAGAAAGGAAGTGGCCCATGCTGGCCCAGGTGGCCCTACTGTGACCTCCAAAGGCCTTGTATTATTTCCCATTCGCTGCCCTAACAAATTACCACCAATGTGGAGGCTTATCCTTCACATTCTATCACAGTTCCAGAGAATACAAGACTGAAATCAAGGTGTCAAGAGGGCCATACACCCTCCAAATTTCTAGGGGAGATCTGCTCCTTACTTTCCGCAGCTCCAAGGTTTCCAGATGTTCTCTGACACAAGGCCACATCACCTAGTTTTCAGCCTCCATCTTCAGGAGCCTCAACCTTCAGGGGTATCCTCCTCTATCATCTTCCTATTTTCTTATCTTAGTTACTTTTTCTCTCATTACTAAGACAAAATACCCAACACCCAGAATTAAAGGAGGAAAGGTTTTTTGGCTGAGTTTGTAGAGTTTTCAGTCCATAGCTGGCTGGCTCCAAGGCATGGCAGAGAAGCATCACAGAGGAGAAGCAGCACAGCAAGCAGATAGGGGAGAGCCCATTAGCCCTCTTTCTGTCCCTTCTGTTGCAGGCAGGCTACTTGTCCTAAGGCAAGTGTAGCACTCACACCCTTAATCCTAGCCAGAAGGACATCAAAGCAATCAGTGGATTGATTCAGTAATCACACACCCTTGGACCTAGCACCACACACTGTAGATCCAGCCACCTCTGAAAAGTGCTGCCCCCATGACTCCATCAGACTTTTGGGGGACATGTAGGCACAAGCCATAACATCATTCATCATCCATGTCTTATAAGGACAGGTGCTGTCAGCCTACCCAGATAATCTAGGAGGACTTCATCCCAAAATCCTTAACTTGGTCCATGTTGTGGTTTATGTGGTGGCTCCCAGGCCTCATGTGTTTACATTATGCATCTGTGATTAAGTTCATTGTATAGTGCTTGGATTGATGGTGTCAGTGCTATACCCACCTAGGGGTGGAGCCAGGATGTGATGTAATGGCAGGAAGAAGGCGTGCCTCCCTCTCTTGCCAGTTTCTGCCTCGCTGTTTGCAGCCGCCATGACCTGCGGATCTGCCCCGCCACCCTGTCTTGGGGCCAACTGTGAATAGACTGAAAAAAACTGTAAGACTCAAAAAAACTGTAAGAAATAAACCTTTCCTTTCCCAACTTTGGGTGTCAGGTATTTTGTCTCAGCAACCAGGAAAAAGTAACTAAGACAGTCCCAAATTGGGCCACCTTCCCAGGTAGCAAAGGTCAAGATTTAGACCAGTCTTTTAGGGGTCACCATTCAACCCTCTACAAACGCCCAGGCTTGGAATGAAGGGCACACCCTGGTAGTGCTCAAAGAGACAGGAAGAAGCTACAGAATCCTTAGCCTGCCTTGCCTCTGGACTCCTACTTATGGGACTCAAGGTTCCCTCATGTAAGCCTGAGGTCGCGTTCAGTATACCACAGTCCATCTGATGTGGGTCTAGCTCAAATGACCAGACCAGCTGACCTGACGCTCCCTGAAATGCCAAGAATTAACCCCTTTACTCACTGATCAGGGAGAGATCCAAAAAGACCTAAGGAAGGACCCAGAGGAAGACACTCACCGGGCTCAGGGCGGTGACTGTTCACTCAAAGGGCTTAACAGTGTTATCACTGGCAAAGCTGAACCAGGGCTTGTCTCCAGGACCAACACAGCTTACCTGCTCTGGTGTCCCCGTCACCACCAGCCCAAGGCAGCCAGGCCAAACTCCCTGGTTCACATCACAGTGTGAAGTTCTGACTCCAACTTCATTTTCTTTCTATGACTAATCACAGAAAGCATCTTCCATGTTGAGTTTCTCAAATGTTTACTGCTTTGCCACCACCTCCTCTCTGTTTTGTTTCAGGTGGGTTTTTTGGTTGGGGGGAGGTGGTTCTTGTACCAGAAATTGAACTCAACACCTTGCACTTGCCAGGCAGGCACTGCGCTGCTGAGCTATATCCCTGAATTTCAGGTGGATTTTATCATCTTTTATCTCTTCTGAGGGTACAGCTAGGTTTGCACCACCCCAAAGCACTCGGTTGATGAGTCAGCGTTTGTGGTATTTGGAGTTTCTTGCTTCAGGAAAGGAGGCAGATGTTGGTTGAGGTTTGTGGTTAGAATTAGCCACACTTCACGTCTACATAAACAATAAATCTCCATGTGATCGGCTGCCCTGGTGGCCTGGCTTCACCCTGAATTAAACACCAACTCCAGACAGTGGCTATGGGATGAACTCAACCACAAGTAAAATACAAGATGTGACTTAGTACAGTCAATGTTAAGCAAAAAGACACATTGCCATTAATTTCTCCCAAAATCCTCCCACTCATTTTGTAATACTCTTGTGGTTCTTGACACTTTCTGAAGCATTGCCTGAGCATCTTTACAAGGCATGATCAAAAATATGATGAATATTTCGATCCCCAGTACCAAACCAAAAAAAAATATGATGAATGTTGCTTTGGGCACCATCCAACAGAAAAGCACTCGTGAAAACATGGTGCCATGCCCTCACCCACCGCATTCACTGGATCTGGACTGTGTGACTTCCAGCTCTTTCCAAAGTCAACCTACCATGAAAGGTAAATGTTTTAAATCAGTTCAGTACACCGAGGCAGCCAATAGATGTGTTTCTGAAACTTGTTTTTCCATGTTCCCCTGGTACAAAATACACATTTAGATAGGGAGCAGAGGACAGATGATAGAGAAATGAAGATAACAGATAGAATGGGGGAGACTGAGAGAGACGAGAGGAGAGGAACATGAGACCAAGGCATCACTGTGCTGGACTGGCTCTTGGGATGGCCACAGGACTCCCACCTCCTGGATGATCCCTTTCTTTAGCTGAAATTTGCTCCTAACCAGTGAGATACAATGTGTAACTTACATGGTGACTGATGTGACCGTTTCTCCTAGGTGGCGATTAGCTGGATTCTCTAAGGGGTAGCTGTCCCCATGGCAACTGGCTCTATAGGAGCAGCCAGCAGGAGCCAGGGAGAGCCAGCAACACAGATGTCAGACACGGTCCTTCTCATGCTGTTCTGCTGTTGAAGCAGGTCCTAGGTCCCCCCACAACACACTCAAAGGTAGGGAATGACAGAGAGCAGGAGCACAGTGTTATGATTTGTGTTTGGATGTCCCACCAAAGCCTCACGTGGTCATGGGGATGGGCCTTTCCAAGGCAGTTGAGTCTAGCATTTGTGATTGGTTTCTTGTCTAGTTCTGGGATTAGTGGTGTAAGTGCTGCCCCACCTAGGGGCAAGGAGCCAACATACAACATATGGGAGGGAAGGAGGTGTGCTTTCCCCTTTTTACCCTTGTTGCTTGCAGCCACCATAAGCGGCTGCCCCTCACACCACCCTATCTTGGAACCAAGTATGTGTGAAACCTCCAAAAAATGTAAGCTAAACAAATCTTTCCTTCTTTCATTTTAGAAAAAGCAACTAAGACACACAGGGAGGAGAGTATCACTGATGGCTAAGGAGGAAGCTCCCTGCCAGTCAGGTTACCCCAACATGCTCTCCACCACTTAGGTCACGTGTGGTAACAGAAGAAAAATGTGTACTCTCGCCAGCTCTGTCCAGGTGGCACAGGGAAGCACAGGGTTCTGTCCCACAGTGTGCAGTCCCTTTCCACGTTGGAAAAGCCACTGTGTCTGTGCCTGTGTATTCCTACAACTTCTCAGAGCCTTTGGGCAATGACTGAGGAGATAAACTATGCAGGAAACAATATAAAAAGATAAAAGAAATGAAAAATGAGCATAACTTTGTAAAAGTGAACCCTTGGAAATGGCCTCTATGTCCACCAACAGATGAATGCATAAAGAGAATTGTGATATTTATACCCAGTGGAGTACTACTCTGCCATAAATAAGGATAAACTGGAGTCATGGGTAGGGAAATGACCCAGCTTGAGACCCTAATGCTAAATGAAATAAATCAGACACAGGCTTGAATGTCATACCATTTCATTTATATGAGAAACCCAGAGTAAAACAAAAGCTAAATAAAAAATAGATAACAGGAAATAGAGAGACCTTTTGCAAATAGGAAGGGGATGAAGAGTTGGAGGCAGAGGCAGGGAAAGAGGTCAAGGAGATGAAAAGCCAAGTTAAGATGTGTGGTGTCCATGTCCCCATTCCCCATGAGGAATGTGATCACTGTGTCCTGCAACAGGTACTGATGGAAAAAACGGAAAAGCAAAATGAAAGTGAACTGCATTTATAAAGCTTTGGGTGGCCATCCAGGCCTGCTCTCTGGGGCTGCCAACACCTAGTGCCGTAGGCTGTCCTATGTGTCACACAACACTACACCATGTCCCCACCTCCCCCTAGATCCCAACACTTTTTTTTTTCTTGTCCATTTGAAACAGGGTTTCACTATGTAGTTCAGGCTGGCCTTGAACTCACTTTGTAGCCCAGGCTGGTCTCGAACTCACAGTGATTCTCCTGCTTCAGCCTCCCAAGTGCTGGGATTACAGGTGTGCAACCCAGCATACAGATCCCAGCACTTTTTTACACTTGGTTACTGAGCACCTTGGAGCACCCTTACCTCTATGGCTCAGCAAAAGCCCACCTGACCTCACCCTCACCGTGCCCAGCTCTAACACATCTGTCCTGAAGATGCCCAGTCTGGGAGCTAGGCGGCTTCCACCTCCAGGAGGGGCTGCGTGGTCTGCTGCTCTGCTAATGGTGAGTCGGTGTCTGTGAGTCCTACATGAGTAGATGCATGAGGGTGCACTCCACTCACTTCCCACACATGGAGGGAAACAGAACCCGTGATTCTGGTAGTTTTGGGGGGTTTTATTATCGAAGAGCACATCCTAGAGCCTGAGGGAAGGTGGTGACACAGGCAGGCACAGTGAGTAGGCCAGGGTCTGTGCCAGCCTCCCTGGGGAATCCCAGCACCACAGTCTGACTCTGGCCCAGAAGCCCCCAGTAAACTGCAAATAGGTACCAGTGCCCACCTCAGCCAGCAGAGCTCACCGACCACACCGCCCAAGGGCAATCACCACAGTGCACATGGCAGGAGCAGGGACCCAGGCTCAGAGAGACACAGAAGACACATTCACAGACGTGTACACAGCCCACAGCCCCAAGTCAGGTGCCCACCAGTGGTCCAGTCTGCTGTGCTTGGCTACTGGTGAGGGGGCCAACACTGCCCCTAGAGGACAGTGCAGGCATAGCAGCCTCCATCCCTTGTCTTTTAAATTCATGTGGTGCCAACACTGCCCCCAGAGGACAGTGAGGGCACAGCAACCAAGCCCCTGGCGCTGAGGCTCACAGGGCCCATTCTGCCCCCAGAGGCTGATTAAGTTGTGGCTGTCAGCATCCTTGATCTTGCCGCTCTACACTGGAGAATGAGGGGGCTTTCAAACCTGTTCCTGAGGTTATCTGGGGCAGGACTGTCCCTGTGTGGGGAGGTTCAGGGGCCACGTCCAAACCCACGAGGTGGGCACTCTCAGCCCAAAGCCTCTGGGCTACCTCCTCATCCTCAGCCTCGGGGGCTGGAGCCTTTTCTTTGAGTCCATCAAAGTACTTCCCAGAAACACCCTCCAGTTCCTCCGCCACCGCCAGGTAGGTGCTGGGCTGGGCCGCCAACTGGGGGCTCTTCACCAGCAGCCAGAAGACAGGCCCTGAAATGAACCCAGAGCCTTCAGTCCACACACCCAGGAGAGTACAGAGCCCAGCTCCAGCCTCTGGGAGGCCTTCGTCCTGTGGTTCCTCCTCCAGACAGTGCCCTCCCACACGCAGGGACCAGCCCAAATGCCTAGCTTTCCCCAAGAAAGGAAAGACCTTACTCCTCTTGGTCAGGCTACCCCTTGGTCACCTACCCCATCTTTCCTTAAAATAAATTTTTACAGAGCCCACCTGGTGGCAGTCACAGCTTATTATTGTTGATACCTAGCATACACCCACTAGATGTTTCTCAGGATCGTAAATATTAGCTCCAAGTTCTAGTTATTTGTTCAGCTTAGCTCTGAGTCAGGCGCTGTTTTACGGGAGGTCTTATCTACTCCTCCCAATGGCTGAGCTGGATCCCACTGTGGCCCTCACAGTACAGATGAGGAAACTGCAGCATAAAGTGGGAAACATTTCCCTCAGGTGGCTCAGCTAGTCTGGGGTGAAGCTAGAGTCAGCCCATGTACAACCTGACTCCAGGAACCAGCTCCCTCACTTCCTCAGCCCCTCCAACGGCCATGGGGCTCTGGCCTGTTCCCTGTGGCTGTCCTCAGGCTGCCAGGCCAGATCAACAGAACAGTGACTCACTCTCAGCACACAAAGACACAGAGGAGGAGGCAGAAAGAAGTAAAGCCAGGGATGTTCAGAGGGAGAGCTCCAGGACCCACGTAAGCAGGCAGGGCAAGGGCTCACCAAGTGTGAAGCTGGAGAAAGTGGAGTTGTGCATGCCAGTGTGTCTGCCCAGCTCTGTTCTGGCCACGCCAGGATGCACAGCATTGACGGTCACACCAGTGCCTGGAACACACAAGAGTGGAGGATGCAGGAGACAGATACGGGGTGCACGCCTTACCCAGAAGGCTGCTGCAGCCCATACCACGCTGTGGGGCTTCCCCATCCCATGCTGCCTCCCACACTTGAATGGATACCATTTCTTGCTCTGAAGCTTCAGCGTCAAATGGCTTCATCCTACGAGGCAGCTGTGCTCCAGAGCAGAGCTTCCCTGAGCCTTGATAAACTCAGTCTGGGGCTCCACTACCCCAGAGAAGCAGGGGGCCAGGGTGGGGTCTACAACGCAGCAATTGTGACCAGCCCTCAGGTGAGCCGCCCTGCTGAGCCAGACTACCTAAGAGATGCAGGGACCTAGAGCAGCTCTCAGCCTCAGCACTATGACCCTGTGGGAGGCAGGAACACCCAATGCATAGCAGGAAGCTAAGCAGCATCCATGGATTCAACCAGGATGTACCCAGGAGCAACCTTGTCCCTACCCAGATATGATAATCATGTTTACAGATGCTGATACTTGTCTGCTATGGACCAAAATCACTCCCAGTTGAGAACTACTAGCTAGGAACACAAGGCTTAGATGGCCATCGAGGAAATGCAGAGAAGGCTGCCCAGTGAAGGACGAAGAACATCATTAGAGCAGTGATTGATTAGTGATGCCTGAATTAAGCGGTTGGAAGGGAGAGCCATGGTACAAGTGTCATCTTTGTCTACTCTGTCCAGAGCCAATATGCTTGTCCCTTTCTCAGCAAGGAACATGGAAGGGACATTCCAGGCTCAGAGAGGGGGCTGTAGAAGGAGAGCAGCGAGGCCCCTCATATACCTTGCAGTCGCCGGCTCAGCTCCTTGGTGAAGAGGACAACAGCCAGCTTGCTCTGACAGTAAGCAGCCTTGGTGTTATACTTCCTCTTCTGCCAGTTCAAGTCATCGAAGTCTATGTGCCCAGCAACATGTGCCAGGGATGAGAGGTTGATGACCCGAGACGGGGCTGAGGCTTTCAGTTTGTCCAGCAGCAAGTTTGTCAAAAGAAAATGACCTGGATGAAGGACAACAAGAACTGTTCTGTACATTTTTCTTCAAAGTAGCTGTTCACCTTTCATTCCTGTGAGCTCCCATATGTGCCTCCTGTTCCTCTACACACCTGCCAGTATTTGTTACTATCTTCATAGCTGTTCCAGTGGAGGTGAAATGGCATCTCATTACGGTTTTAATTTGGCTGATTTAAATAATTTTTAAGCCGGGCGTGGTAGCTCCCACCTGTAATCCCAGCACTCGGGAGGTTGAGGCAGGAGGATCCTTGTGAGTTCGAAACCAGCCTGAGCTACAAAGTGAGCTCAAGGCCAGCCTGAATTGCATAGAAAGACCCTGTCTCAAAAAGATAAAAAAATTAAAAATAAATAATTTTTAAATTGAGAAATATAGATTATGTATGTTTATAGTAAACAACATGATGTTCTAATATACACAAACACTGTGGAATGGCTAATCGAGTTAATTAGCATATGCAGAGACTAAGTCAGGTTAATTAGCATACATATATACTAAGTTAATTAGCATATGCACATACTATGCCAGGTTAATTAACATATATACATACTAAGTCAAGTTAATTAACATATGAACTTACTAAGACAGGCATGGCAGTGCACATCTGTGATCCACCTCAGGAGCCTAAGGCAGAACTTGCCTAAGACTTCAAGTTCAAGGCCAGCCAGGTCTATACAGTACCTAGGAGTGGGATTTTTATTGGGTATCTTGTTACATGCTTAGGCCTGTGAGAATACTGCACTCCCAATGATGTACATTTCTCAATTACAGGCAATTTTGTTCCTCAGAGGACAATGGGCAATGTCTGGTGACATTATGAGTTATTACAACTGCAATAATGGGGTGAGAACACTTCAAACCTATTGGCATCTAGTTAGACAACAGGAGTTCACTACTGGTATCTGGTGGGTGGGGTCAATGGGTACCACAAAATACCCTACCATGCCCAAGACAGTCAGCAGGCCCCATGAAGACTGTTGGGTCATGCAATAACCCCATGAGGCCATCCAGAAATGAGACAACCCTCTGTGTCAACATGTCATTTTCAGCACTAGAATTTTTAACCAGACACAAGATGCCCAGTGAATGAATGACTACATTTCCCAGACTCCCTTGCAGTTATGCAAGGTCATGTGTTTGAATCCAGCAGATATAAATGATAATAACCTGTGTCATGGATTAGCCATGTCCCCTACAGGGAAAAAAAGAAATGTAGAAATGCTAATTGGACAGTGGGTCTTTAAAAATGTCATCAGGTTAAAACGGAGTCATCAGAGTCAGCCCTAAACCAGTACATAAAGGGTCCCCCTCGGCCACCAGGCATGCCTTAGGGTTAGCCTGCAATCCCAGCTACTCAGGAGGCTGAGGCAGGAGGGTCAAAAGTTCGAGGCCAAACTGGGCAAGTCGTGAGATCCTGTCCCAAAATGTCTGAAAAAGGGAGGTGGACAGTTGGGGATGTAGCTCACTGGCAGAACTTTTCCTAGCTAGCATGAAGCCTTGGGTTCCGTTCTCAACACTGTAAAAGTGAATCAATAAATAAAAGATGCCCCATTTGGGACACAGAGCACATACAGAGAGGAGGAAGGGAGATGAAGGCAGAGAGCTATCGGGTGATGCAACTGCACGCCAGGCAAAATCAAAGCTTTCCTGAAACCCACAGAAGCTAGGGAGAAGCCTGGATCAGCCCCAGAAAGAGCCAGCCCTGTTGGAACCCTGAGCATGAATTTCCAGCCTCCAGAACTGAAAGCACACAGTTCTCCTATCCACTCCACTCCACCCACCTTGCTCTGGTCACCCTGCAAGATTCACACACTGCCACCTTCAGGCCATGGCTGTTGGGGTTAGATCTGAACCACCTCCCAAAGGCTGGTGGGCTTCAAGCTGGGACTTGTGGAACAGCACTGGGTCAGGGAGTTCTGACTGCACGGGTGGATCCATCCATTGATAGATTCATACTCTGACAGTATTGTTGGGGGGTGGAACCTTAGGAGGAGGAACCTAGTTAAGGGCCCAGGGCAGGGGACATGGACCTGGGGCCTGTATCTTGCTGCAGGTTGCTTTCTCTCTGGCTCACCCCTTCCCTCTGCTTCCTGGCTGCCATGAGATGACCAGCCTCCCTGCGCCCTGCCCCTCCAACGCAACACTACAGACTCTCTGCAGGCCTGAAGCAAAAGATTTCGACAACCATGGACTGAAACCTCTGGAACTGTGAGGCCCAATAAAGTTTCTGTGCTTTGGGCATTTCGTCACAGTGACAGAAAGCTAACATGACAGCCTTTCATGTTTGCCTCCTTCCTTCCAGCAGCAAAAAGAACCTGGCAGTGAGCACCTAGGTCCACAAGACACAGTCAGTAAATGGGGAGTGCAAGGAGTCTTGGACCCCACGGAGTTCACAAGGCCTCATCCTTGCCTGGACCCCCAGAAGAATGAGCTGTGTCCTCTAAGCCACTGCTGTGTGGGCTCCTCAGGTCAGCCACCCATGCTGTGTGTCCCACACAACTTGTAACATACAGACGCCAGCAAGGAACAGAAACACCAGGTGCTTGTCTGAGGCCACACAGCTCACAGGCAGCACAGCCAGGATGCAGAGCTGGCACGGGAATGTGGAGCCAGCTCCACACCCTCCAGCAGGTGCTGGTGAGGCTGTGTGCACCATTGATAGCATGATACGACAGTGCTCTTCCCCAGGGACTTGCATCCTGGACGTGAGACAGACGCATAGAGGGCACAAAACATCCAACGAGGCTGCCAGGGGATAGAAAGCACCAGGTCAGCCAGCTTCTCATGGGCAGCCAGCAGAGAACGGCACCTGGGCTGGGATCTCAAGACACAAAGGGCCAAGCATCAGGGAGGCCACAGGGAGAGGCAGGCAGAGGCAAAGGCAAGCACCAGGTCCCAGGACCTAGGGACAGATGAATGGAGACCAGGATGGGGGGGGACGACGACACACTTCGTGTGGGTCTCTGGACAAGGGGCGGCTGCAGGACAGGAGTGGCTGAGTGTCCATACAGGAACAGCAGGCACTTTAGTGTGGAGCAGGACCCCAGGCAAGAACCCCTAAAATCCATCCCAGCCTTACCCAGGTGGTTGACGCCCAGCTGCATCTCGAAGCCGTCCTCGGTGGCCCAGTGTGGGCAGCGCATCACGGCTGCATTGTTGATGAGAATGTCCACACGCTCCTCCTCTGCAAGACGGGGAGAGAGGAGAGGACACGGGGTGAGCAACCACATGAGCCCCGCTGGATGGCAGACAGCGTGCCCATACCTCCCTGTCCCCTGGAGCCTGCAAGGTGGCCTCTCAGAGCCAGAGTTTTGGTGGACCTGGTGCTACACACCTGCAATCCCAGCTCTCTGGAAGGCTGAGGCAGGAGGATCTCAGGTTGGAGCCCAGCCTGGGTGGCTGAATGACTTAGCAAGATCCTGTCTCAAAAGTTTTTTAAAAGGGAGCTCAGTACAAAGCCCTGGGCTCCAGCCATAGTACAAAAACTAAATAAATAAAGTCAACAAAGAGCAGGGCCTTGGTGGTGGCCACGAAGTGAGGATAGGGCCTCAGGGTGGGCTGGACCCAGCAGGCCTGAGTCCTGCCTGAGGCAGAGAGGCCTTGGGAAGCTGAGGCAGCAAAGGATGTAGCCCAGAGTCTTGGGCGTGGCGGGCGCAGTCTCCAAGTTGTGACAACTCAGTCCTAGCGTCCTAATACACATGAGCCTTCCTGAGCCCAAGTGGTGGCTCCTAGGAGCCCAGGCACTGCAGGCCGCAGGCTCCACACTTCACGTGAGCACAACTGGGGACCTTCAGAGCCAGGGACCCTCAGAGGGGACCCAGGGGCTCCATCTGTGCCCAGATGAGCAAGAGCGTCCTGCCAGCAGCAGCTGCCCCAACACAGGGCTGCCCACAGCAGCTGAGGTTACACAGAGGCAGACACCAAAGCAATGCTTGGGGCAGCTCCTCCACTGCTGCTGTACCCTCTGCGCGATGCCACCTTCACCTGTCTCTTCCCATCTCCCTCCTCTGGGGGTCCCTGCATCTCAAATTCGCTCTTCAAGGACACCATACGGGATTACAGCACACACTCTCATGCATGCACAGGCACACACACGCACGCCCCGCTTCAACTTGGCTCTTCAGAGACGCTGTGTCCAGCGGGGCCAGGGGACACCACTGAACCACGTCGCTCTCAGGGAGCTGTGGGGAGGAGACAGGAGGAAGCTCAGCCAGGGCCCGGGACACAAGCTCCACCCACTGGCCAGTGACCCTGGCCGGCACATAGCTTCTCAATGACTCAGTTTCCCCCGTGCAAAAGGACAATAGTACCTGCCCAACAGAGAAGTATAATTGTTATTCACTTGACAGGTATTTCCTCAGCCCCAGCTCTGGGCTCTGGAAATACAAGGAGGACGAGACGGGCAGGGACACCTTGCAGAATAGGCCAGGGACAGAAAGGCGGAGAGAATCCTCAGGTGGCACAGCTGCCGTGGAAGCAGAGGGGCTGCACCCAAGACCCCTGTGGGTGCTGGGGAGCCGTGAGCCCCGGAACAGGATCCAGGCCAAGGACCCAGCACAGCAGAGGCCCTGAGCTCCTCTCCCCCAGGGCTGGACCCAGGAGGGTCCCCTGACTGTGCTGTGCTTTACCTGCGAAAGACTTGCTTCCTTCTAGTGCTGAGAGTGGAACCCAGACCCTGGTGCCTGCCAGCCTAGCCCTCTACTGGGCCGCACCCCATCCCCATGTTTGGTACATGGGGTGAAATACACGTTATATAAACAATTCCACCTGGTAACACATGCTTGTCATCCCAGTACTTGGGAGGCTGAGGCAGGAGGATCAGAACAAGTTCAAGGCCAGCCTGTACTACACAGTGAGACCCTGTCTCAAAAAGAACTAACCCATTTCCAGAGCAGCTCAGTGGAGAGACATCACTTGCCCTAGGTGTCAGCCTCTAGTCCTTGATGTCCCCAGACACCCCAGGGCTAAGTGCTCTGGGGTCCAGTGTCCATGGCTAGAGAGGGCACTGTGGGGCTTACGGGGCAATCGGCTAGGATGATGTGCACCAGGGGCTGCACTCCTCCGGGTACCCAGAAGGCACTGAACAGATGCTCTACATCTACTGGATAGGCCTGCAGGCACTACCCCTGGCTGTTCCACGTGCCCAAAACCACAGGGCGTCTCCCCCACACTGCCAGGTAACCCCTCATCTGATCCAAAGGGAACAGGGTAGGTGGGTGTTCAATAGGGAGGGAGGAGAGGAGGAAGGGGAGGAGGAAGGAAGGGAGAAGGGGGAAGGGAGGGAGGGGAGGAAGAACGATGCTTCTCCACTGCACAGTGCGCTTTTCCACACAACCCGGACTCATCCCCATGACAGCCATAACCAAGGAGTTCAGAAAAATGGTTATTTTATTTTGTTAGGGTTTTTTCCACTTTGTTTGTTTTTGTCTTTGTTTTCTGTTTTGGGGGCAGGATCTCACTAGGTAGTTCAGGTTGGCCTCAAACTTTTTATATAGCCTAAGCTGACCTTGCACTCACAGCGATCCTCCTGCCTCAGCCTCCCGAGTGCTAGGATGACAGGCAAGCGCCCCCACACCCGGCCAGAAAGTGTTCCTGATTATGAGACGCCACAGCTTTGTCCTCCTTCCCCCTTTCACTCAGGGCTGTGTTATGAACGAGGCGCATCAACTCCAGACACCCCCATCTCCCCGTCCAATGCCGATGTAAACCAATGCCGCCCCTGTGGAAATCAGTGTGGAGACTCAACCCCAAGGAGACACCCACAGGACCCAGGTGTCCCCTTCCCAGGAGAGCAGTGACCTATGACACCCAGGGCTACAGCAGCCGGCTCATGGCAGCCTGGGGCCATCACAGTCTCGGCGCAGAGGGGAATCCTGAGGCCATGAGGGATGCAGGCATCTCATCTGCATGGAGCTGCAGATGCTCATGTTAAACAAAGCCAGCCAAACTCAGGAAGCTGAATGGTGTGTGGTTTCTGCCTCATGAGAAACCTAAACCAGTGAGTAAAACAGTGGCAAGACAAAACCTGTAGGGAACCAGAAAGTAAAACCTTCGGAGGCTGAGAAGGGGTGCAGGGGGCGCAGGAGGGAGGGGAGACAGGGGCTGTGGCTCTGAAAATGACTGATGACTGATGACAGATGCACACTGAAAATTCTCAACATGAACCCCACCGTTCTGAATTACCAAGATGGGCTAATTTTTAAAAAGAAGGATGCTCAGGGCTGGGGATTTAGCTCAGTGGCATAAGCGCCTGCCTTGCAAGCACATGGTTGTGAGTTTGATCCCTGGTACTGGTAAAAAAAAAAAAGGATGCTCAGGCCACAGCCTCGTATCAAAAGGGAAATCAGCAACACCCTGGGTGCCCAACAGCAGAAGCCTGGGAGATAAGACGTTCATGGACTCACTAAAGAACAGGCTTGAGAGAGCTGACCACAGCGACCAGGATGGTCTCCTCCTTTCTCTATCCTGAAGTCCTAGGGGCTGAACGCAGGCTGTGACCCTGCTAAACAAGTCCTCCACGGCAAGCCAGGCCCCTGCCCTTTTTAATCTTCACCTTGAAACAAGATCTGGGTAAGTTACTTCGGCCAGACCTAAGTTTGAGATCATCCTACCTCAGCCTCCCAAGTAGCTGGGGTCATAGTGTGCTCCCCTGCACCTGACTGATATATTGTCCTTTAAAATCGCTAAGACAGTAGATTTCAAATGTCCTCACAACAAAAGCCACGAGGTTATGCACAGTGAGATATATATGCATCAAATGGCCCAGGTCAGTCATTTTACAGCATATGTGTATTTCAAAACACCACGTTGTACACGATTAATACAATTTTCATCTGTCTACTTAAAATTAAACATGTTTTCAAATTATGTTCTCAAATCCACTTAAAGATATACAAGGACAGAGGCTGGGGATTTAGCTCAGCGGCATAAGCACCTGTCTTACAAGCGCGCAGTCATGAGTTCAATCCCTGGTACCGATTAAAAAAAAAAGTATAAATAGTACCCGTTTTGCATAACAATATATAAATATACACATGTATTTATATATACAATATATATACAATATATAAATACAAACATGTCAGGATAGAGCCCAGAGCAGGGCAGCAGACCCATAACCCCAGTACTCTGGGAGGCTGAGGCAGAAAGACCTCAAGATTAAGCACAACCTGGGGAATTCAGTGAGTTAGTGAAAGTCTGCCTTAAAATAAAAAATGAGGGGCCAGGGATATAGCTCAGTGGCACAGTACCTGCCTGGCAAGTGTGAAATTCTGAGTATGATATCCAGTAGCAAAAAAATAAATAAAAATTTAAAAAATGAAAAGAAGGCTGGGCATATAGCTCAGTGTGAAGGCCCTGGGTTCTATCCCCAGAGAAGAAAGAGGAGGAGGTAGAGAAGGAGGAAGAAGAAGAGGAAGAAGAGAAGAAGAAAGAAGATGAAGATGACGACGAACTTAAAATTTTAAAACTGTGTCAACAATATAGCTCAGCGGCATAGCACCTGCCTGGCAAACACAAGGTCGTGAGTTCGATTCCCGGTACCAAAAAAAAACAACTTTGAAACCAGGCAGCAGTAGTACTGGCTCCCCAGAGCTCGGCCTCCTGCAAATCCCGCACCTCCCCTACCTTTGATGATCTTCGCTGCGAACTCACGCACAGACCGCAGGGAAGCCAGGTCCAGGTGCCGTGCAGACACTCGGGGGTTGAGGGTCTCGCCGCGGATGTCCTGGGCCGCCACCTCACACTTCTCCATGTCCCGACAGGCCAGGATGACTCGGCCTCCTGGAGCCGGGGCAGAGAAACAGCAAAAATCAAAAGGAAAGAAAAACCCACTGTCAGGTGAGGTCCATCCCCAGCCTTGGGGTGCGCCAGCTGGAGCTTGGTTTCTGGGGCGGCCCTGACAGCTCCTCCGGAGACAGAAATGCACCAACCCCCCCTGGGGAAGCCAGGTAGTCGTGCAAGCTGTCACAGAAAGGCACACTGAAGTGGCCGCACATGGCTATGGATCACAGATGCTCCTAGACTCACATGTTAATAAAACCATGATAAACCAAAAATGTCCTCCACTGAAAGCCACTCAATACATAGACAGAGCAGCCTGGCTCAGCCTTGTCTACCTCACATGCTCAGAAGTTGGGTGTGGCGGTGCACAACTGTAATCTCAGCACTCTGTGAAGCTGAGGCAGGAAGACTGCAAGGCTGACCCCAGCCCGGGAAATTTTGTGACTTAGGGAGATAATGTCTTGAAACAAAAAGAGCTGGGAGTGTAACTCAGGACAAAGAGCCTGAGCTCAACCTCCAATATCACCACAGAAAAAAAAACTAAGTCGGATGATTGTGCGTTAGGGACTATTTGTACATCTCAATAAATGTTAGAAGTCTTCTAATTACGCCAGGAGTGGGGGCCCATGCCTGTAACCCCAGCACTGGAGAGGCTGAGGCAGAAGGATCACCACAAGTTCCAGCCCAGTCTGGGCTACACAGTGAGTTCGAGGCCAGCCTGCACCACATACCAAACAGAAGAAAAAGATAAAAGATAAATAGTACTCAAGGCCAAATAATATTCCATGCTGCAGCTGGCTGCACTTTGCTGGTCCCTTCATCTGGGGATAGACATGTGCACTGGCCACCTCTAGGCCATCATGTTCACTGCTGCCACCAACGTAGCATGCTAGAACTCTACCTCGTCTGGCCAGTTCCAAGGCGGTCTGCTTCCCGATGCCCGTGTTGGCGCCCGTCACAATGACCGTCTTCCCGGGGATGGTGGCCTTGCTAGGACAAATGCCACCGGTGACATAGTCCCTGGTGGTCAGAAAGAACTCCATCAGCTCTGTCCACTCCACCTATGTGCCCTCACCTCACCCCATGTAATCAGGGGCAAAAAGCCAGGAGCTCCAGCCCCCAAACGAAAGCTGGAGATACCAGGTAACATTTCGAGGACTGGGAAGGCCCCATTTTGACCTCTGTAGAAGGCTCGGCCTGGGATCTGCCTGGCAGAAGCAAGGGGACAATCATTATAAACACTCACTATACATGAGTAACTATTCCCATGGCTGCTAGAACAGAGGGCCATGAGTAGAATATCTGAAAACCACATAAATGCAGACTGGGTGTGGTGGTGCCTGCCTGCACTCAGGAGGCTGAGGCAGGAGGGTCACCATGAGTTTGAGGCCAACATAGGCTACATCTAGTGAGTGCTGGGATAACAGGCACTGGCTCAAGGGTCATCTGTAAGTGAACTATGTTTAAGCTGTCATGGCTGTGCCAGGGGACAGCTATCAAGACGGCACACTCCCATGACCACAGGAATTCCTACTGCATGGAACTGCTGTAGTTCCTGACAGCTGTTTGCTGTTAGTCTCCTTCGTTTTAAAGTGAAATGTCCAGCTGGTAGTAAAAGTTGTCAATAAAGGAAGACGTGGTAAACAAACACATGGACATAGTAGTGTGCCAATAAAGCTTTATTTTACCACCACAGGCGGTGGGCCAGGCTAACCCCTTAGACATACAGTGCCTGGGAGAAAGCTCCGCACACACCTACTAAGTAAGGTTGGGTGACAACGGCTTCCCAAGGGCCCTTGCACATGGCTGAGCTCAACATATCACTGCTCAGTGCTGGGCCACAGCCCCAGCGAGGGGACTGCAGTGCTGGCCTCGCTGCCACTGTGTGTCCTTGATATACAACTTTTTCACAGTAGCAGCACACACATTCTTTGCAGTTTTGTTTCTTCTATACTAAATTGAGTACATCTTTTTTTTTTTTGAGACAGCATCTCTCAATGTACAATGTACTTCACATTGGCCTTGAATCCACTATGGAATCAAGGCTGGCCCTGAAACTCATGGCGATTCTCCTGCCTCAGTGCTAGGATTACAGGTGTGCGCCCTCCTCGCGGCCATAACATGAAACTCCACCACATCTGAGACCGTCTGCAAAAACGGGAAGCAAGGAACATCCATTAACATGGGGTCAAAGGAGAAACAGAACGGATTCAAGGCGCCGCACAGAGCCGTGAAAGACCAGTCTCCTAGGCAGACGCGCGTGGGTCCCAAGAACGGCTGGGTTTCCACGGAAAGGTACTTCCCTGGCTGCGGGACGAGTGACACAGTAGTTACGGTTCTGCACATGGCACATAACCCCGATTTCTCATGAAAAGGAGAGGAGGAAGAAAGAAAGACACTACAGACCCACGCGCCGCCGTGCAAGCTGCTTTCTCCCCACTGCCAGTGGAGCTGCCACTGCAGTTTCCCGGTCGGCCACAAGTGCGCGCGGGAGAGGATCAGTGGCATTGCTAAGTGGGTTAATGAATGATTCATTAGTCCTGAGGGACGAGGTCGGCCCGCCCTTGCGAGTGACCCGGGACCCGCGCCCGCCCGCCCGCCTGGTGCTGGCCACCGCCTCCGCGCTGAGGGAGCAGGGACGGGCCTCGGGGACCGGCCGCGCCCACTCACTTCAGCAGCACAGCGCCGCCCACCGCGGTGCCCAGCATGGACACTGGCAGCAGGTAGCGGTTCATGCCGGCGGGGAGCGGGATCCCGACGGAGAGGCCTGCAGACCCAGGAGGGCTGCACCAAGGACCACGCGCAAGAGAGACGACCCGGACTCCGGAAGCTGGCGATAGGTCGGAGGCGTGGCCTAATGGGCGAGGCCTATTCGACAGCCAATAAGAACTGAGTCTAAGCGCTACGCCCTCTGGGAAGGGTAGTTTCAGGGGCTGAGGGGTTGGACACCGGTTAAGGGACCCGGCCTGTCGCCAAACAGAATGACGTCACACCCAACTCTCTTAAAGGGCACCTCCCAGTTCAGGAGTAAACTCAGGGTTTGATTCTGGGAGGCCTGTTCATTTTCTAATGGGAAGGGGAACAACAGAGGGGGAGCCGGAAAGGAAGGAAGCCACAGCGATAAAAGACAGTAGCGGAAAAATGTGTAAACAAAGCTTTTGTCAAGGAGGGAAAGAGGGTTCGAAAGGAGGGGAGGGGAATGGGAAAAAAAGAAGCAAGATCAAGTATAGGTACAAATTCCCCATGATGCATATGATCACTATTGTACATTTAATATGTACCAATGAAGTTCTAAAACTGTTTTTAATTTTTAAAAAACGGTATCAACCAGGCATGGTGGGGCACGCCTGTAATCCCAGCACTCTGGAAGCTGAGGCAGGAGGATGGTCGCAAGTTTGAGGCCAGCCTGGTCTACAAAGTGAGTTCAAGGCCAGCCGAAACCATACAGTGAAACATTGCCTCAAAAAAGATCAAAAAAGGGCTGGGAATTTAGCCCAGCAGCATAAGCGCCTGCTTTGCAAGCGTGCGGTTGTTTGATCCCTGGTACTGACAAAAAAAAGGTACCTTTCCATAGTTTTTTATAGAGGAATTTGAGATGTTTATGATTGGAAACCTACACCTAATAGACTTAGGTTACAATGAAGAAACATCAGGAACATATACCCTGGGTCTGAGGGAGGAGGCCAGGCCTAGACCCTGGATCTGAGGGTGGAGGGCCTGAGAACTGGCCTCCTGGGCCTGAGAGGGCTGAATGGAGCTAACTCATACTGTATATCTCAGTGCTTTACCAGAAACCAAAACAAAACAAAGTGTATAAACACAGCTCTGGGGAGCACCTGCCTCACCTGTGTCAGACCTGGGCAGCACACCCTGACTTGATGGGATAATGTCTTCTTATCTGATTGGCAGATTCGCTCACTCACCCGACTGCAGGTGTATTTCACTTATCTGATTGGCAGGGCTGGGAGCAATGCTAATTAATACTTGGTTTTGGCCCGGGATTCTGGGAGTCTCCCTGCTGGTGGGAGCACTCCCCAGAGGCCAAGGCCTCTGTGGCAACCTCCCTGTGTGCAGCCAGCCACTCCCAACACAGTCATGCCAGGGAGTGGCTGTTTTTCTGAATGAAACACATAGGAAAATATTCTCTCGTGCACACAGCGAGACACTGGAAGTGGTAGACGGCCTCTCCGGGAGTCAGGGAGCCAAGGCTCTCTCACAGCCCTCAGCTGTTGCTCAGCTGCCATGTCCCAAGCGCTGAGTGGACCTGGGAATTTGGCAACAGGGCCATGTCCTGAAGGCCCCCTGACAAGAACAGTGAGGCCCCAGGGTGGAGTTCAAGGCAGAGCCCTGGCCTTGCTTGTGTGAACCAGAGGTTTGCTCCCAGCACTGGATAAAAAACAGCAGAAACAGAAAAGCCCTAGCACTTGGGAAACTGAGGCAGCAGTATTGCTGGGAGTTCAAGGGCTACATAGTGAGACCCTGTCTCACTATGAAAAAAAGAAAGAAAAAACAAAAGTGTTAACACCCAATAACAAATGCCATTGGGTTGTGGGGGATAAAAGAACCCTTCTCTGTTATAATAGTGTAGACTGGTGCAACCACTATGGAAATCAGTGCAGATTTCTCAAAAAACTAAAACTAGAGGTCCATTTGACCCACTTACTCCCCTTCTTGGTATCTTCCTAAAAGAGTTAAAAGCATCATGCCACAGCAATTATGTGCCATGTTTCTAGTGGCGCCGTTTATTATAGTTGAATCTTGGAAACAGCCTAGATCCCCATCAAATGATAAATAGATAAAGATGTGGTATTTATATACAATGGAGTACTATTCAGCCATAAACAAGGATAAACTTGAGTTGTTCTCAGGTAAATGGATGGACCTCAAGATCATAATCTTGAGTGAAATAGATCAGACCCAGAAGTTTAAGTATCACATTTTTCCCTTGCATGAGAAACTCAAAGAGTGAATGAGGAACATAAGGGAGGGCAGATATTGGAAAGAAAGTGTTCAAATGGGAAGGGGAACAAGAGAGGGAGAGGGAAGGAAGGAAGGTAAAGGGAAAAAGAATGGAAGAAAAAATGGAAACAAAAGGTTTTGTAAATGAGAGAAGGAAAAAGAGGGGAAAAGAAGAATCAAACTAATATGACAGGTACAGGTACAAATTCCCTATGATGAATGTGAACATTATGTATGACAAATATATATTAATTTTTTTAAATAATTGTTCTAAAAAGAGAAAAACTCCTAGTAGAAAAGAAAGACTGAGACGACGGGCCGCGTGGGTCTGCAGATGCCCAGGGCTCCATGGGGCTCAGGCAGCGTGGTGGGGCGGGAGCCAGCTTTTTCCAAGCCCCTGGGTGCACCTGTTTTTCAGGAGTGGGGAAACTGTCCTGGACATCTGGCGTGGGTCTCCGCTGGACAGTGATGGGTGCTCTTATGTTTTCTCTCTTGGCTTTTCCTCCCTTTGCATTTTCTCAAAGACCCTGGACTGCGTTTATGGCTGCGTGCAGGCTGCACCTGTCCTTGAACGCTGGGAACAATAGGGCAGCCTCAGCCCCAGGGCCCGCTGCAGATGGGCAGATCCACAAAACATGGTCTGTCCCTGCAGGGCAGGGTCACCGGACCTTGCGAGGAAGGACATTCCCACGTGCTGCTGCAGGGCTGGCCGGGTGAAATGACCAGTCCACAAGTGACAAATATGGCCCAATTGCCCTACATGAGGTACCATAGAGGGAAACCAGAGAGACAGAAAGAGTGCCCAGCCCAGGAGGAGGGGAGGGATGATCAGGGTGGCAAGGGAACGGACGGAATTTCAGGTTTCAAAATGAAGACAGTTCTGGAGTTGGTGGAGTAGTGGACACCTGTAATCCCAGCACTTAAGGGGCTGAGGCAGGAGAATCGTGTGGAGTTCAAGGCCAGCCTGGGCTACATAGTGAGATTCTGTCTCAAACAATTAAAAGAAGAAGAGGAAGACAGAAAAAAAGAGTAAGAAAGGAGCTCTGGGATGGAGGGTGGTGCAGGCCGAGTGTGTTTAACACTGCCAAACTGTAGGCCTGACAATACAGCTCAGAGGCTATAAGCAATTTCTGGTACCAAATAAATTTTTTTAAAAACTAGCAAACTAAATGAAGGCAAATTTTATATTCTGTGCCTTTTGTCACAATTAAAAGTGAAGGAAAGCTAGGCGTGGTGCCACCCACCAGTCATCTCAGCCACTCAGGAGGCTGAAGCAGGAGGATCACAAGTTCCAAGCCAGCTTGGGCAACCTAGACCCTGTCTCAACATTAAAAAGGGGTGAGGGGAGGCTGGGTTTGTAGCACAAGGTACAGTGCTTGCCTGTCTCATGTTAAAAAAAAGCAAACCTTCATCAGCACTAGCGCGTAGGTAGGATAGGATGCCCAAGTGTGAGAAGATACCGCCCTGATGGGCCCTTTCCTGCTTCCCAGCAGCCTGCAGGTGAGTACAGCTGCGTTTCCATGAAACATTATTAACACAGACCAGCAGCAGGCCAGGTCAGCAGGGGGAAGGACAGGAAGTAACCAGGATGGGGCCTAGCCGTGAGCAGCAGGGCCTGCCCCTGCCAGGAGCAAGGAAGGACAGGTGCATAGGCTGTGTGCAGGCCCGCAGCCCGTCCAACCCTACAGCTGGAGGGTGCCCTCACAGGGCCCTGTGCCTGTGCTTAACCCTGGGTCCTACCAGCCTGGCCCCAGCAGGCGCCCAGTAATCACTGGATGATGAAGGGAAACTTCACTTTGTGTTGCATCTCTGCACTGCTCCAAGTAGCCCAGGCTGGGCTGGAACTTGGGTTCCTCCTGCCTCAGCCTCTCTGGAGCTCTGGACTGATGGGCATGGCTCACCATGTGGGGCCATGTCCTCAGCTCTTGACCTGTGGGATCCTGCCAGCCCCCCAGCGGCTCTGGACACAGGTTCAGAAAAAGGGTGCAGGAGAGAAATTCCTGGTGCTGGGTCCGAAGCCCCCTGCACCTATCTCAGCTGCACCTGTCCCACTCCACCCGGCTCCTGCTACAGCTCCCCTGTCCCACACTGCCCACCATGTTTCTGGGCGCTCACTGCTGCTGCAGCAGCCAACTCCCAGGCCCCCACCCAGGCCAGCCACACCCTGCAGACTCCCCCGCTGCCCTAGGAATCCCAGCCTGAAATCCAGCCACATTCCTGTCTCAAACCCAGGTCCAATCAGAGCCGTCAGTTCAGCCGCCCCTTCTACCCCACCCCTTCTGCCTTTCATTTCCTCCAGAGGGCTCACCACACCTGAGGTCTTATTAATCTGCAGTCCTCTTGTTTATCTTGTGTCCCCACCACACCCACCCTGGAGCAGGGCCTCACCTGTCTCCTCCGGTGTCCCCAGGCTTGGCATGCAGTCACAGCTTAAGCATTGGCCAGGATGTGACCTCAGGACTGCATATTCCATTGCTAATGCTTCGAGTGTTATTCCTGGCCTCCTCATCATCAGACAACTTCTATGCATCCTATAGAAGCCTATCATTTAACTGGGGATGGTGTCTCAGCTACTTGTTTCTTTTCTCATGGCAGAGACAAAGTACCTGCTGCCCAGAGTCAAGGGAGGAAAGGTTTATTTGGCTCACGGTTGTGGAGGCTTCAGTCCATAACCGACTGCTCCCAAGCAGGTGGCACCACAGAAGAGAAACAGCTCATGGCAGCAGAAGGCAGCAGGGCAGCAAGGGTGACTGCAGCTCTGCCCCTTAGCCCTGACTCAGGCTGCTCAGGGCGGGCAGCACTTGCACACTTCACCCAGTGCCCTGAGCCCAGCACTGTACCCCACCCCAGCTCCCGAAGCCTTGGAAAAGCCCCAGCTGTGACTGTGTGTGGCTCTGGGAACAGCTGGACACAACTTCTTTGCCTGTCCCACAAGCACAGCAGCCAGGCTGCAGTGATACCGCATGTGTCATCAGGAATAATGACCGTGCTTGCCACCTCCTGGGTGAGACTCTCCTCTTGAGAGCTGATGGGAAGTGACACAGAGACACAGGGAGGGGTGCTGAGCATGAATGGAATGCATGTGCTCCTGTGTGTCTGCACGGGGTGGGGGACACAGCCTTGATGGCTGTTGATAGAACTGTGGGGGACTGGCGGCAGCTGAAAAGATAAGAAGTATGAAATATAAATATAAATATAAATATAATAGAATGTGGGGAGAGACACCCCCAATCCCCTGGGCGCAGCATCTCTGCCCGGGGTCGGCGATCTCTCCGTGGAACATGTGGAGTGGAGGCATACATGTAGCTTAGGTTACGGGTGGTGCCTGAGGGGCATTAGGGATGCACAGGCAGCCCATTGGTATACTTTTGGTGCCATAGGTAAATTCCTAGGGGTGGTGAAGATAGGAGCTCCTTGGCTTTACCGGCTACAGTGTCCAGCCTGGACCAAAACCCTTTCAGCTGTGACTTCCACCCCCCCACCACCACATGCCATGGCACCCACTGCCAGCCAACACCCCCTTTGTTCTTGTGGTGATGGGACAGAGGTACCAGAAGGATGGGGCATGTGGCAGATGGGACAGTGGGGGAGGGGCTAGCACCGAGCCCCCGTGGATAATTGCACTCCAGGCCAGAAACCCAGGGGAAGAAGAGGCCTGGGAGACAGTGTGGGAGGGGCTGGCGAGGTCCAGGCAGCAATGCCAGCCCAGGGGATGAGCATCCAGGTCTCGGTGGTCTCAGTTTAGCACTGCTGCTCCAAGCAAGTGGGACCCAGCAGTGGGGGCAACCCAGAGGGCCAACACACAGTGGCCACTTGCCCAAGCTTTGCCCAAGAGGGAGCAGGAGCTGTGGTCCACTCCTGGGTCAGGTCCCAGCTCTCGGCCTGCCCTGCCTCCCTGTCACCTACCTGTCAGACTGGCCCTGCAGGTTCCACTCACCCTTCGCCACATCACTCAGAGCCCAACCCCTGGGCTCTGGCCTCCTGCAGTGCCCAAGTCACCAGGTCATGGTCCCTGCTGGGATCTGTGTCAAGCTACACTTATGCGTCCAACCTGGCCTGGCCGTGCTCCCTGAATGGGTTCTGCAGCCCAGGAAGGTTAAGTCATCTGCCCATGGAAAGGGGCAGGTGACACAAAGGTGCACAGAGCTAGCCGGGCATGGTGGTGCCCTGAGAGGCTGAGACAGGAGGATCACAGATCTGAACACATCTGGTTCATCAATTTAGCAACCTATGAAGACTCTCAAAACAATAAAAACATTTCATACAGGCCAGGGACACAGCTCAGGGTGGGTTCAGTTCCCAGTGCTGGGGAAGAAAAAGGCAGTGCAGAGGAACTCACGTCCACAGCAACAGCACAGCTTCAGCTGCATCCCCACCACTGTGGTCCTGTCCCTCAGCTCGCACATGCCTCGGTTTCCCCACCCAGAAAACAGGGAGAACAGGACCCATTTCATAGAAGGCCTTGAGGAACGTGCCTGTGCACATGTGTGTGTCACCTCCCAAGGAGACAGAAGTTCTGGGCAGACACAGAGCCCAGGGCCCTAGTGGGAGAGCATGTGAGGAGACCACAGGGCCCCACAAAGAGCAGGGACACAGCCAACTTCAGTGGGAATCGCACTGCCCAGCCTCCCAGCCACACTGCCACACAATGCCTCAAGCCTTGCTCGGCTCCCTGTAGAAGGGGGACACGTACAGTGGGGGGGGGGGCAGATACAAGGAGGGGAGGCTTTGCGCCCCGGGCCTCATGGACACCTAATGAGCTGAATGGCAGGTTCACCAGTGCAATTTCCAAATGAGAGGGAGACAGGTAGCATCCAGGCCTGGAGACTGGGCCAACTGTGGAAATGACATCCCCAGAAGTGGCAGTGGCAGTGGCAGTGGCAGAAAAGTTGGTCTCCAAATGGTAGCTGTTGCAGGTGTCAGGAGAAGCCAAAGACAGAACTTTGAACCAGCTGGTCTTGGAGGTGCAAGCCCTTAATCTCAAAACTCAGAGGCTGCTGAGGCATGGTGGCTCATGCCTATAATCCCAGCCCTCAGAAGGCTGAGGCAGGACCAGCCTGGACTACAAAATGAGCTCAAGCCCTGCCTGAACTGCGTAGAGACCCTGTCTCAAAAAGACAAAAAAAAAAAAAAAAAAAAAAACTCTGAGGCTGAGGCAGGAGGATCCCAAGTTCAAAACCATCCTGGGAAACTTAGCAAGACAAGTAGAACACAAAAAGGGGCTGGGGATAGAGCACAGGGCAAGGGCTCTGGGTTCAGTCCTTGTGTTACACACACACACACACACACAGAGTAGAACTCTGACTCTGCTCTGTGAAACCAGGTGACATCAGGTTGTTGCTGACCTTCTGTTGTCTTCACTATGGACACAAGTTTCCCAGTTCCCTTCTGGCCACTGCCCACCCCCCACTCTCCTGCCTCCCACAGGCTCCTAGCCCCACCCCTGCCGCCACCTCAGCCCTTGCCAAGCGAGTGCTCAGGTATGCAGAGACTGCAGCTGCGGAAGGGAGGTGTGAGGGAGGAGGGGCCTGGAGGACCGGAGCCAAGGCCACTCAGAGCTGGGACAGCCAGCAGGGACAGCCAGCAACACAGGACCTCTGCACCTCACAGGGGCTGCACCTGAAGATCCACAAGAGGAGGCCTGGCAACCAACACACACGTCCATCCCTGAAGCCAGTGGTCACGTCTTTACTGTCTCCCACGACTCTGGGTGGGCAAGAGCTCCCACGTTGGTCATTATGAGCTCCATAGCTGGCACCACTGTCACCTCTGGGTAAGTTCCACTGCCCTGCCAGGTCCCAGGGAGGCCAGCCCAAACCGCCAGGTCAGAGAGAGAAGGCCAACCTGGACCCCAGGTCTGAGAGTGAAGCTGGACCCAGGTCAGAGGGAGGAGAGGCCGGGGCCCCAGCCCCCACACCTGCAGATCCAGTTTGTGGCACCCAGGCAGAGATACCGGGAACTGTGGAGCACCCTCCTCCTCCTGCGGTTGGAGCACATAGACCTGGGTTCACCTCAATGGCTCACTCAGCTGCTGGGCTTGGCAGGAGGACCCCACTCAGCTAAGCCAGCTCTCCCCGGCCCCAGGAGTACTTTCAGAGTACATGTGCTAGATCAGGGGTTTTGCAAAACAACCCTAGTTAGCACCTATGATGGTTATCTCCTTACAAACGTTCTGACTTGCTAGAAACCCAGGTGAGGATGAGGACTCCAGTCTCTGGAGTGGGCAGGCAGAGGGGCAAAGAGAGATGAGTCTAAACAGCTGCATGATAGGTAGTGAGCTCTCCAGCCCAGAGGTAATCAAATGGTGCTGAGTCTGACTGGCAGGAGGGAGCAGGATGAAGAGAGAGAAGGGTTTTTGCCGAAGAGTCCTCTGTTTCCTTGATCCTCACAGTTCTCCCTTGGGATCTGGCTTCCTCTTATCTCTGGACCAGAGATGTTAAGGAGTCTTACAACAGCGCCCTTGAGGAGCAGCCCAGGGAGAGCAGGGACAGAGGAGGGTTTAGGGTGGAGGGGAGGAAGGTGCTCTGTGTCAGTGGCAGGTACTCGGGGAGCTGCCCATCAGTTACTGCCCACTTACTGAGCAACTATAGGTGCTAAGCCCCTCCCAGTAAGGATTCCAGAGGCCATGGGTACTGCATGGGCATTGTCTCAGTGATCTGCCCAACAGCCCACAAGTTGTGTGCTGGGGGCAACAGAAACTGAGGCAGGGGAGCCTAGGTCTTCTGCCCAGACTATGGCAGGAAGTAGCACAGACAATCTGAACCCAGGTCTGAATGACAGTGGGGCCTCACTCAGGACCGCAGCCAGCACAGCCTGCCTCTCCCTGCCCCGAGTGCCCACGGCCCCCTAGTACTCTCACAGCAAAGGCCTTGCACTGCTGCCTGGCACTTGAGGGCCCCCTAGCCCTCATCCTCTCCCTGCTTTTCCCTCACCAGCCCACAAGCTCCCCCCAAGCCAAGCGCCAAGTCTATTTATGGTGAGTGTGGCCTGGAAGCCAGGGCCAGGGGAGGGCCAGTGTCAGGAGGCCGATCCTGAGTCCAGCTTGCCTTCGTCTTCCACCACAGAGCAAAGGAAGCGATACTCCACCGTGGTGATGGCTGATGTGTCCCAGTACCAGGTCAATGTGAGTCTGGTCAGCTCCCAAGGGAAGACTTCTTGGGGACAGTGGGCCTGGAGAGACACAGAAATGGCTAGGAACCTCAGTGTAGTCACAGACCAAATGGACTGTGTCTCTGCCTCAGCTGTGCCACAGTCTGACTTTTTTGGTGCTGAACAGAGACAAATCACCACAAGACAGGAGGGTGGAGGGGCAGCAGAGGCAATGCGGGATCCCAGGAAGCACCGAGGCGAAGTAGATGGAATCCAGATACAGGCCCCCCCAGCCTGGTGCCCACCACCCGGTGAAGGAGGACAGGCCCCGGGGCCTTGGGCAGAGGAATTGATTCCCCAGGCTCTGCTTCCTGGAGGAGGTGTAGAGCTCCTCAGCCCAGAAGTCCGTGTCCACGGGGCCATGCCCAACTCACTGCCTCCTCTGCGGTGACAGCACCTGGTGACCTTCTGCCTGGGCGAGGAGGACGGCGTGCACACGGTGGAGGACGCGTCCAGGAAGTTGGCAGTCATGGACAGCCAGGGCCGCATCTGGACCCAAGAGATGCTGCTGCGTGTGTCCCCCGGCCATGTCACGCTGCTGGACCCGAGCTCCAAGGTACCAGAGGGTGTGGGCAGAAGTGGCTGGGCTGTTGACCCCCAGGGACCTCGGTGGGCTGAGTGCATGATAGCTAGCACCCTTTTTCAGCTTGCCAGCCTCTATTAAACGAGAGGCACCCTGGCCTGTTCCTACATCCACTGGGCACTGCAGTCACCATGGAGCCGGTGCCTCAGTTTACCCTGCTGTCTGGCCTGCAGGAGGAGCTGGAGTCCTACCCCCTCGGCGCCATCGTGCGCTGCGATGCGGTGACGCCCCCGGGCCGGAGCCGCTCTTTGCTGCTGCTAGTGTGCCAGGAGCCCGATCGCGCGCAGCCCGACGTGCACTTCTTCCAGGGCCTACGTCTTGGGGTGAGATTCTGGGCTTCACCCTGAAATACAGAAAGGGGCGTGGCATGCGGGCAAAGGTGGGATCAGGGCGACCTAGGGGCACGGTCTGTGAAGATCTGAAAAAGATGGGTTTAGCCGGATGTGGTGGCTCACGCCTGTAATCCCAGCAATCGGGAGGCTGAGGTGGGAGGATCGTTGGGAGTTCAAGACAGCCAGGGCTACAAAGTGACCTCAAGGCGAGCCTGAACTGAATAGCTAGACCTCATCTCAAAAAAAAAGACAAAAAAAAAAGATGTTTGTGGACGGGGCGTAGTCGGAATGGGGCGTGGTCTGATGACAGTGGGCGGGGCTTTGATGGAGTGATTGGCAGGCGGAGCTAATCCGAGAGGACATCCAGGGAGCTCTACACAGTTACCGCTCCGGACGCGGTGAGCGCAGGGCAGCGGCGCTCAGGTGAGAGGCGGAACGGGGAGATGGTTCTGGAACTCCAGTCCTTCCCAGACGAGACAACCCTCTCTCCTGGCTCTCAGGTTCTCCCTCTGGCCTCAGTTTCCACCGCCCAATACCTAACCCACGTTTGACCCTTCAGTATCAGGGTCTCCTACCTAGCCACAAGTTTCTCCCTCACTGGTCCTCGACGCTGACCCGGCCTCAGTTTCCTCCTCTGCTCCGCAGGGCTGCGGAGGAGGAGCTACAGCGCGGGACCGTGCCCGCCGCCCAAACCCCGCCCCTGCTGCGCCGCCCGTCGGTCCGCGCGGTGATCAGCTCGGTCTCGATGATCGCGGATCGCCGGGCGCCCCCGGTGCAACCCATCCCCGAGACGGAAGAAGGGCGGCCAGGCCCAGCGAGTGCAGCAAGCAGCACGGACCCTAAGAGTCCGGACCTGGGACCGCGAGGCCCGGAGCTGGCGGGTCTGCAGGCGGAGCGAGAAGTGGTGAGGATCTGGCCTGGGGACGGGCCCGGAGGGCTTACTGCTCCAGTTCATCCCTCTTTCCAGGTGGACATTGAGCCTCTATGGGGCCCTTGAGTGGCGGTGCTTGGTCCTGAAGTGGGACTCGGCTCTAGGCTCTAGGGGCGTGGCCGGAGCTCCGGAGGCGTGGTCACCGTGGGTCCTGTTAAGGGCGTGGCCTAGCCTGGGGGCGTGTCTACGCTGTCAGCAAAAGCCTCGATGGGATGGGGACCTGAGACTCAGGAACCTCCCTTTTCCCTGTGTCCCCAGGACATCCTGAACCACGTGTTTGAGGACGTGGAGACCTTCGTGTCAAGGCTGCAGAAGTCTGCAGAGGCCACCCGCGTGTTGGAGCACCGGGAGCGTGGCCGCAGGACCCGGCGGCGGACAGCTGGGGGTAAAGACCGCCCCAAAAGGCCCAAAGCAACCATTCCCCCCCCCCATCACTCCCAAAGATTCCTGCTCCTTGACCCCCAGCATCTCCATAATCCCTCAGCCGGCCGGGGCTGGCTTCTAACAGCTGAGCTCCCAGGGTGTCCTTGAGGGTGTCCTTGGGTTTCTGCCCCTCCCTAGCAGTGTCACCCGTCATCTTTGGTCTCCAACACTGGGCCTGTGCCACTCACAGAGGGCCTGCTGACGCTGCGGGCCAAGCCACCCTCGGAGGCCGAGTACATAGATGTGCTTCAGAAAATCAAATACGCCTTCAGCCTGCTGGTGAGGACTCACGCCCCATGGGCCTCTCGGGGACCAAGGGGCGGTGACCATTGCCTTCCCCCACTAACCTGGCACCACCCCACCCAGGCCCGGCTTCGCAACAACATTGCCAACCCATCTTCCCCGGAGCTGCTGCACTTTCTGTTCGGGCCACTGCAGATGGTGAGCCGATGCTGCCCCGTGCATCCCCTGCAGGCCCCACCAGAGCAGAGGAACTAACTGGTGGCATCCCTACCCCTGTCATTCTGCAGATCGTGAACACGTCTGGGGGCCCCGAATTCGCCAGCAGCGTGCGGCAGCCACACTTGACATCAGAGGCAGTGACACTGCTGCGAGACAATGTGACTCCTCTGGAAAATGCACTGTGGACCTCGCTTGGGGACTCCTGGACATGCCCAGGGTGGGGAACCTAGTTGGAACATAGGAACTTGAAAGAAGAAAGGGTAGAAAGTACAGGATAAAGGTGAAATTAAGCTAGGGGATGTGGATAAGAACTGAGTGGAGCTTAAGATAAATGCCAGGTGGCCAAAGGAGTTAGCTTAGCGGCAAAAGCGCATGCCTTGGCAAGCGTGAAGTCATTAGTTTGAGCCCCAGTAGCAAAAAAAAAAAAAAAAAAAAAAAAGATAAATTCCAGGATCCCACTGGAATAAAGGCTAAAAATTAGCATGAGGTTTAAAATCCCAAGGGCCAGGGATTTTACTCAGTGATACAGCACCTGACAAGCATGAGGTACTGAGTTCAATTCCCAGTACCCCAATAATAATAAAATAATGAAATCTAGCCAGAAAAGGGGAAAACCTACCCACACCTATGGCTGATAGAGGAAGATTACAGGGCTCAACCCCCAGTGCTGATAAAAAGAAAGAAAAAGGCAAAGCTGGAGGACTGCATAGGAGGGCCAGGGCATAGTTAAGTGGGCCTGGCATACTGAAGAACTGGGGCTTTGTTGAAGGTGTGGCTTACTATTTCAGGAGAGAGCCTAAGCTCTGAGACTTAGTGTAGGGACAGACATTGCAGGGGTGGATGGGTGGGGTAAAAGTAGCTGGAAACCCCAGTTTGGGCTGAGGTAAGATATACAAGCTGAGTGGAACCGGGCAGGGTGGTACACTCCTGTAATCCCACCCTCAGGAAGAAGGCCAGCCAGGGCTACCTAGCTCGAGTTCAAGGCCTGCCCTGAGCTACCTAGTTAAGCAGGCCATCAGAATGGAGTCGACTTATTGGAAAGCATAACGGAGTCCCATCAGGACCATGCCTGGGGTGAACCAGGACTCCTGAGCCTTTGCTGTCCTGGACTGCCCACAGGCTGGAGCTGCCCCCAGATGAGGGACCTGCTTATAGCCTAGAGTTTTACAGTGGCTGGGAGCCACCGGTCAACGACCCTCAGGGCCGCCGTTGGGAGGATCCCGTGGAGAGGCAGCTCCAACATGAGCGATGGCGCCAGCAGGTGAGGCCCAGGCTCCCCAGGCCCAACAGGGGGTTGGGACAGGAATCCCCCTGACCCAGCTGTCTGCCTCCCTGCAGCAAAGCGCACCCCAGGTCGCTGTAAATGGGTGAGTCTCTGGGCCAGGTGGGCAGGGTGTCCTGGAGGGGGTGCTTCCTGGGCATCACCACACTGACCCCACCACCTTTTGTGTCTTTTTTGTCTTCCCGGTTCCTCTCAGGTGGGTGAGGTGGTGACAGATGGGGTGGGGTGGGGTGGAGCTGGGGGTGGACAGAGATGCAGGGAGGAGGGAGGATCAAGGAGGGAGTAGGGTAGAGGGTGGTTAGAGGAGGGAGGAGGGAGAACAGAGGAATGGGGAGGGCTGGATCTCCAGGTCCAGGAGTGGGTAGTCTGGGAGGCTGGACCCCATGTCCTCAAGAGGCTGGGAAGGTGCAGTTTGGAAGACATTCCATCCTTGGCTTCCCTCACATGAGCACAGAGCCCTGGTGTCAGATGAGGCTGGGGCAGGATGTTTGCGCTTTGAAGAACCCAGGTTTGGCACTGGGGAACCTGGAAACCTACAGAAGCAGGCCGGAGCCTTCAAGGGCTTGGGGTCAAGTTGCTGGGAGAGTGGAGACATGACTGTCTCTGGGCTGGAAGGCTGGACTTCCGGTTTCCCAAAGGCTTTAAAGCAACAGTTCAAGTCCCTGCTGGGTGCAGACCAGGCAGCTTGGAACTAAAAGGAAGAGGAAATCAAAGCATGAGCTCTGGACTCCTCAGATCCTGGATCCTGAAAAGAAAAACCTAGGGATCCAAAGTCATGTTGTGACCATGCTGTGGGGACTCAGGCTGTGGGGTTCTGGGGAGGAAGAAGGCAGATGGAGGCTGGAAGTCTAGGGTCCTTGGGCAAGCCAAGGGCAGACCAGCAGTAGCCAACCAAGCAGGGAAGAAGCCAGAGGAGATGAATGGGGGTCTGGCTGGGCCCCCACCCCCACCCCGGCAGAGGGTCTCAGCAGGGACAACATGCTGGGAGCTGCCAGCCCCACACAGGGGGTGCCGCAGCCCTGAAGACCCCCCCTCTCCCCTGCACAGGTAGGCCTGATCTGGGCTGAGGTTCCTCAGTCACCTGGTGTTGCAGGACGCCCTCCCCCCGCCATGAGCCCCTGTGCTTCCAAATCTTGAGCTTGGGACCCCTCCAGCTTTGCACTCACTTCTCTGAGCCTGAGTGCCTGCAAGGGGAACACAAAGAACAGCAGTGCCTGCGGCAGCGCAAAAAACCACAGAAGCTGGGGCTGGTGAAGTGCGAGGCTGCAGCAGGGCTTGGGCTCCCTCAGCCACACACAGCAGGGCAGAGGGACAGCAACATTCAGTGCTTGGGCTCAGGCCACCAATGCCTCTTTCTCGCTTCCTGGCCTTTACATGACTGGGCCAAAGCATCCTGGCCTGTGAAAACGGAGATAATAGAGCTCCCTAAGGAAGGAAGGAAGTGGGTTCCAAATTCATGCTCTGCGGAGGGCCCCAGCAGTCAGGCATGCGTTGCTGGGCCCCCCTCCATGCTGCACATGGAGCTGCAGCTACTGCTTTATAATGGGTCATGATCATGATGCACGAGCCAGGAGCTAGCAGGTGCTCAATAAGTGGCAGCTGCTTCTCCTGAGCCACTGTCATCGCCTGTGACTTGGAGGTGTTTATAATACTCATATCACAGGACCGGGCCAGGCAAGGGAAGGGGCAAAATCTACGCACATCTATGTTACTCCCCTGTAGATCTCGGTTAACCTGGCCCCCTGCTTGGCTCTAACCCAACTCACCCCAGCACCTCACAGCCCGGGCTGGAGGTGGTGGCTGCCTCTGCAGTTTTATTTCCCAATTCTCCTCAGTCACCAAGAGCCGGAGCCAGAGCCGAAACCAGCGGGAAAGTGGGTGCTCTGCAATTATAACTTCCAGGCCCGCAACAGCAGTGAACTGTCCGTGAAGCAGCGAGCCCTGCTGGAGGTCAGGCAGGGAGGGGGAGGAGGTGGGGGCTGCTGCCCGTGGCAGCCAGCACATCCCAGTCCCAGCCGCAGCCGGTCCCCATGCAGGTCCTGGACGACAGGCGCAAGTGGTGGAAGGTGCGGGATCAACAGGGCCAGGAGGGATACGTACCCTATAATATCCTCACACCGCACCCCGGACCCCACCTAGTGTGCAGCCAGAGCCCTGCACGCAGCCTGGTGAGTCACGGCAGACTAAGGTCCCGAAGGAGGCGGGGCTGGGGCCAGAACCCAGGCCCTGGAATCGGGCGGGTGTGGGAACCGGTGTCAAGGGTTCCGAATGTGCGTGTCTAGCGGGGGCGGGCAGGACTCGAAGTCCTCCCGCTGACCCAGTGAGCTTCCCCTACCCCAGGAGAACATCGCCCCTCCTCCTCCCGATCCCCCAGCCCCGGCCCTGGCCCGGCCCCACTGGGATAGCTGCGACAGCCTCATCAACCTGGACCCCAGCGAGAAGGGTGAGAGTTGGGGCAGGCCGTCCAAGGTCGGAAGCGTAGCTTAGAAAGACAATGAAGCCAGGCAGGGTAGCGCACGCCTGTAACCGCAGCATCCTGGGAGGGCGAGGCTGGAGGGTCACAACTGAGCGATTTAGTAACAGCACGTGATTCAGGCTCAACATTTTTTTAAAAGCGCGGGGAGGTGAGGAGGGAGCTGAATGAGAAGGCCGCGCCTTCCAGGGAAAGAAGGAAAAACGATTCTTAATCGACCTGTCTTTGGGATATTGAGCCCCCTCGCCCTTCACACGCACTGCCTCCCTCCCGGTTCCCTGCGTGCAGAGAAATTTTCCCAGATGCTGAGCGTGAACGAGGAGCTGCAGACGCGCCTGGCCCAGGGGCGCTCGGGTCCCAGCCGCACAGCCGCGGGGCCCCGCGTCTCCTCGGAGCTGCTGCTCAGCCCACGCTCAGAAGCCGCTGGGGTCCGAGCCTGGCTGCGGGCCAAGGGGTTCAGCGCTGAGTGAGTGGGGTGCGCCGGCGTGTGGGCGGGAAGGCCAGCTGAGGGTGCTTTAAAAAAAAAAAAAAGGCTGGATATCGTCGCGCAAACCTTTCATCCCAGCACTAGGCAGGCTGAGGCAGGGGAAATCACTGCGAGTTCGAAGCCAGCCTGAGGTCTAAAGTGAGTTCAAACCCAGTGTGAACTGTACAGTGAGCCCGTCTCAAAAAGACAAAGAAAAATGGGCCAGGGATATAAGGGTGAGCTACACCCTCCGGACCACGTGCTGTGGTTTATGGGTGGGGACTCAGGCTCCAAAATGCTGCTAGTTGGACAAGCTACTAAGCAGGCATGACGTGTACGTGATTGGCAAGGCTAGAGCGGACTTGAGTTGTGGTTGGCCGACAGGCCTGTACCCTTGCTATGCCCGTTCAGGACTGTGGACGCTCTGGGCGTGCTGACCGGTGCCCAGCTCTTTTCGCTACAGAAGGAGGAGCTGCGGGCGGTGAGCCCCCAGGAGGGCGCACGTGTGCACAGCCAGCTCACGGTGCAGCGCGCACTGCTGGAGGTGAGCGGGGTCAAGCGCCAGCACCAGGGCAGAGGCGGGGGTTGGGGACGGGGGCTGAGTTGCCACGAACCGACTTCCACCGCCCAGCAGGACAGAGAGAAAGTGTCTGAGCTGGAGGCGGTCATGGAGAAGCAGAAGAAGAAGGTGGAAAATGAGATGAGAGCGGAGGTCATTTGACCCTTCCCGGCCCCTTCGCCAAACGTAACCACGAAGGCGGGGTCACCCGCCTCGCGGGACCACAGACTAAAATCCTGGAGGAGCACTGAGCCGGCCCAGCCCCGCGCACACGCGCGGTCCTGCTGGAGTCAAGTCGCAGTCGCGGGTGGCCGGATTGGTGCGGGGCTCAGAGCCCACTGTCGAGCGCTCACCGGCCCCTGCGGGGACCCGGAAACCCTGTGCCTTGTGATGGGTACTGCCCAGCCTATAAACAGCCTCCTTTCAGCTGGCCGTGTCAACATTGTTCCTTCTGTGCTGGCTCCCTGGGAGTCTAGGGAAGCTGCCTCTGTCAGCTCGCTGTCTGCTGAACACCCAGCCTTCGCTGAGATGCCTTCTGAGACTGCCCCCTGCCCTCCCAGATCCGTTACTTGGCCTTGGAGCCCTGAAGCCACCTCATTTCTCATGGTCCCAGTCCCGCCCTTCCCTACTTTCTGGCACCTTTAAGCACAGGCGTCTTTCTGGGAGTCACCACAGCCCTTTCCTGCCTGGTCAACTCCTATTCAGCCTTCCTAGGCCAACTCAAATACCTACTATGGGAAGCTTGCCTTGCATCCCAGGCCAGTCAACCAGTTAAGTTTGTCTCCACCTGCCAAAGGTCTGGCCCCGAGCAACTGGCTGCCTCCTGAGTGTCCATCCTGTCGCCCTATCAGGATGGCTGATGAGACTGGTTTTCTCTGGGTCCCACCCTTAGGTAGTCTGGCGCCTCTCTGACTTTAGGGAGAGTGGTTTACCCTGGTGTCCGGTTTACCCTGGCGTCCGGAGAACAAGCACCTCTTGGGCCTGTGGCAATGCCCCTGGGGCTCAGTTCCCACCTGAGCCGCCAGATGGCGCCGTAAACCCGGGACTGCGGGCACAGGCAGGCAGGCACCTCCCATGGCGGCCTGCACGCTGACCTTGGTGTCCTCCTGGAGACCCTGGCCACTTCCGGCTTCCAAGACACCTTCCCACGTCCACCCTGCGGCTGTACCCTACCAAGACGCCTGCTTTGGCTCATTCCTGAGCTTCAGCTGGGGTGGGGGGCAGCCGTCGGTCCCCTTCTCCCCTTCCTCCACCCCCCGCTGCCGCGGGCCTGAACATGGACACCCCGGGACACGGACGTGCATCCCCGAGGAGTTGGAACCGAGCAGGTCTGCAGGCCTCCATGCCCAGTGTCCCCGTCCCCGGCTACAAATGAGTTTCCTACAAGAACCGCACACCAGGGTCTTGGGGACTAAAGCCAGGTCTCCCAATGTCCCGGTTTCCGAATCTTTCCCCTCTTCATGGGGACCTCAGCCTCAGCTGGTGGTCCTGCGCCCCCCCCCCTCCCGCCACACACACTCATCTACTGTCAGTGCAGAAGCCAGAGAAGCCTCAGAGCTAGTGCTCCTCAGCACCACATGCCCTCCCAAACCTCATCCCTATCCCCTCGCCACAGCAGCTGTCCTGCACTGCTGCAGCACGGCTGTCCCAGGCCTCTGCCCACTACTGCAGGACAAACCTCCACCACTCTCCTGAGGCCCCAGGTCTCCCTGCACACAGTGCACCCACCCCAGCTGACTTTGCCTTTAGATGCCTCCCCTCTTCTCCTCCAAGGTACCCAACCTCTGCATTTTGGGTTGTTAGTGCTGGTGATGGAACCTAGCCTCACTCACCCAGATAATCAAAACACTGAGCTAGGTTCCTAACCCTTTTTCAAAATTATTTTGAGCCAGAGCCTCACTAACTTGCCCAGGCTGGCCTCCAACTTTCAGCCCTCCTGCTTCAGCCTCCTGAGTAGTGAAATTTCAGGCATGTGTGCCATCCCTGCCACTGATCTGGTTCACTGCAGTACCCAGCAGGCAGAGGGACCTTTCAGGCAGAACAGGCCCAGGGGTCATGGAAAGGATCCCTGAGCTCCGTTCCAGGCAGCCCTGCTCAGCCCGTCCTGGGGCCTCGGGACTGAGAAGTGAGTGTTGCCACGGCCCCTGGCTTTCCCAGGGAAGCCGAAACTCCCTTACCCCAAGTTTACAGGTCAGTGATTGGTTCAGATTTGTTTCAAAGATGCTGACAAACCCCAGCTCCTGAGAGCTGGACATGGTGGTGCACACCTGTAATCCAGCACTCAGGAGGCTGAGGCAGGATATTCACGAATCTGAAGCCACCCTGGGTTATACACTTAGCTCCAAACCAGCCTGGACTACAGAGCAAGACCCTGTCTGATAAACTTAAGCTCCTCAGTTCCAGGTTCACAGCCCCTGGGTCATCCTTGCCCTCTTTGCCTCTTCCCATCCTGCCACCAGGTCCACCAGGTTCGGCCTTTTCCCACACCACCAGTACACACCAGCCTAGCCTTGATAGGCACCTCTCACACAGGCCAGAATTGGGGGGGCTCTGCCCCTCAGCCCTGGCCAGGGACAGGCCCTTGAGTGGCAACATCACGACTTTTTATTTGTGGTGCCTGTGCTTTGTCTCGAAAATACCTTCTCCCCTTCCCCAACAATATTCAGGGAGGGGGCAGCAAAAAATAGAAGACGTCCCTCCTATTGCACATGGACCCTATATACAGGCCCACCTGGCGAGGCCGGCGGGACTCTTGGCACATTCCTGGACCCTGCTCAGGAGGGGAGGATACTGGGGTGGCATCACATGTGAGGTGGGGACCCTGGGATGGCCCTCTGGTCCTCAGCTACTGGCCCGTTTCCTTCCTGGTCCCTCTCGGCGACGGCCTCCAGCCCAGCCAGTGGTGCTTTCTCCCGGTCAGTCGCTCGTGAGGTCCCAAGCGGAGGTTATGGCTTCTCAGTGGCTTCCCCAGAGTCATCACTCGTGTTCATGTGGGGAAGGGTGCATGTGGCAGAAGCAGCTGTATAGGTACGGGTGAGTCACTTGGACAGCTTGCTGATGACTCGGATCAGCGCTGCGTTCTCGTCCTTGAGCCGCTGGTTGTCTGCTCGGAGGTCAGACAGGGCCTGGAGCACAGGGCAGGGTCAGGAGGGTGGCCATCGACACAGACTCACTCACACCCCACCGAACCCCGGAGCCCCCACCTTGAGCTCCTCCTCCAGCTCAGCAGCCTTGCGCTCCAGGGCCCTGCGCTCCTGGAATGCAGGGAATGAGTTCAGAAGCCCCAAGAGGCTGACAACTCAGGGGGGCCAGTACAGCAGGTCAGTGTGGGCCCTGGGTCCAGACCCCAAGGGGTAAGGCTGGGAACGGTGGCCTCATCCCAGGGGCCCTGACTCACGAATCTCTCCAGCTCCAGGAGGGCTGGTCTCTCAGCAAAGCGTTCCTGCTGCTGGTGAGGACACAGAGAGGCACAGGGATGAGGGGAGCAAGCAGAAGTGTGGAGTGGGGAGATAGACCCCAGAGACAGCCACCACCCCTCACCCCTGGTCCCTCACCTGCGTGGCCCGCTCCAGCTTCACCTTGAGCTGTGCCAGCTGCAGCGTAGTCTCCGTCAGTGCCTCGCGAAGCCGCTCATTCTCCCTGTGCAGCTCTGAGTACAGCTGAAGGCACCAAAGAGGGCAGTGTCAGGCATGGCAGACCCGAGCCTGGAGAGATTGGGCTACCCCCCGGCCAGAGGGGGCCTGCACCTTCCTGAAGCCCCCATCTGGTTCCTCCTGTTGCAGCTCCAGCTCCGAGCCGAGGTCTTGCTGTGAGCGCAGCCTCTGGGCTGCGAGGACACCGTCCACAGGGCTGCTGAGCACAGGGGCAGCTGTGAGGGGTACAGGTCTGTGGGTCCAGCCCCGCCCTTGGGGACCTGCCCTTCACCCCCTACCTGCATTCTGCACTGTGGTCCGCCTCCTCCCCCTGCCAAGGCAGAAGGAAAAGGGGTCTCAGGACCGAGTCCCTCGGCCCCAGGTCTGCCCTTCACCAGCCCACAGCCAGGTCCCTGCTCACCTCCGCAGGCCCCCGCCGCTCCCTGCTAGCCTTGTGGAGCTCCCTGGCAATCTGTGGTCCCTGGCCCTGCCCATCTGGCGCCTCTGCTGGGGATGGGGAGCCATCAGCCCAGGCACCCAGCCAAAGCCCTCTGCAGAGTGGGGTCCCAGGGCCAGTCCCCCAGGACACGGGAAGGCTGCATGCCAGAAGACTTCCCGGAGCAAACCTCACCTCTCTGGGTAGGGTCCTCGGAGTTCTCCACTCCAGGGACTCTGGGCCTCCGGGCAGAGTCCTGCCAGAGAGGAGACAGGGTCAGGACCAAGGCTGTCACCACCCGCAGCCCTTCACCTGCCCCTGCTCACCAGGCCCCGCAGGGACGACTTCTCTGCCTCAACAGACTTTCCTGCCACCTTCTCTGCTTCTTTCAAGTCTGTCAGAGTCACACCCTGCAAGATGGAAGACACGGGCCCACTCAGATTCCAGGCCCAGCCTCCTCCCTGGCCCCAGGGTTCATGCCTGGCTTCCCCACCTGGACTTGGGGTCCCAGCCCCCACCCACCCCACACCTGTGTGGACCTCCGAGACTGGCGCATGAGGCGGGAGCGTGCTTTTCGCTGTGATTCGGACTCCTCGTCCCGCACGGGCATCTGGTAGGACCTAAACCAAGGACCTGGCCTCAGGGAGGGCTCCTGGGTTTGTCCCTGTCCCTGTCCCCGTCCCCTGCAGACGCCTCTCCCTCAGAAGCCCCAGCAAGGTGACATTGGATGGATGGCCCTCCATCCCAGGCCTCCTCACCTCCTCCGGTCGTGCAAGTCCCCTGGGGTTGGGGCGGAGGCTGGGGATACACTTGGCTTCACTGGGGATCCTGGCTCCCTGAGGGGGGAAGGGGTGGTTATCCAAGCAGAGAAGAAGGGGTCTGGCAACCTCAGACTCTTGAATGCATCTGCTCAGGAAATGGGGCCCACACTGGGCACTACAGAGCGGGATCTCCCAGCAGGGAAGACACAAGAGGAAGCCCAGCCCCAACAGGGCGTGCACCACCCCAAAGACTGAGCCCTGGGGAGTAAAGAAGGGGGCAGGACAGGCGAGAGGGTGCACATGCTAGACTCCAGGGCAGGAGCACAAAGCTCCTAACGGGCCCCAGGGAGACCTGAGGGAGTCAGGGAGGGCGGCAATAGGCCAGACCACTGTGGCCTAGGTGCACCGTGGGCTTTTCCTTGATGCAGCAGAGACCGAGGCAGTGTGCTAGGGGAGGCAAACAGGACCCAGACCTGCCACCCACCGGGACTCACAGGGCACAGGTTTCTGGCACTTTCCGGAAGAGAGTAGGGGGAATTCTGGCAAGGCAGGGCTCCCTGGCCTGTGGAGAGAGAAGGTGTGTCTCCCCGAGTTAGGTCAAGCCCTGGCCCTGCCACTGCAGGCCACCCACCTGAGCTGAGGTGCCTTCCAGCCAGGAGGTGGAGGCCGAGCGCTGCAGCCCAGCCCCAGCAGACACCTCAGCCCCCCGCCTCTCTGTAGGCACCAAGGCCCCAGAGCTGCTGGTCTTCTGGAGGCCAAAGCGCTGGGCAGAGGGGGCAGCACTGGGCAGCTGGGGGGACGAAGGTCTCAGTCACTGAGCAGCACCTGGCCCCCCAGGCGCCCACGATGCCACCAGTCCTGGAGAGCCGGGGCTACCAGGAAGACCTCGGGCCAGGTCTCCACAGACCACAAGGGCAGGTGATGGCTTCACACCCTGTGCCCAGTTCGTGCCCAGCTCGGCCTCACCCTTAGGGACAGACTCACCACAGGGCTCTGTGGGCTGGCGAGTGGCAGAGAGGGAATGCCGTTGAGGGCTCTGGGTTCTGCAGGGGCCGGCTCTGCAGGGACAGGGAGGGAAGATACACACGTAGGCAGGAGAGCCACCCGCACTCGCAGACCCAGGGCTGCCTGCCTGCCCCTGCAGACTGCAAGTTGCTGCTGGTCCCTACCGGGATGGCCCTGGTCCCCATCCTCCTCATCTCGGATGGGGGGCGCCCCTGCCCCAGTGGGCCTGCGCTCCTTGGACAGGTCCTGCAAGGAGCCCTTCTCGCGGCTGCTCAGGCGGCACACGGAGCTCCTGTGGAAGCCGGGCGTCAGAGTCTGGGCCAGCACCCACCCTCTTGCCCACCCGCCAGGCTCGGCTCTTTCCTACCGCCTGTGCTTGCTGCCGGGCGGCACCTGGGTCTCTGGACCTCTGCTCTGCGTGGCTTCCTTCTGGTTGCGAAGCTGTGGGGAGGGACAGGGCTGCAGAAGCACCCTCCCCCACCCCCACAGGGTCCCAGGTGCCCTCTAACACAGTGCCCTGTCTGCTTCATGGCCTTCCAGGGACACCCGATGCCTGCCACACCCTGCCACTTGGCCCCAGGATGTGCCCTGCCTCTGCCGTCCTGGGCGCAGACAGGTGGCCCATGGCTGCCAACTCCTCTCAACCTGCCCAGGCGTGGGGCCGGCCCAGAGGACTCATAGTGGTGCACACAGAAACAACACTCACCCTGCCCCCTCCTTAAACTGCTGGGGGACCCCATACAGCCCCTGTCCCAGGTAGAGGGCAGGATGTAGACCCCTGGGCCACTTTGCCAGGCACAGAGATTCTAACCAAGCCTGTACCTACAACCCTGCACTCCGCCCCCAGAATGGGCCTGCCTGGGGGACATCGGCGAGAAAAGCCCAGCCCAAGAACAGGCAGACAGGGCTTAGGGTCCCTATCAGACGGGAAGCGTGGTATACAAAGACACACACACACAGACACAGACACACAGACACACACACACACACACACAGACACACACACACACACACACACACACACACACGTCCTGCCACCTCCACATGCCCAGCAGGCCCCTCCACAGGGCTACACCCCCAGGCATGGCGTCAGGGGACCCAAGTGCCCTCCTCCCTCCCTCCTGGCCAAGACTCACGTCTTCCTGCTTCCGAGCCAGTTCCTCCAACAGGCTCAGCACCTCTTCATCCGCCAGGTCACAGGGACGCTGCCCCTGGGAGAGAAGCAGTGGGTGACACAGCACACAGGTGGGCACTGTGCCATCCTCCCCTGGCCCAGGCTGAGGCCCAGCCTTACCGCGTGGGTCAGTGAGTCCATGCCCCCGCCATGCTCAGCCAGCAGGCGACAGGCATCCTCGACGCCCCAGTGGGCTGCCGCATGCAGGGGTGTCCAACCATCTCCATCCCGGAGCTCAGGGTCGTAGCCGGCCTGCAGCAGCAGCCTGGGGCCAGGGAAGCAGGGTCAGGGCCCAAATCCAGGCCTATCAGTCAAAGCTGGTTCCCGCAACACCAGCTGTTACACAGGCAAACACTACGGGGCCACTGGTAAAGGCCAATGCCAGATTCTCCCCAAGGACACTAAGGCTCTAGCAGCCTCCAACCCCCTATCTCAGGACCAGCAGCTGAGTCAACCTGGGGTCCTCCCACCCATAGGACCTCAAGGCCCCAGGCATGGGCTCTAAAGAGGTTGCCCTGCCAGGCCCTGGGCCTCAGAAGACAACAATAAAATCCAAAGGGAGCAGCTCTCAGGTGTGGCCATCCCTGCCCAGGACACAGTGACATCTCTGGCTGCTCCCACTCAAGGTGGCAGCTGGGGGCATCCAGTGAGTGGAGGCCAGGAACGAGGCTCTCCAGCCTAGGAACGACCTGGCCCTAAATGTCACACATGTGGAGGCTGAGATGCCCTTGCTTGGCCAATGTCCACCACAAAACGGCAACAGGCCACTTGCCAAGGCAGGGTCATAAATCCACGGGACCGCCAGGCATGGTGGCATAGATCTGTAAGCCCACACTCTGAGAGGCAGAGGCAGAAGGATCACAAGTTTGAACCCAGCTGGGTAACTCAGCCAACAGACCCTACCTCAAACAGGAAAAACAGGGCTGGGTTTGGAGCTCAGTGTGAAACGCCTAGACTCCATTCCCAGAGCCAGGAGTAAGGGTTCAGGAACTATCCTGACTCAGCCTGAGCTAGTGCACCTGGTCTTGGGGAGCCAGGGCGAGGCAGAGTGGCTGTGCGTGGGGGCTGGGGGCTTGACCTCACCAGGGCTGCCACCCTGGACCGCTGCCCCTGAGCCCAGCTGCTCTGCTCCAGGCATGTGGGGATTCCGAGCTGCTTGGGGATGCCCTGTCCCCCTCCCTGCTGCCTCCTCCCCGCCCTGACACATCTCTCAAGGTCTCCCTCCTGCTCTGCTCTGAGCCACACCCTCGGAGACTGTTTCCACACCCAAAGCTTCACTGGGTTCTGTGACAGACAGCGAGGTTGCCCTCACACGTCAGCTCCTCCTCCCTGAAACAATGACATGCAGCGTCCAGGTGGACACAGTTGCTCAGCCACCAAGGACGCTCCCAGTACCCTGACAGGCACCGTACGTCCTGTAAAGGCGACCACGTTGGCACTGTTCTCTCTCTGAGGGTCAGACAAGCTGGGTATAATCCTAGCTGCGTGGGAAGCTGAGACAGGAAGAAGGAAAGTTCTAAGCTAGCCTCAGCACCTTAATAAGACCCGTGCGGAGATAAAACATTACAAGGCCTGGGGGTGCGCTCAGCTCCAGAGGGCGTGCTGCACAGGCGCAAGGCCCAGGCTCCACTCCTGGCCTGGCACAGGACAGACACTGGCTCCCAGCTCTTCCCCTCCTCCTGCTGGCTGGGATCAGAAGTGGGAGCAGGAGAAAGTCAGTCCCGAGCCCCTGGAAAAGGGAGCACAGTCTAGCAAACGAAGACTCCAGATGGTGCTGAGGTGATGGGCAAGGACACACCCTGCGTATTCAAAACACCCGGGTCCCAAACAACCAAGACTCTGGGATGTAAAATAAAAAGTACCAGGCGAAATAGGCCGACTACACCACCACAGCCAACACCGAAACGGGTGTCTCCCAGGTCGGACAGGACCAAACGCCTGGGGCAAACGCAACCAGGAGCCACAAGGCCTGGGCTGCATGGATGGCCACTGGATGTGGGAAGGACAGTGGCCTAGACGCTGCCCTTCCCAGCACACACAGGCACACGGGCTTACGGAAAACCTCCGCAGAATGAGGAAGCTAAACCACAGCTAAGCCACAGAATCAGTAATAAAATAACTAGAAAATCCCACATATTTGGAAATCAGGGACACATTTCTGAACAATCCACAGGCTGAAGAAAGATCGTGGAGCTAGGCAGGGAGGTGCACACCTGTTAAACCCAGCACTCTGGGAGGCTGAGGCAGAAGGATGGAAACTCTGAGCCCAGCCTGAGCAACTCAGTGAGAGCCTGTTCGAAATAAAACATAAAAGCCACATGTGGGGGACCATGCCTATAATTCTAGCAAGCAGGAGGCTGAGTCAGGAGGATCACTATAAGCTTGACACCAACTTGGATTATGTAGTGAATTCAATGCCAGTTCAAGCTACATAGTAAAGGTTCTGTCTCAGAAAAGCAAAATAAACAAACAGGCTGGGGATGTAACTCAGGGTGGAGGCCCTGAGTTAAATAAACAAACAGGCTGGGGATGTAACTCAGGGTGGAGGCCCTAGGCTCAAGCCCAGCACTGGAAACAAACGAGAAGGGAAGACCACCAATCAGAGAATGTGTTACACCAAACGGAGAGAGAGACACCACATGGCGAGCCGAGCAGGGATGCCTGGGTGCACTGTGGGAGCTGCAGAGCTCCAGGAGCGGCTGCTAGGGAGGGGGTGCAGCACTGCCCCGCCAAGGGGTATAGCACTCACCTCATCACCTCAATGTAGCCCTTGGCAGCGGCCACGTGCAGTGCAGAGGCCCCGGTGCGGGGGTGCCGGGCCTCAGGCATGGCGCCCCCATTCAGCCAGCAGCGCGTGTCGTGCAGCAGCAGCTCTTCCTCGGCCCGTTTGGCTGCCTCCACATCCACACCTGCAGTGGGACAGCAGGGCAGGCGGCGCTCAGCCCAGATACATGGCCTGGGCTCAGCCCAGCCACGCTCTCTGCAGTCCCAGGCCGCTACTGGGAGCCAGGCAGGCAGCCACCCCAGGTTCTCCCTTTTACTTTTATCGGAAAGCCTCCCATGGACTGGCAGCCTCTTTCCCCGTCACTGCCCACACCATCCGCACCCCAGCACCCTCACGCTTAGCCTTGCCTCCTTGACCCCCATGCCCAGCGGCTGAGCCACCAAAGATGCCCCAGTCCCTGCCGCCTGGCAAAGCCTGCATCCCTGCAGGTGACACCCCGGGTGCCACCTGCAGGAACAAGGAAAGGGACGCAACAGGCCAGTGACTCAACGTGAAGGGAGGACACTGCTCTGGGCCCCAGTGGGCGCCTGGGTGGATGACACCCCATCCCTCTCGGAACCCAACTCTCTGGAACATACTGAACGGAGCCAGAGACAGGCGGCAGGTGCTTCCCAGGAGGGTGGAATCCACCTTCTTCTCAGCTGAGGGTTTCACACGGACTGAAGCAGCATGGGTGCTGAGACACTGAAGTGAGTTGGACCCTCACCAGGAGCCGCATGGTGGCACTCGAAGCTCAGAAGGAGTAAGGCCATGTGTACACAGCTGTGCATGTGTACTTGTGCGGGTATCTGTGCGTGTGTGCAGACCAAACCCAGGCTTGTGCATACCAGGCCAGCTACATACCCAGTCTACACAAACAGGCCATTTCATTAATCACACGCTGGTGATATTCTGGGTTCAATCCGCAGTACCAAAAAAATAAAATAAAATAAATTTCACTGGTTGGCTTTTATTTTTTTCAATCTATCAACTCGGAGGGAAAAGTCTATTTTTATCTTTTTTTGTTTTTTGGGGCTTTGAGATAGGACCTCGCTATGCAGTCCAGGCTGGACTCTTGGGGATGGTTCTGCCTCAGTCTACCATGGGCTGGGATGACAGCTGTACACCTATGGCTCCAACTGGGCTCCTGCCAGCAGCACTGGCACAGAACTCTCATGTCCTCCACCAGCTTAAAAGCCAAGGCGGGCAGGACCACTGGGAGCCCGTCCTCTGCCTCCCCCATCACTTTCCCTCCTCCTGCCCAAAGGCAGCCACCACCTCTGGGCTGCATCCCCACTGGCTTGTTCTGTTACAACCTGTAAATGTCATCCAGAAGACCATAATCATAACCCAAGAAACCACAGGCAGCCCCCACTCGGGGCAGCCCAGGCCTCCCAATGCAGTTGCGGCTTGGCACCCCCTGGTGGCACACAGCACTCAGGCCTCAGTGGGGTGAAAGGTGGGACCCAGCCTAGACCAAGCCTGGACCCGGCCTGTCCTCACGCTCACCCGCAGTCCCAGCTGCACAGCTCTCCCCAAGTGCAGCCTCAAGATCACTTACACACCAGGGCCCTCACTCTCAGCGGTAACGCCAGTAAATCCAACGTGCTGCAAATATGCCCGCACCGCTATTCTAAAGTACCTGACTTGGCTGCAACCATCGCTACCACCGCGTTCCTGGGCATTTCTGTCACCCATAAAACCCTATGGCCCTGAGCATGGCTGTCCACATCAGTTCCCCAGGTGGCGCACCACCCACCTCCTGTCCCCAGGGATCTCCCCGTCCCTGTGCTGTCCCTGGCTCTTTTCCTCCTCCCTAGATAAAAGGCCTGCAGCCGTGGTGATGGCTCCACGCTGCACCCTGTCCTGCTCTGCCCTCCCCAGAAGTTCATGGCCTCCTCTGCCAACTCCTCAGACGTCGGCATCCTGTGGTTCTTCAGGGTGCAGGCTCTGGCCTCCTGGCCAGCCAACAGCTTGGGGACGGTCACCGGAATCTGCACCAGGACACCCAGGAGTGGAGAACTTGGGCCTTCAGCCAACTCTGCCACCACCACCAGCCAGGGTCTCCCCTCAGGCTGTGAAGGACTTTCCCACCGGCCAGAAACGAGTGTTCCCACAGCTCCCCTGGCTAGCACAGGGACAATGGGGCCAATGACACTGCTGAGCCTGCAGGCCTGAGGCACCCCCACCCATGCTCCAGGAATGGGGATTCCTGGTGAGATGGCCCCAAACTTCGGGGGAAAGCAAATCTCTTCCCACCCAGTTCTGAGCCTACAGAGCAGCCGGGGCCCTGCCGCCAGGACTGGAGCAGGTGCTCCCACCATGGCGGGGCAGCATCCTCACTCCCCAGTGACCACATCCTAGCTCTCGCCCACTGTTTCCAAAGTGACCCAGCCTGTGGCCTGGTTCCAGGGATGGGCACATCTCCAGGCCTGGCCACCCTCTGCCACTGTGTTGGGGTGCAGAGGCCACCCCGGGACCACAGTGGCCAAGGACCACGAGACAGCACTGCGGCTCACTCCTGGATTAGGGCATTCTAGATCTGCTAGAATGTGGCCAGCACTGCTGGGGAGCCTGCCTGAGACAAGGTGTGCAGAGCGATGCTGAAGAGAGCTCCGGCTCGCCTGCACCCCTGGACTGAACTGCACCTCAAATCCACACTGCAAATGGGCTTCCCTGTGTGAGTGTGCACATCGCCGCAGGGAGAGCCTGTGGCCGGGCCCTGTGAGACAGCAACGGGAGGAGCACAAGCTCAGGCCCCACCAGGCAACTCAGCATCTCTGCAGGACCCGTTCCAAACTAAAATAATGCAGTGAACAAGGGCCAGGGAGGCCACGATGCCGAGGAACAGAAAAACAGTAAACACACAGATAAGAGAATCATGGTAAAATGAACACAGCCCTTACTGCTTTCAACAGCAAGCAGTGCAGCCTGGTGGGATCAAGCACAGTCACGCTGTGACCACCACCACTGCCCACTCTCAGAACATTGCCCGGCCAGCGCCCAAACTCCACACCCTCTAGACTGCAATGCCCCCTCTTCTCAGCCCAGTCAATCACCATCGGACTGGCTCTGATCCTTCTGTGTCTGCAGGTGGTTGCACAGCCCAAGCGCCTGCATCATGGGTTGACTGCGCTGGCTCCCACCCCCGAGGCTCTTCCAAGGCCAGTGTGGTCTCCTCTTCCCAAGGCTGACTATGCACACTGTGCTTGGTCTGCCCATGTGGCAAAGGCCATCCGGGCTCTGTCTACCTCCCTCCTGGAGCACAAGGTGCAGATAGAACCCACTGTGTCCCCAGAAAGAGCCACCTGGACTGCACCCTGTCCCACACAGCAGGCCCAGGAAACAGCTCAGGTGCCCAGCACCCCACAGCACTGGCCACCTCCTGGGTACAGTGTCCTGAGAGGCCTTGGTCGTGGCTTCTATGTAGCCAGGTCCGGCCCTCTGATCCCAATGCTGACCCTGGTGAGGGCAGGTGTGCTGGTGACAGACCTGCCAGGCCTGGTAACCTCCTCAGCAGCACCTCCCCACCAGCTGGAGTCCTCCTGGGGTACCAGGCTAGGCTCACAGCCAGCATCGCCTACCACACACCACTCCACAGCCTCTCTGGCCACACAGGAGCGGGAGCTCGGCCCCTCGGAGGAGCAGCTGCAGCTGCAGACCACTTCCGCCACTTCCATAGAGCGGAAAGCCAGAGTCCACAGAGGCCTGAAGGCTGCTCTAGGTACCCCAGTGAGACCAGTGAGCCTACCACAGAGGATAACCCACAGACAAGTGCCCCTCGAAGGCAGGACACCGCCTCACAGGAGAGCCGCCTCACAGGACAGCCACCCACAGCACCTTGGAGCTGAGCCCACAGCCGACCTTGACAGTCCCAGGCCGCATGCAACGGGGCCGAGTTCCAGCCTGGGGAAGCCAGGCTGGAGCTGGGGCGGGGCTCAGCAGGGAAGCTTGCCCTAAACTCCAGCCTAGGCCGCACTGACCTTCACCAAAGTGCAGCGGAGCTGGGTCTCACTGCAGACGACGGGTCCACACAGCATGTCCTAACAGTACAGGCTGGCCTTGCGGGGCGAGGGCTGAGTCAGGCAAGGGAGGGGAAGATGCCCAGAGCTCGAGGGACACCCAGGACCCCACTACACTTCGTCCTTCCATGGGCATGCATGCAGCAGCAGGGCCCACTGTGGGAACACGTGCTATACAGGGAGAAAGAGTTACAACATCTACCACCGTCCAGAGGGGTCAGAATGGGCACGACCGAGGTATAGGGTGGGGGTTAACTCCCCTACGCTGTGCATACTTGGGGGAAGCAAGGAGGACAGGTGAGGCTGGGTGTAAGAGGATGCACGAAGTCACAGACTGCGTGATAGTGACAGTCTCCACAAGACACCCAGAGGACTGGAGAACAGTGGTTTACAGTCGATGCAGTGTTGACTGCGCCCTGTAACGGCCCTAGGAACCACTGACCGACGGGCATGGAGGCGCATACCTGTTACCAACTTGGGAAGCTGAGGTAGAAGGGTCGCTGTGAGTTCAAGGCCAGCCTGGACTCCACAGTGACCGCCTATCTCAAAAAACCAAAAAAATAAGCAAAACAAAACAAAAGAACCCCCTGCTGTGTGCACTTTAACCAGGTGAAGTGCAGACCCCAAGAGTAGCACCCTGAAGAGCTGTCTGAGTGGGCAGGAGGAGAAAGAGCAGTCAGAGAATTAAGGTGCAGCATGGACGTGGGCCATGCCCTCCACGAAGACCATCGTTACATGCTGCACACACGGACTAATGAAACCCTCTTGAGCCAGATGCTGGCAGTCAGCAGAGCCTGGTGGGCACTCATCAGCGCTGACCTCCTCTGTAAGGGTCCCGCGGTGCCAGTGCTGCCCCATGCCTTTCCATGTCAGGCGACAATGATGACACACAAAAACAGGGCAAGAAATCGAACAGAGCCTGAGATCTGCACTTCGTCTCCCTCCCCTGCTGGGCAGAGAACAGCACTGGGCACTGCCTGCCCCAGCACAAGGCACCATCACCCTGAGCCGAACCACAGAGACAGTTCTGGGGCATGGCTGGGCTATCACCTGCAGTCCTGAAGGCTGGCCTTAGCATACCCCCTAGTACCCCAAGGCTCGTGGGGGGCTCAGCCAACTCACTCCTAGGCCTGGTCAGCAGAGCTGAGAGCCCCAGAGAATCTGTTTTATCTACAACCTGCCCACCTAGAAAAGACACCATGGCCACACCACTTTGGGGGCTCTGGGGTCCCCCGAAGGACCTCAGAGCTCAGGGGCACAGTCTCCAAACCCTGTGTCTCTGTTCCCCTCAGTGAGCGCCTTCTGAGGTTCCACCGCACTCCTAGTCCAGCTAATGCCTATTGGCTGCTTCCCTGAGTGGTCCTGCAGCAGGCAGGGAACCTAGGTGGGGCACCTACAAGCTCCCGCCGCACACCCACAAGCCCACCTCGCCGGGCAATCTCCGCCTTCAGCAGCCCCTCCACAGCATCTGACTCGGCCAGGTCCAGGGGCAGGTCCCCATCACTATTGACTGCTGCGATGTTGGCTCCATGGCTCAGGAGGTACCTAGGAATGGAGAGGTCAGGGCTGCTGCCCACGAAAGGTGCCTGCTCCAGGTCCACCCTGTGTACCCCACCTCACCTGGTGATGTCCAGGTAGCCGCAGGAGGCGGCCACGTGCAGGGGCGTCCAGCCCTCGTTGTCCGCTTGGTTCACAGTGGCGCCCTGCTCCACCAGGAAGCGTACTACCTCCAGGTTCTCATCGATGCAGGCCTGGGGGTGGAGACAGGTCGTGAGCTCTCAGGGCTCTGCCCGGCTCCACAAGGCCCAGTGCGAAGAAGGCGGCCAAGGCTGGGGGAGACACCACTGCCACTCCATGGCAGGGAGGAGCAGGGCTTCTCCTCAGGAATGGGCGCCTAAGGGACTGACGCCTGTCACTACCTGCGGGACACGTGCCCAGGCCTGACCCTGTGCCCTCACAGCCAGCAGTGCTGGCGAGGGGCAGGCTGCACCAGGCTGTGACAGACTGCAGACTTGCTCTGGGAGGTGACCCTGAGGCCCAGACCCTACTTGAAGTCGCCCACCAGGCCTCAAACAGAAGAGGGTCCAGAGCAGGACTGCCCAAGGCACGGGAGGCTGCAATTCTGTGCCCAGGACAAGGCCAGGGGCCTGCTCTGCACAGGGCACAGCTGGAGGGACTCACATGTACCGGGCCCTTAGGAGCAGACCCTGGGAAGACCTAGCCCTCACCCATCGGCAGAGCACACAGCAGTCAAGGGCCAAGAGCATGAAGTCATGGAAACTCAGGCTGCAAGAGGGGGGCCGCACGTGCCCTGGGAACGGGATGAACTCTGGGCTCCGTTTATTTCTACTCAGTTGCCATGGTGATGGGGGGGGCCGAGGAAGGCACTGGGTCTTTCCCTTTCAAGGACCTACCCAGCACAGGCATCCATGCAAAAGATGCCTGAGGCCTGGGCACCAGCGACACAGGAGCCCAGGCCAGGCCCTACCTGCTCCCTCAGACCCAGGGGTCCAGAGCTCCAGTTTCTCTCCGTTCAGAGCTAAGAATGCAAGCTCCCAACCTGGGCTCAGAGGCACCCCTGTGACCTTGGCATTTGGAGGCTGCAGCAGGACAACTAAAAGTTTTAGATTTAACTGCATAATTTAACAAGACCTTACTTCAAAATGGAACAGGCTGGGGAGGGAGCTTAGGGCAAAGGCTCTGGGTTCAATCCCCAGTAACACATGCACGCATATGCACGCACACACATGCACTTGCACATGCAGACTCTGGGTCCCAGTTCCTCTTATCCACTCTTGACCCAACACCAGCTGTACACAGGATGGTGGATGTATGGGGGTGTTGACACACCAGCCTAGCCAGGACTACGAGCCCCTCAGGTAGAGGCTGTAGCAGGGGACCCAGGGACCATACCACAGCAGGGGGCTGATGCTGGGGACCACCCCTGCAAGAGAAACCAGCCTAAAGTCTGGACTCCCTCAGACCAACTTTCCCTGTTTTCTGGGAACAACGGTTTGCCTGGGTCCCAAGAGTTTCAGTGCTGAAACCAGGCCAGGCCTGGACATACAGCATAAGCCAGTTACCCCACTCCCAGACCACATCCAAACCCCAAACTCAGGTGCAGGACAGCTGCTGGTCATGTGAGCTGAGGTAAGAGTCTCACTCTGTGAACCTTGATGGCCAGGTGCCCCAAAGGCTCTGGAGTGAAGCTGCCAACGGCCGCCATGGTGGGAAGAAGTCCTGCCTGACAGACAAGACCAAAGACAGACCCTGAGGAACAGGCTGAATGAAGAGCAGGGCCAGAAGTCTCATGGGAGAAGGTGAAGAGGACCAGGCAGGGGGGGGGGGGGCTGCACAGAGGGCTAAGCAGAGCTCTCTTGGGCTGATGGAGGTCGGTGCAGGGCCTCAGTCCCTCCAGGTAGAGGGTAAGAGCTATTCCTCATGGCAGGAAACTGCAAACGCCTACAAGGCTCCAGGCCTCATTTCCCACATGTGGCCTCTTTCCCCAGAGCCCTGCTGGATGAACACCCAAGAGGCAGACATCAGAGTTTGGGACAGGTCTGTGCTGTCTCCTTTCTTCCCAAGAATCTGAAAACGGCCCAGTCCAGAGCATCCTCCCCCTCCACCCCAGCCAAGCTCCCCTTTCCAGGGTTCCTTCTCCTCTCGACAGAAGCCAAACGACAGGTGTTTTAGCAAGAGGAAGGGCAGGAGATCTCTGAAGGCTGCAATCTGAGTGTCATGGAGAGCACACAGAGTGTCCATCGGGGCCCTGGGGGAGATGGCCTGAGCCAGCACTAGGAGAACCCGCAAAGTAGATAAGAGAGAAGCTGCCCACACTGAAAGTTGTGGCTCAGGTCCACAGAAGGTGAGGTGTCTGGGTGAGAGACCTGAGAAGGCTGAGGAAAGGCAGGGAAAGGGATGCCCTGAGGGTGCCCAGAAACACAGCGATGATGCGCACCTAGCCCGGGGAAGGGAGAGTGGAGAGCAGAAATATCCCCAGGAAGGCTCATAGTGGGAGATAAGATGCAGCACCAGTCCCCAAAGGAGGGTGAGGAGAAGCAGCTGAGTTAAGAGGACACAGGGTCAGGGTGAGGAAGAGCGCTAACGGAGGTGACCCAAAGTGGGAAGCATCTGCCTCGGGGACTGAGGTGCTACAGAGCCTACGAGGAAGAGGCTCCAGGCTCGGGAAAGGTCACCCTTGGGCAGCGACAGGCAGCACAGGACCGGGAAGAGGGTGGCCAAAGGTGACAGAGGCACCGAGGCGGGATCTGGGCCTAACCATAGCGGACGGTGGCCAGAGATGGCGGGAGGAAGGAAGCTCCGGCAAGGGGCGGAGAGGGACGCGGGCTCTGTAAGGAAAGGGCCAGCGGCCGCGCAAGTATGGGGTGCGCAGATCTTCAGGGGAACCCGACAGAGGCCCGGAAAAGGAATGACAACACCGGACGGCAGCAGGGGCAGCAGGACAGCCGCGCAAAGGGCGCTCAGGGTCGAGAAGTGGGCAGCATGGAGAGGCAGGGCCGGGAAGGGGAAGAGCTCCAGGTGGGACGGCAAAGGGGTCGCACGCAGGCGGGTCGGCCAGGGAAGGCGGCCGCGGACCACGGGGCGCTGACCTGGTGCAAGGCGCTGATGCCGTCGGCGTTGGTGGAGTCGAGCACGGCGCGGGCGGGCGGCGGAGCGGCGGGGTCGGTCTGGGCGTCGGGGCCGGGGTCGGCCGCGCGCAGCATCAGCAGCGCCTCGTCCAGGTCTCCGCCCGCGCAGGCCGCCAGGAACTCGGCAGCGCGCTCGAAGCGGACGGTGCGGGCGCGCCGCTCCCCGGGGCCCGGCTCCGAGCCCGCCCGCGCCCCCCACTGCCGCAGTTGCTCCTGCCGCCGCTCGCGGGCCGCCGCCGCCCCCGGACCTCCCGCCAGGCCATCCTCCCCCGACATCGCGCCGCCCGCTCGCCCAGAGAGCGAGCGAGCGAGCGAGCCGAACAGCTGCCACCCGCCCGCCCCGCGGGCCGCCGGGAACCGCCGTTTGCCCCGCCCGGCTCAGGGAGCTCCTGGTCTCCGTCCGTGCGTGACGTCACGGCGCTCCTCCAGGGGAACGCTGGGAAATAGAGTCCTCAGCGCAGAGAAACGAATGGCCGACAGGATAGGGACGGGGCAGGAGGCCGACAGCGGGGAGTGCTGGGAAATGGAGTCTCTCAGCGGAACTTATTAGATTCGCTGTCCACTAAGGCACACTGGAAAGTCCAAACTAAGGCGTCAAAAGAAAACAGTCTGGATAAGGGCAGGCCCCGGGGAACAGCAGGAAACACACACTCGGGGTAGGAGAGGGGTCCCGGGGCGTGCTGGGAAATGTAGTGCTCCATTAAAGGGGACACAACGAAACACTATCGGGGCTGGGGATTTAGCTCAGTGGCATAAGCGCCTGCCCTGCAAGCAGGCACTCGTGAGTTCGATCCCCGGTACCGATAAAAAAGGAAAAAGACGAGAAAAAAAAAAAAATGGACACTACTACCCCCACTTCCCCCACACACACACCTACACGACCTGGTGGGAAATGATAGCTGGGTATGGGGCGCTGGAGGAGTCCAAAAAGATAGACTGTAGGACTACTTTGTCTTATATCTTATCAACTTTCCATAGGCTATTTTGTTGGGTTTTTTTAATCTGCCTCCCTCAACTAGAAATAAGCTCCATGAGGGCAGGGATTTTTGTCTTCTGTGTGCACCACCTATTCCGCGTCTGGGGCTGAGCTCAAGGACAGGATGGAAAATACTTTTGAATGAATGAATGAATGAATGGACTCCCTAGGCCGTGGGAAAAACCAGGGCCCCCTGGGAAAGTGAGTCCTAGTCCCAAATTCTCCCGGTAACCACCCAGGGCATGATGGGAAATGAAGCCTGGGAGCAAAGGTCAGGGCGTTCGGCCAACAACCCAATGCACGCTCGGAAATATACTCTTCGGGCTATGCCCTAAAGGCCCAGGTTGTCATAGGTATGATCAAAAGCACGTCAGGAAATTAGTCTCCATGGCAAGAGGAGTCCCAGGTCCCTAATGGTACTCATTGGAACACAATGGGGCAAGAACCCCAAGCAACTCGGTTCGCAATGGTAGTATCCTTGTGGCCCACCCAGGGCCGTGGAGCACGCTGGGAAGTATAGTCCAGGCTCTCACTAGCCCATTCTCATGACATTCTGGGATGTGGAGTGCAGGGCAAGGTTCTCCAGTAGGTTTAGGTTAAACCTTCTCATAATAGACCCAATACATAAATAGACATTGACCAAACTTTGAGTGTCCTGCACTGAAACCCAAAATGGCAAGGATAAAGACATTTTGGGACAGGAACAGTGACCCATAAAAATCACAAAGAAAGCTTCCAAAATCTCGACAGGTGCAAGAAAGTTTTCCCCCAGAGAACACTGGAGAACCCTCCACTCTGAAGTCCCTTGGCTTGTGCAGAGAAATAAACTACAAATCCCCTGAGGCCAGGGATGCCCAGGTAGCTCTTGACTCAGTAGCCCCCTACACACATATTCCACTTGTGCAACTTCCCAGGGAGGTGGGACACAAAGCTTAAGTGTATTACTGTGTATTGAGCCGTTAAGTTTGTCCCTGTGCCCCAGAATAATTGGGACATGCTATAATTGTGTGTGTTTGCAATCCTGTTTGTGCCTGTGTGCCTTTATGAATGTCTATGTTTTCATGCCTATTACTCGCAGGTAGCACACGTTATCTGGTTGACCCAGCCTATTCTCCCTGATCTGTGGGGTGAGCACTGTCCATAAACTATTAAAAATCTTTAGTTTGAACACTAACTTAGGCTTTGACTTTTTTTTTTTTTAAAGGAGATCTCACTCTGTAGCCTAGGCTGGCCTCTAATTTGCAGCAATCCTCCTGCTTCAGCATCCCATGTGTTGGGATCATAGGTGTGTATCACCAAACTTGACTGCTGTTTTTGGAATCCTAGTCTACTACAGCGGTTAGGAATTTCTCCTGCTCTGTATTTGACAGTCTGGGGCCAGAATCTCATCTCAGCCACTTCCTAGCTCCGTGACCACAGGCTGGTCTCTGTCTTGACCTCCTGGAGCAGTAGAGATGGCATAGAAGAGCCATCAGGTGCCTCCACATGCCACTTGACAAAACCATCTCCTGTCCTCTTGTTGATAGTAAAGGTCCACTGGCTTCAGTGGCCTCCGTTTCCTCTGTACTCTAACAGCAGAATCATAGCACTTAGCGTGAGAACTGAGGACCTTCTCCTGCTGGTAAAAACAACCTCACAGAGATAAGAAGACAGCATTGCCTCTTCTCTGTGCTGCCACAAAAACAAAAACCCAAACGATTGCCAAGATGGTTCCCACTCTGGAGAACTGAGAACAGCTCCTGTTGGCACACAGAATCAGCCAAGAGTAGGATGAGCTGGTTTCGTTACTTCACAATGGTCCCCAGAAAAGTCCCTGGCCCAAAGGAACAGTTTAAATTTAGGAGGGAATTCTATCTTTAGAAGCATCCATGACTGGGCTGCTTGTGGCTGTCAGGACACTAAAACTGGGTCCCCACACAGGGACAGGAAGGAGGCTTTGACATAATTAGTCTTCCTAAGAATGGCACCATTCCAATCCTCACCTCCCGCTAGGGAACAGAAAGAAGCCTTCTCCCAAGGCAGAGACAGAGCCACCATGATCACAGCAAAGGGACTGGATCTGTGTGTAAAACACTTTTTCCAACGTGGGCCCAGGGGTGCACAGATGTAATCTCGGCACTCAGGAGGCTGAGACAAGAGGATCATTCCAAGTTTTCCTTTGTTTTTTGAGAGAGGGTCTTGCTACATAGTTCACGGTGGCCTTGAAGTCACAGCAACCCTCCTGCCTCAGCCTCCTAAGTGCTGAAATTCTAGGTGTGCCACCATACCTGGCTTATATTTTTACTATTATTGTACTTTTCCCATTTCCTTACCACTGTGGATTTAGGGCACACTGAGAAGTTGTCTTGGTTTTGGTATGTAGGTAGGGCGGTACACCATCCAGAGACACAGCCAAGTGTGCATAACAGGTCTGCCCTGACCACCCTCCAAGCTCCAAGGACGCAGAGTAACTGTGCTTAGGGCGGGCTGGGTGAGTCCTGTTTGCAGGGCCTGGGTCCCTTTGGCGAGTGTAATGGGTGGCAACTGCAGCCTCTAGGCTCCCGGCTACTTCTCTTCCCTCAATAACAGAGCCCTGGCTTTACTGGGGACAGAAAAGCACGAGCCAGCTAAGGACCAGGACAGCAACCCAGTCTCCTCCACAGTAAGCGGAAGCCAGTGAGCCGGCTTTGTCGGGGAACCGGTTCCGCTGAAGGCGCACATTTCCGGTCCTCCTGCCTTCTGCAGTCTTTCTTCCTGCAAGCAGATGTGACTGCTGGAGCTCCAGCACTCATACTGCAAGAGGAGCTACCCAGACCAGACAGAGAAGTGGTGGTTTCGGTGACAGGCCTCAGAGACTGCCCAGGCAGTGGAACCCTGACATCTCTGCGTGTGTGTGTGTGTGTGTGTGTGTGTGTGTGTGTGTCTTTTGGTTTGGTTTGGTTTTGCCTGTTTGAGACAGGGTTTCGTCATGCAGCCCAGGCTGGCCTTGAACTCACAGCGATCTTCCTGCCTCAGCCTCTCGTGTGCTTAGATTACAGGTGTACACCACTGTACACAAGCTATAGCCACTTGTGGTGGTCACCTTGCCATGAGCAGCCAGCTGAGTACTAATAACGACATCAGAGCACATAGCAGGTGTCTCAGGGGGACGTTTATTTCAAGCTACAGATGAGACAGATCTGATAGCTCCCAGTCCTGAGGGGATCACATCTTGGCATCCTCACTTCCAGCGACCTCCGACACGGCCCTTTCCTGCGCCTTTCCGGCTAGGGGAGGACAGGGTGTCAGGAGGGGCCCAGGAAGGTGCCCTCCCCTTCCCCATGGAAGAGGTGGCAAAGCCCTGAGGGTGGCCTTGCCAGACAGAGGGAGGAATAGGCTGGGCTGCTGGCTATGGGGCAGGACGTGAGGGGCTGAAAAGCATCGTGAGGAAGGGGAGGAGGGCACTGATGTAGGGGGACTCAAGTGTGGGGGACATTGTGCAGGAGAGCCCGAAAGCTGAGGGGCAGGGCCCAGGGCTGCGCTGCTGCCCATGGAAGATTGTCGTTCAGCCCCAAGAGGCCCCACTGCTAGATGCCAGCACCTCCCCTTCTGCTATGACAGCCAGAACTGTCCCAGGGCACCAGACATCACCAGGGACCAAGACCCCTACACCCACCCCAAGAACCAGGGATTTGGAGGGGCCCTGGTAGGGGATGGGGTGTGCTCCGGGGCACACTTACAACTTCTGGGCGTGGCTGATGCGGTTGTACAGCACATTGATCTGGGGACAGAGGGACAGGCTGGAACAGCCCTGGAGGGCAGTGCCCACCCCACCCCACCCCACTGCCCCACAGAGGCGGCTCCCACCTCGTATTTCTGCTGCTTCAGTTTGGCCATCAGATCAAACTTCTCAGACTCTAGCTGGTGGATCCAGTCTGACAGCTCTTGGGCCTTCTCCCTGGAAGGTGGGGGCAGTGACAGAGGACAGGTGGGGGCTGGGGATCTGGGGGGCTGGGAGCCTGGGGGCTGGGATGAGGGGAGGGACCGAGTCCTGTGCTGCACCTCCTCCACTTTCTCTTGGTGGGGCTGAGACAGGGATTGAACCCGAGCCTCAGCACGGAGCTTTCAGCCTTGTTTTTACCATTGCACAGGCTGGGCCGGGACTTGAGGTCCCGCTGCCTCAGCCTCTCAGAGCACTGGGATCACAAGAATGCATCAACATCTCTACAGGCGCCACACCACAGTCCCTAAATGAGAGACCTCTGCCAGAGCCCACAGGAGGAGGCCTTCCTGGCCCCAGGACAGGGAGGTGACCACGGGAGCTGGAAAACGCTCACCAGACTGCAGCTCTGACTCAGACCCAAGACGGAGCCCCAACTGCAGCCACAGCTCTGCACTAAGGAACAGTCCTCTGCCTGTGGGGGCCACACCTGTGTCCCCAGTGACACCGCTCACACAGACAGCCGGTCCACAGTCACCCAGGTCCGTTCCCCACCACCTCTCTGGAGAGGATCCCCGGCTGGGCTGCCCCAGCAGGACGCTGACCTGAGCTGCTCCTCTCCCATGTGGTCGATGTTCAGGGGCTTCTTCCGCTCTGACAGGACCCGCAGCTTCATCTCTCGCCCGGTCTGCCGCTTGCCCCGCTTCTGCTCCGCCTGAGGTGGGGTGGGCGGGGGACTGAGCCTCCAGAGCAACCGTTGGCACCCTCCAGGTATTCGTGCGAGCAGGCAGTGCCCCTAGATGCCTGCACCCCAGCCTCCCCACTCAGACCCAGGGTCCAGCCAGGCCTCCTCCACCCAGAACCCACGACCCCGGCTTCCCTCATCCCCGCCCTGAAACAGAGACTTCCCAACTCACCTTGACCAGGTAACCCCCGAAATGTGCTCCCATGTTGGACAGCACCTTCTTCTTTTTGGCGTCGTCCTCTGCGCGCTTCTTGGCCTCCTCCTCCTCCTTCCTCATCTTCTCCTCCTGCGGGAACAGAGGCTCAGCCCTGGTGCCTCTGGGAGGCCAGAGCCTGGCGATGCAGGGGTGCAGCAGCCAGGTCCAGTGTGGCTCCTTGCAAACACGGAGCTCTCTGGTCTCAGTCTCCCTCGGTGCAGTGAGATGGTGACACCGGCCCTCAGAGGCCCAGAGGCACCTGCCCCAGGCTGCAGGGCCTGGCTGGGCCCAGCCCCACGGGAGGACAGAGAGGTGGGGGCACAGTACCCTGCCCACCCAGCACCCCTGTTTTAAGTAGTTTCCCATCGTCACTGTAACTTGCACCTTTAGTGGTCAAAGACAATGCGATTTTCTTCCTTTGGTGCTGGGGGTGGGCACTAAACCCAGGGCCTTCACACTGAGCTACACCCTGGTCCTTTTTTGTTTTGACACAGGTGTCACCTGTAGTCCTCCTGCCTCAGCCTCCTAGAGTGCCAGGATGATTCACTGTTCTGCATGCTGGATCGGGGCTCCAGGCTCACACTGGGTGGGAACAGCCTGGCTCCTCCTGAACTAGAAGAAGTGCCTCTGCCCTTCTGGCTCCAGAGGCTTCCTTCCCCACCCTCCGGCCTCAAATCTCTTCAGCTCTGACCCTCCCACCTCCCTCTCAGGAGGGCCTTGTGACGATCCTGGGGTGGCCCAGATGATGCAGGGCCATCACCCCATCTCCCGTTTCCAGGCCTTCACTGGCTTGGTGACCAGGAGGGTCACACCAGTGACCCTAGCACCCTGGGAGGCTGAGACAGGAGATGGGAAGTTTTAGCCCAGCCTGGGAGGCTTACTTAGTGAGACCCAGTCTGAAAAAAAGAACTGAAATGGGCCTGAGGATGGAGCTCAGTATAAAGGCCCTGGTTCAGTCCTCAGAACACATACATACCAACACACACACACACACACACACACACACACACACACACGTACACGCATGCATGCACACAGGACCCTGAACTCACCGGACCTGCAAGGTCCCCTTTGCCGTGTGAGCAGCACACTCACATCCTGAGACTGAGGCGTGGACACCTAACGGGCCACAGCTGTGCCACCCTCACCCCCCCCCCGCCCAGTGCGGGGAGTGGGGACTCCCTCAGGCTCTGAGTGCCAAGCCAGGCATCCCAAGGCCTGAAACAATGGAGCCCCCAGGCGGCTCCCCTCACCCCACAAGGCCAGCACTTGGTCTGAAGCCTCCCAGGTCTGCACAGAGAACATTGTAAAGGCTGTTCTAGGTGGCCCCCGTAGAACCCCTGGATGTTCTGGGCTAAACCTGGGAAAGCCCCAGGCAAAGCAGGAGGACCTGATCAGCCTTCGATTACATAAACAAGGGCCAGACCAGGAGAAAAGCAGTTCCTGTGCCATCATGAGTCCTGATCCAGCCACGCCTGACGCCAGCCCTCACTTCCCACATGAGGCAAGAGTTCACCGTGCTGTAGACACCTGGGTTTCTAGCCCTTCCAACAGAAAGGTCCTTAAGTCAACAGCAGAGGGGCTTCCTTGGAAGCACAGAGGATATCAGGAAAAGAGATATAGCACCCAAAGAACAAGTAACCCCAGGGAGGAGTGGCACCCACCGCCAGTTTGGCCTGCCGCTCACGCTCTTTCTCGGTCCTGAAGCGCTGCTGCTCAGCCCTCTCTGCCCGGCGCCGCTCCTGGAGGGGAAAACGGGAGATTGAGGGGGGCAGAGCCCACCACCCGGCCAGCCCACCCTTTCTGGGTGGGTCACAAAGAAAACAGCGGGCCATGGTGGCACAGGCCTGTGACTCCAGCATTTAGGAGGCTGAGGCAAAAGAACCCCAAGTTTGAGCCCAGCTTAGGCAGTTAAACGATTTATTGAGACCTTGTCTCAAAATAAAAAATAAAAAGGGCTGGGTGTGCAGCTAGTGCAAAGGCCCTGGGTTCAATCCCCAGTACCACCAAGCACCAGGAAACAGCCCAGCGCACAGAGAAGGGGGACCCTGGGCACTCCTACTCACGATGCGATCCTTCAGTGCCACCAGCTCCTCCTCTTCCTTCTTGCGCTGCTCAAAGTGTACATCGATGAGCGTCTGCAGCTCTAGGAGGTCCTTCTCCATGCGCTTCCGGTGGATGTCCTGGGGACAGGGCAGGGACAGGCCTGTGACAAGCGCCCAGCAGAGGCAGCCAGCTTCCAAGGGCCAGTGGGGCAGGGCCTTCCCAGGACCGCCCTTCCCAGACCTGCGGCCTGTCACTGCCTGCTACTTACATCGAAGTCCACGCGCTCCCCCTCTGGGATCTTTGGGGGGATCAAGGGAGGCACTACTGGACGGCTGTGTAGACCGAAAGGGTAGAGCCCATGAAGGGAGGACCCCTGGGGGGAAATCTTCCCCACATGGGCCCTGCTCAGCGCACATGCTGTGTACACACACACACACACACACACACACACACACAGAGCATGTGCTGGTGCCCCAAGCTTTCACACCCCGGGCCTTCGGTGTCACCCAGAGCCTAGCTGCGGTCTGTCTCCTGTGTCTCCAAGCCCTGTCCCCAGCACCTCACATCAGAATGCCCAGGGACTCCTGTCCCCTGCCTGCCCTCACTCAGCCCACAATGGCCTTTCCACCCCCACCAGCTGTCATCTGCTCGCTGCCAGACTCAGCACCCTGGCTCGTCTGGGGCTCACACGGGGTGGCTCTCCCCCGGTCACAGGGAGGCCCTGGAGGCTGCAGGGGTCTCCTGACTGCACCCCCGCACCCCTTTTCCGCATCCTGTCTAGGGAGTAGGGATACTGAGGAGGATGTGATGGAGTCCCTCCGCCCCAGGCTCTCACCTGGGTTTGGGGCGCTCCTCTTCTGTTGGTGAGGGGAATAAAAGAGATCATTAGCAAAAGTCTAGGGTGCAGCCCCCTAGCCCCAGGAGCCAGGGAAAGACCCCCCAGAGCAGTTCTGGGGAAGGACACAGGGAAGTCAGGGGGTACAGACGGGAGGAGATGGGTCACACGCATCATATATACATTCAGCAGCGGTATGGGGACCCTTCTTTTTGACCCCAAGCGTCTAGGCGGCCAGACCCATCCCCATGTGCAGGGCAGAGCCCTCTGCTCCAGACTCAGTGGTGAGAGGCACCGGGCCCCTGGCTTGGTCCCGCCCGCCCCCTGGACCCGGCCCCCGTTGTCCCCAACCTTTGAATGTATATGGCGGAGGGCGCGGGGTGGCGCGTCCGCAAACGCCCAAGCCTGGCGGGGGCCGCGGGCGGGGGAGGCTTGGGCGTCGGTCCCTTTAGGAAGGGAAAGGCCGAGCCACGGCCGTTTCCCTTCGCGGCCGCCAGGGGACGCAGCGCCCGGGGCTAAAGGGCCGGCGGGAGCGGGTCGCGGAGCCAGCGGGGACCGGGCCGGGCCTACGTCGCTCCCGGAGACAAGCGCGCCGTCACCTCGCTCTGCCTCGGGCTCCGGCTGCTCGGGGGCTGGCGGGGAGAAGCGGGCGGGAGCGGGCGCCAGGCGGGAAGGAGAGAGTGACAGCGTCAGGGCACAGCCGCCGGGACCCCGCCGCCGCCCGCCGCCCGCGGCTCACCTTCCTCCTCTTCCTCGGCGGGCTCCTCCTCTGCGGACGGGCGGCGGGTGGGGGCGTCAGGGCAGGACCGGGCTAAGCCGGGGTCCCGGTGGGGGAGGGGGGAGGGAGCGGGCGGGAACCCGCGGCTGGACGGGATGGGGCGGGGTCTGTGGCAAGGGGCGGGGGTAGTGGGCGTGGCCTTTTGTCTGGATGGGCGGGGCCGGAGCCCCTGGGTCGGACTGAGAGCGGAGTCAGGTTCAGGGGCGGGACTGAGGGCCGGGGCCAGACGCTGGTTGGGGTCAGGACTGGGGTGGGGCAGAGGATGGGTCGGGGTGGGACGGGGCTGGTCCGTAATTTGAGGTGGGGGCAGAGGGTGGGGCCAGGGACCTGGGGCGGGATTGGGGGGTGGGGCCAGGACTGGAGACGTAGAATGGGGCGGGAATGGGGGCGGGGCAAAGGACCTGGGGCGGGACTAGGACCGGGGTCGTGGCATGGGGCGGGGCCTGGCTTGGGGACGAGTTTTGAGGCGGGACTGAGGGCGGGGCTTGGGAACCAGTGGAGGGCCCAGGAGAGAGTGGGCACCAAGCAGCTGTCCTGGGTCAAGACTCACTAGCAAGGGGGGGGGTCTGGGGCGGGGCCAGATACTCTGGGGCGGGGCCGAGAGCTGAGCAAGGTACCCGGGTGGAGAAGAGGTGTTCTGGTGCCCGCCCAGCGGCCAGTGTCATCCCGCCCTGGCCCGGCGTCAGATGCGTGGGCAACTTCCCCCAGCCTGACCTGCCACTCACCTTCCGCCTGCTCCCTAGGGACCAGGAGAGAGCAGAGGTCAGTTAGCCATGGAGGGGTGACAGGGACTCCACTACCCACCCCAGCCCTGTGGAAGACCGCTCACTCCTCATATTCCTGCTCCTCGGTGTCCGACATCCTGCTGGGACCTGAGGGTGACAGAGAAGAAGGGGCTGAGTGCTGGACACGGACCATGGGTCTAAGGGTGGAGGCCGGGCTCAGACCCCGAGTCTGGGGGAGGAGGCTGGAGTCACAGAGTCCTAAGCCACTCTTGACAGGGAGCTGCGCTTCTGGCCAGACACAGGCTCCCCGCCCCCTCGGCACAGCTGTCCCCCTTTGTCCTGTGACAGGTCTGTGGGAACCTGATCCTGGGGATTAGGAGTATGGATGGGGCCGTGGCCTGCAGACAATAGCTGCCCCACCCTGGTGCTATTTCTGGGCGATGTCATAGACGTGGAGCATAGGACACTTCCTAAGAAGGAACAGAAGGGGGGGGTCCTCTGGAACAGTGTTCACCGACCTGCTTTCCAGCATCCACTGCCATCCCCATGGCTGCTTAGCCTCCCTAGCTCCCCTCTTTCACCTTCACCCCTATCTGTGGACAGGTGAGCACCCTGGAAAGCAGGCTCCTTCCACAGACCTCATCCTGAACCCTCAATTTTTAGACCACAATCTCTGTAACCCCAGACCCCACAATGCCCAGGTTAACCAAACCCCAAAACCCAGTAAGCAAAGACCGTGACCATCGGCCATGTCACCACAGCTCCAGATTGTGAGCCCTAACCGGTGATAGCTCGGGATCCCGGTATCCTCATCCCCAGGTCTTAGACCCCCCCCCTTTAACTGTAAACCTCACGTTAGGAAACTCCAGTGAACCCTCTAGATACCCAAGCTTAAGCTCAGAGGCCCAACCCCTAAAACCCTGTTCTCTGAGCCCCTGGTTCTGATATGCTGAGTCTGAGCCTCCAAATCCTAACATTCAGACTGTTTGACTCCAAACCCTGATGTCTGCGACTGCCCAGACTCTGAGACCTCTGCAGTCCTAAAGACAGGCACCCCCAAATCCACGACCCACAAACCCTACAGAGAGCCCAGTACCATTACCTAAGGCTGCGTCTGCGGAGCTGGAGGGAAGACTGCCTGGCACTGGGCACTAAGCTTCCCGGACTTTATAGTGGATGCAGTCCCGCCCCGGGAAGGGAAGGGAGGGGAAGAGAGGAGAAGAGAGGGGAGAGAAGAGGGGAGGGGAGGGAATGGGAAGGGGAGGGGAGAGAAAAGGAAGGGAAGGGAGAAGAGGGGAGAGGAAAAAAGGGGAGGGGAGGGGAAAGGATTCTTCGACCAGCTCCGGATGCCTGGCTCTCCAGCCCAGATTCCCTCTCCAAGCCCCCTCCTCACCATGCCGGTGCCACCCTGGAGCCCAGGCAGACTCAGCCACCACCAGAATCATTCCTAGTGCATGGCTTTCTGTGCTGGAGCCCCTGGTTGGAAACACAGTGGGTCCTGGGACAATGCTTGGTGACCAAAGAGGCACAAGGGACGCTTCCTGCCTCCCTTTCTCTCTGTCTCCTCCTCCCGAGTCCCTCTGGCCACCTTCTCTCCTTCTCAGACCCAGCTTCTGAGCTCAGCGCTCAGGCTGCTCATCTCCTGCACGTTCCCTACCTTAAGTCCTTCCTTACCTCCTGCCTCCTCTCTCTGTACACCTCTCCAGCCCCCCTCCATACCCCCACCCCTTTGTCTGCCACCAGATTCCACCTTGGTGACAACAGGCACTAAAGTGGGGCAGCAGGTGTGGCAGGCAGGGGAGGGGGTGACCGTTAGGCTCCCCACCCCCACCCCATCTGACTCTGCTCTTGTTTGGTATCTTCCTCCCCCCAGTCCAGCCGCGACCTTCAATTCAAGGATCACAGCCCCAGAGAGGGCCCTGGCCTCAGGCCTCACCCTCCTCACACTCGGCTGCCGGCCACCGGCCTTCTTTGAACCTTGCTCTAGGCCTCATCTCTGTCACTGTTTCTGCCTCTTTTTGCCTCTGTGCCCCTGTGCCTGTCTTAGCTCTCCTACTTTTTGTTTTTTTCAGAGTTCTGGCTGTGTTTTCCAGGCTGGCCTTGAACTCCAGGTGATGCTTCTGCCTCAGCCTCCTGAGTGTGGAGGATTACAGGCCTGTGACCCTGCACTCTCGGACTCCCTGGTCCTCCTGGGGTGTCTCTCCCTGGCTGGGTGTCTTCTCAGGGGTCTCCATCATTTGTGTTCTGCCCCTTCTCTCTCTCCCACTGTTTGCCCTTCTTCCCCCACGCTAGTTCTTTCCTTTCCTTGCTCTTTGGCCTCTGCCTCAGTTTCCCCATCTCTGCCTTCCCCTCTTTTTCAGCCTTGGATGCATTGCACTGTCTGCAAATGACCAGGAACTGCCTGAGCCCTGTGTCCCCCCCGACCTTAGCCTGAGACCCAGGGAGAGAACACACAATCACATCCAGCATGAACAGTTTTTAGTTCTCAGGGTTTTGATTTCCTGGACGGGGGAAGGTAGGCTCAGCCCTCGAACTTCTTCTTCCGGCCCTCCATGCCGCTCAGGGCATCGATGTTCTTGCGCCAGTCACCAACCTCCCGGTTCTCCTGGGGAGGAAGGTCAGAGATCAGCACTCTTCCAGGCTCTGTGCCTCTGCTCACTCTCTAGCTGGCTGGGTGACAGTGCTCTGGGCGCCTGCCCAAGAATCTATTGCATGTGCCCTGAGACAAGGCCCAGTAATGGGCACCTTTGCAGTCACCCTTTGCTTGTCCTGAAGTAGTGAGGTTGGAGGAAGTACAGGTAGCCAGGTGTGGTAGCACACACCTGCAATCCCAGCACTTGAGAGGCTGAGGCAGGAGGATGGCAGTGTTCGAGCCTAGCCTGGGGAATTTAGAACTTAGTGAGACCTTGACTCAGAATAAAATAAAATAAAACAGGGCTGGGGATGCTCAGCTAAGTGGCACAAGCACCTGCCTGACAAGTGCGAAGTTGTGAGTTCAATCCTGGGTACAAAAAAAAAGGAAAACAGAAAATCATTCAGGGTCCTTCGGTGCACCCTCACAGTGCCGCCATGCTTTGCAAGTGGCCAAGCTGACCTTGCACTAGGGCAAGGCTCTGTGGCCACTTGAGTAGCATCCATTTCTTATTCTCCCTCCTTTTCTTTCTTTTTTTTTTTTTTTTTTTTTTTTGTCTTTTTCTTTTTTATCGGTACTGGGGACTCCCTCCCTTTCTAACAGTGCTGATGATAAATCTGCCTGGGCCTCACAGAGATGCACCCGAAGATTCTTTTCCTGAGCTGGGGATTTAGCTCAACAGCATAAGAGCCTGCTTGGTAAGTGCGAGGTTGTGAGTTTGATCCCTGGTGCCGGGCAGGAAAAAAAAAGAGCTTTCCCATGATGGGAGTCACGAATCAACTTAGGGTCCCCATCACCTCTTTGGGGGACCCCCTTAGATCTGCCCAGTGATAGAAGGCTCCAGTCCTTGTCTTGCACAATTCCCAGGATATGACCAGCAACCATACCACAGTCTACCATGCACATGGGACCCCTCCATGCTTCACTTTTGTTCTTTCCCGGCAAAATCCTAAAGAGGCTGACTTTTCAGTAGGACTGCACTGAAAGAAACCCCTTTCCTGACTCTGTCTCTTTCGCTTTCTGCTAACTGGACCTGTAAGAGTGGGTGGCTGAATCATGTTGTTGGGACTCCTAGACTCAGGCCTATGGCCTAGGATTCCCATAACATCCCGACAGTTCTCCTTATGCAATATTTCCTGATTCCTTCATCAATCTCTTGTCTTCTTCAAGAATTTTCTGTCTCTCTCAAGCACTTCCTGTCTCCCTTATACATTTCCTGACTTCTTTGATATTCTTCCTTTCCCTTTTACTCTTCCTCTTCCTGCATCCCTTATATACTTCCTGTCTTCTTCACATGATTCCTGTTTCCCTCATACATCCTGGTATCTCGCATATACTTCTTGTCTCTCATAAGTTACTGTCCCCCTCATGCACTTCCTGTCTCCCTCATGCACTTCCTGTCTCCTCATGCACTTCCTGTCTCCCTCATGCACTTCCTGTCTCCTTCATGCACTTCCTGTCTCCCTTATGTACTTCTTGTCTCCCTCACATATTTCTTAGGTTTCCTTTCTTGCCTCCCTCATGTACTTCTTTTCTCCATCATGGACTTCATGTAGCCCTCAGGTTTCTCTACGCTCTTTTCTTCTTCTTCCCTCCCCAAGGCACTGTCTTTCCCAGTGTTTTATTTTATTTTTTTTTGTTTTGTTTTGTTATTGTTTTGATTTGTTTTCAGTTTTTTGAGATAGGGTTTCACTATGCAATTCAGGCTGGCCTTGAACTCATGCTGACCCTCTTGCCTCAGCCTCCTGAGTGCTGGGATTACTGGTGTGTGCCACCACACCTGCCTTTCCAGTCTTTTTCAATTAAGGTGCTGGGAATTAAATCCAGGGCCTGACACATGCTAGACAAACACTGTACTCAGAGCTGTATCTCCATCCCTGGCTTCCCCTCCCACTTCCTCTCTTCCATTAGCTTGTGCTATTCCCCCTAATTCTCACTGAGGACTCCTTCCAGGCTCTCCTCTCTAAGGACAAGCTGCCTCAGGCTAGGCCTCATGTCCCTGTCAGCCCTCCCCTGAGTACCCCCTGTCCTGGCCCTGCCCCACACTCACCTTCTCGGTGTCTTCCTTCTTCACTTGCTTGAGGTGGGCCCGCAGGTCCAAGGTCTCCTTGGCCCGGGTTCCCAGCAGGGCCTGCATCATGGCATCTGCAGAGATCCTCACCCTCCGCAGCGTGGGCCGCTTAAACTTGCCACGGAGGTCAAAGATCTTCTGGTTCAGATCTGCGATCTGGGGGCGGCCGCATGGGCAGTGGACACCACCCCCACCTCTTCCTCCCTCTTCTAGCTCCCTGCCCGACACACCGAGCCTGGTGCCCGCTCCCCACTGCCTGAAGCTCCTGACAGCCCAGCCCGTCTCTCAGAACCTCCGACCCGTGCTCTCCAGCAACCTGTGAGCCACAGCTCCTATCTCCCCAGACGCCTCTTCCAAGGCTCCTGTTCCAGCACCCCTGCCGCCCAAGCGTGCATCTCGCGCTTCCTGCTCTGGCCTGGCCTGACCTGGCCTTCTCTTTTGTGGGAAACCGCATCAAGGACTCATCCTTCTGACCCGCCCCCTCAGACAGTGCCCTTGGGCTTCAGTGCTCCAAACCCAGGCTGGCCCTTCACACTCTGTGAGGGCGCCCAGCCAAGTGCCCTGGGCTCCCACCTCTGTGATATTCTTGGTAACTTTAGCCTCTATGTCGTATCTCTCTTCGTCCACCTTGTCCACCCGGGTATGGAGTTGTCGGCATAAGTCCTGGTGGAGAAGCCCGATGTGTGCTGTGGGGGAAGGGCTGGAGTCTGGACCCCAAGGTCCGAAGGAGGAGGCCGGTCAGGGACCTCAGGGTCTGAGGGAGAGGGCTGAGGCGCTAAGATCTGGCGCTGAACTAGTAGAGTCCACGTGGACTCCAGAGAACAGCACGGAAGGGTGGGTGGCATCCAGGAGTCCTGAAATCTGGCAGCTCTGGGTCTGGAGGACCTGCGCCTGGGTCTGGCTGTGGTGCCTACCTGGACACTTTGCATTCCCCAGGCTAAGGGCTGCCATACTGGACCCTAGGTGCTCATGAGCCCAAGCAAGGCAAGGACGCCGATAGGCGGGACCGCCTACGTCGGTACCTGCAGCTCCCCGGAGCCCAGGCCAGCCAGCTCCAGGGGCTGGCACCGTGTACTCAGCACGCGCCCCTTCTCTCCGCGCCGCTCCTCCGCCTCGCGCTCCAGCTCCTGCTTCGCGATCTGCAGCATAAGAGTCTGCAGGGCGGTGAGAAGCGTCGAGCACCAGAGATCAGAGATAAAGCCCTGTCCTGGAGACCTGAACCACCATCACTTCAAAGCTCTGCCCTGCCCTCCGAGGGGCGCCCAGAGCAAAGCTCTACCCCGACCACGCCCACCTCCCGAAAGCCCCGCCCTCTCCGCTTCACCTTCAGCTGTAGCTTTCTGGAGGCGGAGATCTTACACTTTTTCTGCCAGGATGCATAGAGAAAGAAAAAAATCCAGAAGGGGAATGCAAGAGTCTGGGAATGCTTTCAACTCGACCCGTGAATGCAGGGAAAGCCACGCCCCTCGTCCTCTTCCACCAATCTCGGGCCCTGACTCCAGCTAGGCCCCGCCCACCATCCCCTAAGCAACAGCGGGAACAGAGCTCCGCCCACAGGCAGCCCTCACCAATCATAAGCTGATCCTTTCTGAAGCCCCGCCCAGCATAAGCCCTGCTCCTCCCCGCCCTTGTCCCCAACCTTGGCGTGCGGCTCCGTGGCGTAGGCGCGGTAGTTGGCCGAGGAGCGACGACGCACGGGGGCCGGTGCGGGGCGTGGCTCCCCCGCCTGGGGAGGAGGGGCGGCCGCGTCACCACCGAGACCCCGTCCTTCCCAGTCACCTCTCTAAGGCTGCATCCTCTGCTCCACCCTGCCCTGCTGCGCCACCCCGGCTCGGGGATCCCAGTCCGCGCCTCTGAGCGAGCATTCTCACCGCATTGCTGCTCCTGCGGGGAGAGAAGCCGAGGAGAGCATTAATAGTAGGCCTGTGTCCTGGCTGACCTCTAGGAGACTAGAGGATGGGGTCATCAGCTGCCCCTGCTAAGGTCCCAGGAGTCTGATCCCACATTCTTTATATTTTACTGTGAGACAGGGTCTCCATAAATCAAGTTGCTGAGGCTGGGCTCAAACTTTGGGAGCCTCCTGCCTTCAGCCTCCAATTTGATTTCCAAATTCTTACCTCATTTCCACCCAGGATTCCTACACTACCTCTTTCTTCGGACCAGTGTCCAGCTCCAACCTTCGGGGGAACCCTGGACCCCCTCCGGGCCTCAGATATCAGGGCCACCAAGATGCACTCACCCATCCGCCATAGGAGAGACTAGGGCTGGGATGTGAGAGATAGAGAGCAGACAGAGGCTCCTGGAGGTCCGTGAGGGGCGCGAGGGTGACCTTGGAGGTCTCAAGCCCTTGGGGTTCCACTGTGCTGCTCTGGCTTCACTAGGACACTGAGATAAAGGGCAAGGACAGGGACTAAATATATTGCGGTCCCCTCCTCCAGGACCAGGACAGAGATAACTCGCATGAGGGGCGGGGCGGCTGGCTCCCTGATCACCAGGTCACCTTGGCATTCAGGGATCAGACCCTTCCTCCCTCTGGCCTGGAGTGCTATAGCCCTCCACCTTCAGAACAGAAACAGGCCAGGCACGGGGACCCTCTCCTCTCAGACCTGGGTCGGCCTGGTCTCCTCCCTCACACCGGGGGTCCAGGCCTAGGTTCCAGGAGTTTAGGCCTCCTACCCCTTTACGAGTTTTAATTCTGCATGAAGGTTAGGACTTTATCTTTCTCGCTGCATAGAGTTAGCTTCAGCACCCAAAGTGTGAGCTGCTGGATGCATATTATTTTTATATTTTATTTATTTATTATAGAGACAGGATCTCCATAGGTAGCCCAAGTTGGCCTCAAGCTCTAGATAACCTTCTTGCCCTAGCCTCTGCTCATTACACCGGGCTATTTCACATTACTTAAACTGAGGCTCAGGTTTGGGCCTCTGCCCTAGGGCCACAGCATGGGAACAGCCACCCAGAGCCTACTTGCAAACCTAGAAGTCTGTTTCCAGCCTTCTGGACCCTTCCCACCCCCATGGGTGGAGCCAAACGAGGATAGAGGACATGGACACAGGGACACGCAGAAAAGGACACAAGATTTTACTGAGCTGCTTGGTGCCTCCCCAATCCCAGCTGAGAACAGAGGGCAGGAGGCTGGGAGGGACTGGAGGCTGGGGCCTCAGCCCAGGTGGATCTCATCTGGGATAAGTCTTGGGTGTGGCAGGGGGTGAGAGACACTGTATAACTTGGAATGGCACACAGAGCCCCAGGGAGGGCATGGGAAGGCTCAGTCTGCAGGGCTCTGGGGCTGAGTGCAATGCCGGGTGGGAACCTCGAGAAGCCCCAAGTGGGTCAAAATCCTGTAGGTGGCTCCTAATCTCCGGAGTCCCCGTTAGAAGTCAGAGAGGGGCACTTGGGCTCCAGGTCGGCTCCCACTCTGACGTGTGAGGCGGGTTTGCTGTGAGTGTGGTCAGATCTTGGGGTGGAGTCCCCAGCACTGGAAGCATGGGATGTGCACCCGAGACTGGAGGCATCAAGAGAGGGGCTCCGGGGCACGTGTCCAGATCCTGAGCCTTCGGCCATCAGCTTGGTGAAGCGAGAGAAGGTCTCCACAGGCCCAGTCGTAGTGCGTGGGGTGAAACCAGCCACTCCAGCCAGCTCCCCGACCCGGTTGTTGAAGTCCTGAAGCTGCTCAGAGCGCAGGTCCACCAGGAACCTGGGCAGAGCGGCAGTGAGACCCGAGTGTGCGTGCATGGACCACCCCAGCCACCTCAACCCACCCCGCGCCACACGGGCTCACCGGGCGGACTCCACCACCAGGTGCCCTCCAGGGGCCACGCAGGCAGCGAGCTCAGGGCCAAGCAGGTGCACCATGCTGCAGAGAGAGAGAGAGTGGTGAGCGGCGGCAGGGGGCGCATGACCCAGATCTGCCCGCGCAACCACGTTCCTCACCCGCAGGCGATGTAGAGGAGCTGGAAGTGGCCCTGGTAGCAGCCTTTGTGGTGCAGCAAGTGCGCGGATCCGAGGGGAAGAAAGTGAAGCGTGAAGGATTCTCGGGCCAGGTCTCCTGGGGAGGGCGGCAGGGCGTCACCTCTCCACAGGACAGCCACCAGAAACAGGCAGAGCAGTGAGGCCCTGGGCGTGGAGAGGGTGAGCCCGGGCCTCCTCTGGGCCTGCCTGCACCTCCTCTGGATTCGTGCAAGAGGCTGGAGAGTCGCCCGGCAAGCAGAGAAGCAGTTTACGGTGGGGGGGAGAGGGGGGCCCAGGGCTAAAGAGCCGAACCCGTGCAAAGGGACAGACACCGAGGAGCAACAGGGCAGGTCAGAGGACAGGGCCAAACTCCAGGTGGGAGCTGAAAGCTCCCAGTGATAACGAATTTCTGAAGGGCCAGGTGACTGCAGCCTGGGCAGCCCAGCGAGACCCGGGCCATAATAATAAACAAAACGGGCCTGGAGACGTAGCTCAGTGAGGATGGCCCTGGGTTCGAACCCCGGCTCGGAGGGGGTGAGGAGAGGTTGTTTTCGGCCAGCCAAGGCCTTCACGGAATCCTGAGGACGGGGTCAGGATTCAGGACAGGGAGACCGGAAGAGATGAGGAGGCAGAATCTGAAAGCCCGGTCCCTGCCTTGGCACTGCAAACCCGCGCATCCACGCTGGGATTCGAAATCCGTGGGGCCCGAAGACGGGCTTACCAGGGTCCACGCCGACCCGAGTCCACAGTTGATGTGAGCCCACGCTTACCTGCGGAATCCCCTCACCTAGGGTCTTCTGCTCCGAGTTGTCCTCCGGCTCCAGCCGCTCCCCCTCGGGGTTCCCCTGCGCGGCTCTCGGGCGCCCCCAGGCGGCCAACTCTCGAAGCACCTCGGTCAGATTGTGCTGGGCGATCTCTCCCGCAGTCTGTGAAAGAGCGAGCGGGTGGGGTTGGACGCCAAGGCTAACAGCGCTGTGGGGGCTGGTCTTAGCCCATGGGGCGGGGCTTAGCTGTCGGGGCGGAGCTTGTCCTTCGAGGGCGGGGCTTAGCCAGCGGGGCGGGGCCTGGTCCTGATCCCAGCACCAGCTTCCCCAGGCCTCACACCTTGACGGGCTGCCCGTTCCTGGTCTGCAGGAGGCTCTGGTCGTCCGCCTCGATGCCAAAGGCCACGAAGGGCCCCGTGGCGATGTCCCCCCAGTACCCGCGCGCCACCACGCGCTCCCCGTGCTGGGAAAACAGGAGAGAGGAGGCAAGTGAGGCTGATGTGGGCCGGGACTTAAGGACTGGGCAGGGAGTGATACCCACGTGGATCAAGAGGCGGCCAGACGCCAGGGTCCGGTTGGGCTCCTGGTAGGCGCTAGAGTCTCTGAGTTCAAAGGCGACACCTGTGTCCCTCCAGCGACGGAATTCCTGGGTATGGATGACTCGGGCCTGGGTGGCCGGAGGGAGGAAGTCAGGTCTAGGTGAGCTCCACCCTCGGACCCAGGCTCTAAGGACGGCCTCCGCCCCTGCCCCCCAGCCTCACCCCGCGGTCGTGCAGCTTCATGCGCAGGTCCCAGTCGCTGACCCCGCGCCGGGCGTCGTAGCGGGAGCCCAGGTAGTGGCGCACGCGCGCATCCCACAGGCGACCCACGGGGAAGGCCTCAGGGCCCCGCTCCCCTCCAGACCAGAAGCGGAGCACGGCCTCCAGCGCGTCGCGCTCTCGGAACTGCAGCCACGCGTGTGGGAGAGCAAGGCCCAGGATGCACAGGCGCGCCCCGCCAGCTCTCCTTGACTCCGGGCCCAGCTCAGGGGAGACACTGAGGCCCCGGGAGCCAAAGCCCCTGCTCAACGCCCACGGGGCAATCAGAGCAGGATACCCGCACCCGTAGCCCGGTCACTGTCAATCTGCCCGTCCTCCCTGCACCACTGCCTGGGACGCGGACCCCGCGCGTAGGACACCTTGAGCGCGCAGAGGCGGAGCCAGGGCAGCTCCCGCGCCAGGCGGTCGGGCTCCGGGACCAGAGGCGCCAGGCGGGCTGCCTGCGAGCGCACGAAGGCGGCCACCGGGGCCCGCAGCAACGTGTTCCCCCACACCTCCAGGAAGGTCTCGCTCCGCTCTGGGGGAGGGGAAGGGAGCGATGGGAAGGAGGAGCCCCAAGAACAACTCCCTCCTAACCCTGGTCACCCTTGCTCCTGTCCCTCGGGGAGCTCCCACCGAGTCGCATGTTTAAAACCTCCCCGTCTTTAAAATGGCAAATAGGACCTCGACCAGAGAGACAGAGAGATGCACCTTTGTAAATGTTATAGCATTAAAATGCTTGATTTTGCTTTTGGTTGTGATTTTGTCTTTGTGGTGCTGGGAATGCACCAGGGCCTTTGCACTGAGCTGCGTCTGCAGCCCTTATGCAGTTTTATTTATATACTTCAAGTTAGGGTTTTGCTAAGTTGCTCTGGCTGAGTTCCAACTTGCCCTCCTCCTGCCTCGAGTTTCAGAATGCTGGGACTACAGGCACGCGCTGCCATAGTGCTCTAGCTTTTTAACAATCTTGTGGGAGAACATACATATACATGTAATAGCATGCATGTGGATTGTGAGAGATGAGACATGTATGAAGATTTCAGCTGAGTTCAGAACTATCTGGGTTTAGTTAAATAGATTAACTTAGTCTAAAAACCGCAAGGAAGGTGCATTATGCAATACATTGTGAATGCCCAGGGCAATGGCCACCGGTTCTCCTGATAAAATGCAAAAATTGCTCAAATATATGGTGCTGACATCATATACCACAGTGCTATGAATCATCAGGGGAATTCTACTGGGGGAGGAACTTTTTATTTCCTTACCACACAGAGGATTAAGCCCAGGGCCTTCACACTGAGCTACATTTCCAGCCCCTTTTTAAAAAGAATTATTTTGAGATAGGGTCTTACTAAGTTGCCCAGGCTGGGCTCAAACTTGTGGTCCTCCTGCCTCTGCCTCCACTTCTGCATCCCATAGTGCTTGGATCAGGACCTGTACCACCACAACCTGCTGTGGGAACTTTAATGAGGCCCAGAAAGGGGTAGGTTCCTACTCCAGGCCACACAGCAAGCAAAGCAGGATGCCAGCTGCTGCCGGTGTGAGTTCGAGGCTTTGCTCTAGGCACAAGCTGGAACTGCTCCCCACCCCGCACTTGTGGAACCACTTGTGGAACCCCGGCTCTGCTGCACACAATGAGGGGGCGTGACAGCCCTGGGGACCCTGCTGAGCCCTGCACCAGCCTCTCCACAGCGACCTCACAGCATTCATTTGGTGTCCTCCTGTTCTGAGATGTCCTGTGGGTTTTCTCCTAGAATTAATTATCTGTGGTTCTAGGAGGGATGACATGAGATCTCATTTTGCAGGTGGGAAAAGCTGAGGCTGGCTATGAAACTGGGGAGCCAGGCCCAATAGTGCATGCCTGTGAACCCAGCACTCTGGGAGGCTGAGGTAGGAAGATGGGAAGTTTGAGTCTAGCTTGGGAAACTGACAGACTGAGTGAGACCCTGTCTCAAAATAAAACATTCAGCCATGCATGGAGGTGGTGCATACCTGTAATCCCAGCACTTGGGAGACTGAGGCAGGAGGAGTGCTACGAGTTTGAGGCCGGCCTGGGCTACACAGTGAGTTCAAGACCAGCCTGAACTAGGGAATGAGACCCCATCTCGAAAATAAATGTTAATAAACTAATTAATTAATAAGGGGTGGGAATGTAGCTCAGTGCAAAGGCCCTGGATTCAATCCCCAGTATTGGGGGGACAAGGGAGGAAAGAGAGAAAAAAGAAACAGAACAAGAAGAGGGGAAATAATGAACTTTTTTTGATTTCTTTCGTTTTGTTTTTGACTTTGAGGCAGGATCTCCCTATGTACTTCAGGCTCACCTTGAACCCAACACAGAGCCCAGGCTGTTCTCACACTCTGGGCGATCCTTTCTGCCTCAGCCTCCCTACTGCTGGGATTACAGGGTGTGCACCACCACACCCAGAGATCAAAACTTCTAATGTTACCACTGAAAGACGAGAGAGAACCCCGTAGGGAGACTGGGGGGGGTGTGGAATGCCTGGACTGTCCCCACTGACCTTGTAGCCCCATCTTCTCGGGGTCCTCCAGAGCAAGGCTGAAGAGAAGCATATGTCGGGCAACAGCCTCTAAGTTGTGCTCTAGCATATAGAACTGGAAGGATGAGGTGAGGAGCGTCCTGAAACTTGCACCCCTGGCCCTCACCTGCCAGGTCCCCTCCTCCACGTAGAGCTTGGGCGCGCAGAGCCCTCCTCCCCGATGCTCCTGGGGTCCCGAGACTTAGCAGGACCTCAGGTTCTTCCTTCCCAGGACTTCTTCCTACCCTGGCATCCAGCCCCTTTCTCCCAGGCCCCACAGGTGTAGAATCCCACCCCGCTCCCGGCAAAAGTTCGGCGGCCAGGGTCCTCCTCTGCCCCACCCCCTCACATTGAGCCTCCTGCGTGGCCAGTGAGCCGCCCGGGCCAGGGTGCGCAGCAGATGGCGCCCGTCCACCGAGCCCAGCAGCAGCACATTGAGCTCGTCGTTGTCCGCGACCGCGTCCGAGTCCGCGTGCACTTCAGGGCCTGGTGAGACCACAAGGGCTGGGCTGCGTCGCCGCAGCGCCCTCTGCCGTCGACGCGTGCAGCGCTACGGCCCGGCCGGCGGGGGTTGGGTGAGGCACAGGGACACCGGGAGACTCACTCTCCTCCTGCAAGTCCAGCGCCGGGGACAGGCCCCACCAGGATACCGAGCCGAAGCCCGCACCCGAGCCCGCCGGGGTGGTCATCCCTGCGGGACAGACACCTTGGGAACCCCACACTTGTGCATCCCCGTCGCCGCTCATCATTCCTTACTTCTTGGCCTTTCTCCTCCACGCAACCCTCCTCACCTTTATCCTCCAAATACCCGGGATGGCCGGCGTCTCGCTCCCACTCAAGGCTGAGTTGCTGTCCGGTGCCCCCAACCCTGCTCAGCTGCTGCCCAGAAACCCGCCCCCTTTGAAAAAACCAGCCAATGAGAACGCAGAGGATTGCCCCGCCCAGCTCAACTGACCAACAAATGTGAAGTACAACCTCCCTCTGTGAACTTTCGACCAATAGGAGCACTGAGGGACGCCTCTGGACTTGCCCGAGGGGAGGCTGTGCGGACGCGTTGTCAGAACAACCGTTGGGAGAAGGGGGTGCCTAACTAGGCTGGCTTAGCAGAGGCAAGAGGATTGGCCGAGTTCCAGGCCGCCTGGGCTACTTGACGAGTTCAAGACCAGCTTGAATGACACAGACTCCTTCGAGAGAGATAGAAAGATAGATGGATAGATAGATAGATAGAATTAAGACAGGACAGAATGGAACCTTGATGAATCCAAATTAAAGTGAGGTAGCCCAGGCTACACACCTCTGAGTCCGCTTTCCGGTCACGGCCTTTAGCTGCGCACAAGGGGCGCTCTCGCTTCTTCTGGCGGTTGTATGGTTCCGCACAGTCATTACTTAAAATTGAAGTTTTTTTGTGCACAGCGTTAAACACCTGTAATCCCAGCTATTCGAGAGGCTGAGGAAGGGTAATAGCAACTTTGAGTCCAGCCTGGGCAACTTAGTGAAACCTTGTTTCAAAAAATAAAAAGGCCTGGCATAGGGGCTGGAGATTTAGCTCAGCGGCATAAGCACCTGCCTTGCAAGCAGGCTGTCGTGAGTTCGATCCCTGGTACCGAAAAAAGACAAAAAAAAAAAAAAAAAAAAAAAAGGCCTGGCATATATATCAATGTGAAGCCCTGGGGTCTATCCCCAATATGGGGGAGGAACCCTATAAATATACAATTAAATACAATTACCTATACAACTAAATAGATCAAAATAAAAGTAAAATATTCCAAACTCTTCATTTCCCATTTTACTTATTTTATTACTACTAATCCACTTGAGGCTATTTGTATGGGGTTTTTTTGGTATCAAGAATTGAACTCATGATCTTGCACTTGCCAGGCAAGCACTTTGCTGTTGAGCTAAATCCCCAGCCCAAGGTTTTGTTTTGTTAACTTTTAGTATTTTATCCATTGTAGTGTTTGTTTGTATCAGGAGTTGAACTCATGACCTCATACTTTCCAGGCAGGCACTGCACTGCTGAGCTAAATCCCTGGCCCCACTGTAGATTTTTATGATTAATTTTTTAATGTTGTGCTGAAAAAAATATTGCACTGAAGCAGTACTGATTGCTGAGCTCTGTGTGGCTTTACCTTAAACTCTGGACCCTGCTCGGGCCCTGGGACTGCCAAGACCAGATGCTGTGCTAGTTGGCAGGCCTCTCTTCTTCACTCAGTATCAGTGTCTGAGTTACCACCTCATTGCTGGGACAAAATGCCCAACACCCACAAACAGAGGGAAGGAAGGTTTATTTCAGCTCTCAGTCCATCCTCTGCAGGCCCCAAGGCAGAGAGGGCTCAAGGGAAGAGGAAGAAGACCCTTCCAGGGATCACCATCTCCCCTCAGGCCTCACCTCCTAGCATCACCCCCAGCTATAACTCATCCTCCAGCTATAACTCATCCTCCAGCTAATGTAGAACCACATTTTCCAAAAATAAGACCTAGCTGAAAAATAATTAGTCTTGAAATCGAGACCGGTTGTTTTCCAGCTGGGCCTTATTTTTGGGGAAAGGCACTACCACACACCCATGATCGAATCACCTCTCAAAGCCCCACAGAGGAGCACATGAGACTTTGGGGGGCTTTAGCTATAAACCATAACATTCCATGACTTTAGCTATAAACCATAACATTCCATGACTTTGTGTCTGTCTCATGATGTCAGCCCTGACGGAGATATTTACAGGGTGGGAAGAGGTGAACCAGGCCCCTGGGTGCAGAAGTGGGCTCACTATGGGCGCTGTGGCCTTTGCCTTCTACGATCAGCATTGCCCTCCAGCAGTGCACGGCCTCATCCTCCCCTGGGAAAGTCCTGCTCAGTCATCCAACCCCACTGGGGAGCTCCTGCTCTGAGCCCTGTTGTGAACGACCACAGCTTGCTACCCACTGTTCTGTTTTTGGGGGCCCGGACATCAGCATCCCTGGGTACTCAGGCTCGGTGTTGGGTGCCCTTGGGCTTGTGTGGTGTGGTGCAGTGCGGTGCTTGCCAAGCATCCCCTGGGCCACACAAGCTCCCATGGCAGCCCTTAGCTGCCGGCCTCACCCAAGGTCCTCACCCTGCTTACAGCCTGTGAGGGGACAGCAGTCTGCAGGCACGGCTCACCCTCCACCCCTTCTTCAGACCCCAGAATGGCAACTACTCACCTTGGGGGCACAGCAAGGGGTCCCCCCATAGGTGGGTGTCCTTAAGCATGCACAAGATACTTTAAAATAGTAAATTACAGAGAAAACTTGGAAGAAGGTGCTTAAGAAAAATTATGAAAGCACAGTGAAAGCTGTTCAGGGAGACTTTGTCTCATTTTTGTTTTTCCAAGTTATAAGGAGTTAAATGTCTCTGGGGAAAGGATTCACCCTCTATCAAAGCAAGCTATTAGACCTGTTCATTTTACTTACTAGCAAAATGCAAAACTGCCCAATCAGAAATGAATAAAATGAGCACCGCAAATATTTATTTTGCAAATATTTGAGTTATTTCTTTTTTTTCCCATTACCATCCTGGGGATTAAATCCTCAGTACTGAGCTATAATCCTACATTTTTTTTTTTTTTTAAATTTTGAGACAGGGTTTCACTAATTTGCCCAGGGTAGGCTAAAACTTTCGGTCCTCCTGCCTCAGCCTTCCACAGTGCTGGGATTGCTGGGCGACTCAGCATTCAGACTTTCTTCCTTCTAAATGAAGCCAGCCCTCAGGCATTGGCTGCCTCCCCCCACCCCCTTTTGAACCAGCCTCATGCTCCCTTCCCTGTCTGCTTTCTGGGTACCATGGAGGACATAGGACCCAGGCACCATCATCTCAAGTGGAGCAGGTTTTTTTTTACAATTTTTTTTTTTTTGTCTTTTTTCGTTTTTATCGGTACCAGGGATTAAACTCATGACTGCCTGCTTGCAAGGCAGGCGCTTATGCCGCTGAGCTAAATCCCCAGCCCCAAGTGGAGCAGTTTTAACCCCAGGCTTAGACACAAACTTCTTAGCTATGCCATCTTGGGCAGATCAAGTGAGGTCACTCCCTTATTTGCCAACTAGGAAAATAATTGTGTTTTTATGTATTTTGTTGTTGTTGTTGTTGTTTTGAGGCAGGATCTCACTACTGACTGGCCTTGAATTCACTATGTAGCCCAAGCTGGCTTCAAACTCATGGCAATCCTGCCTCAGCCTCCTGAGTGCTGGGATAACAGGTATTCACCACACACCGAGTTTAATAACTGAATTTCCTTAATTAGATTGTGGTGAGGATTATTTTGTTCATTTTTTTTGAGACCGAGTCTCACTATGTGGTACAGACTGGTCTGGAATTCATAGCAATCCTTCTGCCCCAGCCTCCTGACTCCTGGAATTAAAGGGCCCACCCCAGCCCATAGTGAGGATTACTGGCAGTGGCAGTAATCGTAACAGTACGTGGTGCTGTCCTCACAGCTCTCCATACACACAAATTACTGCATTCCTTTGGGGAAATTTTTAAAAATCTCATAAATGTCGTAACCAACATAACTGATGTGATTCCCTTTTCTGCTGGTTCCCAGGAAGCTCAGGCTGAACCAGAACTCCACTGCCCCCACCCAGCACTCAGCCCATTCCCCACTTACTCCACCTGACACAGCTCACAGACCTTCGCCCACCACCCCAAGGCCTGCCTGGGATGAGATGGGGCCAGTGAAACAGTGGAGGGACAAACGAGCAGGTGATGCTTGTGGAGAGCATGCTGAGGGGAACGTGGGCCCCTGGCTTCCTCCTGAGACTGTGCCCTGCCTCCCAGACCCTGGGATTTCAACCAACGGTTCCAGAATCCAGTCTCCTCCATGAGAGTGGGCAGCTTGGGCTAAGCTCTGGGTTTGCATTTATTCTGGCTCCACAACACCCAACTGAACCCTAGCACACAAGGAATTTGGAGTGGACGCTGAAGAGTGAAGTGGGAGAAGCATGGGGTGTGGTGGTGCATACCTGTGACCCCAGCACTTGGGATGCCAAGCAGGAGGATCACTGTGAGTTTGAGGACAGCCTGGGCCACATAAGTGAGTGCAAGGCCAGCCTGAACTGCACAGTGAGACCCTGTCTCAAAAAGGAAGAAAAAAGAGGGGGTGGAAAGAAGGAAGGAGGGAGATAGAAGAGGAGGAGAGATGCAAACTGAGTATGGAATCCTATGTGTACATCTGTGATCGCAGCTCTCAAGAGGCTGAGGCAGAAAAAGCCCAAGTTCTAGGCCAGCCGGGGCCACTTAGGAGACACTGTCTTAAACCATAATGTGTGGAGGGCTGGGTAACGGCTTAGTGGTACAGCGCTGGCCTAGAATCCAGCTGAAAGAGCGAAGCTGCGTGAAAAGAGAGCTTTTGTGTGAGTGGGAGGTGGGGGAACGTACGAATAAGGAGGGCACTCTCCTTGACCCCTGCAGCCACAGCGCAGGCCCGTTATTATTCCAGGAAAGGAGGTGCGGGGATAAGTCAGCACATGGCAGGAGGCTCCTGGAGCTCACGGGCCGGCAACCCTCCCGTCCCATCCAGGCGCAGGCCAGGCCAGGCTGTGGAGCATTTATTTGGCTGGAGTAGTATGGGCTGTGAGGGAGGAGGGCTGATTGTCCAAGCAAAGGGAGACCTTGGGTCAGGCAGGGGCCAGACTGCTTCCCCAGGAGCTGGGACTTCGGGGTGTGGGCAGGGTTGCCACAGCGATGCAATGGACACGGTGAGAGGGGATGGCTCTGGGGCAGAGGTCAGGGCGCAGGTGGTGGCCTCACGTGGTCAGGGGGCCGCAGTGAGTGCCACTGGGCGATGGGCCGCCGGGGGTTGGCCAACATGTCTGCCCAGTGCCGCAGGCCAGCCCCACCAGTGGCCGTGCCCACTGCCACCCGCCCGATGGCCTCATTCTTGCCCAGCTTGTCGTAGTCCAGCACGGTCAGCTCCACCTGCACCTTCTGGAGGCGGGGGAAGAGGGCCATAAGGGAGGGGGCCAGGGGACTGGCAGTGGTACTGCTATGGCCACACTCTGCCAGCAGGGCTGGGGACACAGCCCTGGGGTGAGAAGCTACTCCAAAGATTTTCTTCCTTCAAAGGCAGACTTCTTTCTTTTTGGCAGGGTAAAGGCTCGAACCCCCCAAGGCCCAGTGAACACTGGGCAGGCACCCTGTGCTGGACTCCATCCCCAGGCCCAAACTGCAGATTTCTGAGGAGACAGCCCCTCGAGACAGCTGTGGCTGGTCAGGGACCCTCAGGTCGGAGCTGCTGCCCGGCTGGGTCCTGTCCACAGAGGGCCCAGGAGGCCTCTTTCTCTTAGAAACGCCCAAGGATCACATCACACCTGGCTTCCCAAGCCCGGTGGTTAAAGGGCCCCTTCTTGCAGGGGGCTGGCCTGTGACTCCCCAGGAGAGAGCAGAGGGAGGGGTGGCTGGCAGCTCACCTGGACTTGGTCAGAGGGCACCTCGAAGCTGAAGGCCTCATTGTAGTAGGGGTTCAGCGTGTTCTTCTTGATGGTGGTTTTCTTCTTGCGCACCTTTTTGCCGCCCTGCAGCAGGTGGACCTTCACGTAGGGATCTGGGTGGGAGAGGGTGGTGTCTCAGAGCCCCTTCAGGAGCCTAGAGGAGGCGGGAGAGGGGCAAGTGTGGTCTGCACGGCCGTGGAAATCCCCCACGTACTTTCTGCCTCTCTAGGCGTGCGACAGAATCTGTACCCTCTCACCGAGGCCCGGGCCACCCTCTGCACCAAAAGGCCCCAAGTCCCAGGCCAGAGCCCCAACCGCCCCCAAGCCACCTAGCTTCACACACCCGACAGTCCGCCTACATCCATCTTCTTCAGGTTTTTGGCCTCCAGGACAATGACTGTGAGCTTTCCTGCCGTGGGGACGTAGCGGAGAGAGAAGCAGATGTCCCCCAGTTTCTCCAGCTAAAACGACAGCAGGAGCCATGACCAGAGCCCGCTCTGTCTACTCCTTCCTATCCTTGACTTGAAATAGAAGTGTCCAAACTCAAGCACTCAGGTGTCAATCTAGTCCCAGGAACTGGCCCTTGGCATAGCTGCTAGAGATCTGATTGGTCCAGGGTAAGGATGGGTGGGGCTTCAAGTAGAAATGGGCGGGGCCCTAGATAGGGGTGGATGGAGCCTCGGGCAGGGATGATGGGGGCTGCACCTGCTCACCTCCTCCCTTGGAGCAGCCTGCAGTTCGCGCCAGTCCTGCACGGGCCGCCCCAAGTCCACCGAGCTCATGGGGACCCGCACCTCCCCAATGGCATCGTTGCGGGAAAAGCGGTCGAAGTCGTACACCGCCATCACCAGCACTCTGCCCCCCAGCTCCACATAGGGGACCTGTGTAAGGGGCACCGGGAGAATGAATACAAAGCAGAGGGCAGAAAATCAGTGGGGAGGCACAGGATACAGTAGGTTCGGGTAAGAGGTGTGAGTGGGTGGTGAGGGTCCAGGGAAATCAGTGGGAAATCGGGAACCCACCCACGGGGGTCAGCGGAATCCTAATGGGACCGCGCAGGGCCTAGGAGTCAGTAGTGCCCCAGGGTGCTGCAGCTCCTCCAGGGAAAACAGGTGGGGCACTCACCTTGAAGGCAAAGGTCTCCCCAAAGTGAGGGTTCAGTGTCTGCCGATGCACCTTCGTCTCATGTCGCCTGCGCTTGTCTGGCAGCAGGTAAACGCGCACATATGGGTCCGAGGAGCCACCCAGGTCCAGGGCTGCCAGCCCCTCCGCTCGCAGGATGCCCACCAACAGCTGCAGGTGCTCAGGTTCAGTTGCAGGGACCCCGATCTTAGCCTCTCTTTTAGGGCTGTCCTGGGAACACACCCCTCCTCACACCCACCTGACCACTCTGGAAGTCATAGTCCAGCGAGTACTGCAGTCGTCCTAGATCATGCTTCTCTGCTACTTGCTGCCCAGGCCCGGCTGGCATGGGCTCCAGCTCCTCTACTTCTGGCTGCACCTTAGGGAGCCAGGGGCAAGGGCAGGTGAAGTCTTCCAGATAGCAGCATCCTCCAGGTTCAAAATCATGGAGGCTCCCAGATCCCTTGAGCTATACATGGTCACTTGGAGGCCAAGCAGAGTCATGGTTTGATTAGTGATGTCTGCTCCTCAACTAGGCATGAGTGCGTAAGTTTTGTCAGTGTTTGATTAGTGCTGTCTACCACAAACAGGAACTAGACAATGCACACAGGTGCAGGACATTTCTCAGTATTTGATTAGTGATGGCTGCTATGGGCAGGGAATTGGTATAGTGGAACAAACAGTGTTTTCATGCTTAGACTAGAACAAGTGTCCATGGGAAAGATGTCAAAGGCTATTTTGCATGCTAATGGACATACTGGGGTAGCAATCCAAATTGCCACATTGGTTGGTGATCATCCCACCATAAAATGGGGAAAAGAAATGACATAGTTACTGTGTCCTTCACAGTCTAAAGCAAAACAAGAGTACCAGAAAGCTTCTCTGAGCCCAGGCCATCAATTCTCAAGATTCATTGTGAATTGGAATTCCTGAGTCTTGTGGTAAAATGTGGGGTCACTTCTTAAGGAAGTTCTGATTTGGCAGATCTGTATGACATTCCACCCTGAATTAACATGCAACAACTACTGCAGAAGACCTGATGCAGACAGACACTAGGTGCTTAGGGACACAGAGGGGACCATCCCTCTTGCTCAAAACCTTTCCTAAACTCCCGATTGCCCTCATTACATGGCTGCAGCTAAGCTGACCAGGTGTCCCACCCTAGTACTCAGCAATTTGTACTCTGCTCCCAGCCATTGTGAAAAATGACTCTTTGGTCCCCAAATGAAGTCAGGCCCAGGTATATCCCTCTCTTTGATTTGAATGCCTCTCCTTCCATGTTTTTTGTTTTTTTTTAAGACAAGGTCTTTTTATGTAGTGGAGGCTGGCCTTGAGCTCACTTTGTAGCCCGGGCTGGACTCAAGCTCATGGTGATCCTCCTGCCTCATCCTCCTGAGTGATGGGATGATAGGCGTGCACCACCATGCCTGGAAAATTGTCCTCTTTGGTCTGGGCTAACTCTGTCCCTTGTTCTCATAAAAGAAGCCACCTCTGCCAGGAAGCCTCTTATGACCCTCTAGGGCAGTGGTGGTGAATCTGTGGCACATACACTGCAATAGGTAGTTTGTTATCATTGAAAGCTCTGAAAGGCTCGCCGTCCCTGCTGTAGGCTGTCAGGTGCCCTCTCCCATCCTGCAATGCCCTGTTTTGGCCCTCATGGGACACACACCAGCCTGCATTGTGAGCCTCTGACACTCCTACCACACTCTGGTGCTCTTGTGAACAGCACCTAGATCTGGCCCATCTTCAGGCTCTGAGCTCTCAGCTGGACACACGGAAATAGAGGGACACACTGGGGTCTGGGGGAAGGTGCAAGGACTGGGACCCGCTGGGCCACCCAGAGTGCAGGGTGTACACAGGGAGGGTGCGCAGGCCCGGCCAGGCCGCACCTTGTCTATGTAACTCCGGCCCAGCTCCTTTACTTCCTGAAGGTGGACCTGGGCTTGTGCCTGGCTCTTCTTTCCCATCCGCTTCCGACAACGCTTCCGGCAGAGACAGAAACCACAACTGAAGAGCAGGAGGCCAGAGACCAGCAGGATGGTGGCCAAGGCCCAGGGCGGCACTGCGGGACGGAGGGGACTTGCATTGGTGTCCTGGGAGGCCGAAGACCAGCTCAGCTGGGACTCCGGGGAAAGCTGCAGCCCTAGCCCTGTTGACCCCTGCCACCGCCACCTTCTACATGACCTTACCTGGAAAGCCAGTAGGTGCCTCACCCAAGGCTGATGCTACTTTGCTTATGTGTTAGGCCCATACCCTTCCCACCCTAATTCTGCTCCACACCTGACATTCTTAGAAGAAGCCCTACCCCTTCCTGGACCTCAGTTTTTCTGTATGTAAAATAAAAGAGAGGACCATCCCATTCATGGACCCCAGATTCCATTCCATGCTGCACCCCGATCCCATTCTGGTCCTAACCTATTCCATCCTTTCCCTATTTCTTTCAAATTCCAGCAGAAGAACTCCCAGCTTTATCCCCAGGGGTCCGCAGCCCCGTGGAGTCAGCTCACCTGCACCACGGCCAAGGCGGCTGGAGTCGGGGGGCGCGTCGGCAGCTGGAGGCCCCGGGCTCGAGGGCTCCGGGAACATGGCGGTAGGGTTCCGCACACCTTGATGCTGAGACACGCGAGTTCCCTAGGCCCTCACTCCCACCCCGGCATCCAACGAGTTCTCCACTGCGAAGACGGCCGACCGCATGGCTTTTAGGGCCTGCTGGGAGTTGCAGTCTCAGCCTTCCCGCGATGCCAAGGAGGGCAGGGCTTTGGGATCCAAGTTCCACCCCACGGGACGCCTCCTCTCCAAGGCATCCCTGGCATTGCAAAGTCTTCTGCCTCTTCCAGGCCTGAGCCGGAAGTGGGCAAAAGGCGGGCGTGGGAACCAACAGGGCAACCACCTGGCTCTGCACCGGCTCCTCCCCGACCAGTGCGAGTACGTCTGGTTGCCAGGCAACTGTCTGTTGCCAGGACAACGGGCGGAGCTGACGCACGCAAGTGGAGTCGGGGCGGGGCCGGCTGACTCCCAGTGCTGTGCAAGCCTAGGACCCCAGCCCTGGGACCCAGACCCAGACCCCCAGCCCAGTGAGGCAGGCGAGCAGCGAGCGCCCGCCCTCTCCGTATCTGACCCTCCCCCGTTCCTGCTGGGGGTGGATTGGGGTTCCAGCTGCCTCTGCTGCGTCCCCATGTTCTCTTTGTCTGTGGGTCTCTCCCTCCCGTGCACCTCGAACCCTTGTCTTCGCACCTGCTCTCGCCACCCTCAGTTTCGTCCCTCTTGACCCAAATAGGTGTGGCCCGTCTCCCTCCTCTCCGGATCCAGTATTCCTGCCCTGCCTGTGGTCTGGCCTGGCATCTGCGGGGTGCTCCCCTCCCCCCCCCCCCAGCTCTTTGTCTCCAGCCCGGGTCTGCACGGTCTGCAGGGTTCAAGCTCCCTCTCCCATGTCCTCCCCCGCTTCTTCCCACTGTCCCCCACCCGCCCCGCGCACCTGCCCTTTTGGGATGGATGTGCCGAAGACGGGTTTGGCAGGATCCGCCGCTCCTACCTGCTTGCTGGGCGCCCGGGCAGGACTTCCGAGCTGCCTTGGCTCCCGACCCCTCCGCACGTGGGCGGCGCTGTCCCGGGTGCTGAGCGCCAGGCGGAGGGGGGGGGACCGCTCCGCCCCTCGGCCCAACCCACCCGGGAACCACAACGCTGATTCCCGCCCAGCCAGCACGGCTCCAGGGCTCCCCAACGCACAGGAGCCACACGCCTCCCACCTGGGGCTGGGACTCACGAGAATCCCTTCTGGAGATCCTGTGTCCGGCCCGCTACCACCCTGCTCTGACACAGCCCAGGAGGCGCTGACACACACACACACACACACACACACACACACACACCCGCCTCACATGCGCATGCACTCCACATGTGCGCTAGTGCCCACAGCCCAGCCCTTGGACGTAGAGGCCCTCCCTAGGCTTCAGCCGCCTATGCCTGCCAGTCTCAGGCAAAGACCCCGACCCCTCCTCTGGGACACCTGCTCCAGAGCCCAGGGCAGGAACCCGCCATCCCTCCCCCCACCCCCAGTGTCCTCTCTGGGCCCAGAAATCACTGGAGCAGCCTCTGGGGACATCCATGATTTAATAAATTAGGGTATAGCAGGAAAACAAGTGTGGTAAGGAGACCACAGGCAGGGAATCGACTTGGGCCACAGATCCTGGAAGCCTGCCTTGGCTTCCAGGAAAGGCAGAGAGGTCCGCTTGCCCATGCGCAGAGACCTTTCTGAGAGCCCTGGTGCACCCTCAGGCCACAGTGCTCTTCCAGGAGCCACCTCCCCTCGGCCTCTGCCCGGGGCCAGAGGCCGGACGTGCCGGTGCCCGGCACAGGAGGAGCCCGTGCTGCGGCCTCCCCACAGGGCCTCCCCACAGGGCCGGGAAGCCAGGGTCCAGGAACCCAGGCCCGGGACCCAGAGCTGGGGCGTGACGAGGCTGCAGGCCTGGCCCCAGGCTTAGACCTGCAGTTCGTAGGCCCCTATGGCGTTCACATTCTCGTAGATGACGTTGGCCACGTTTTCGTACTCCACCTCCTGGGTCAGCGCTTTGGCCGACAGCTCCACGTGGCGCAGAACACACTGGTGCAGGAACACGTACTGCGCCTGGGAGCAAGCAGGCGCGGGAATGAGTGCTGCTCCCGGAGCCTGTAGCCCATTGCCCATCGCCCATCGCCCATCGCCCACCGCCCACCGCCAGCCCTGGCCCGCAGCCCGGAGGGCCACCCTCACCTCCGTCTGCACCATCAGCGGCCGGCTCCGCCTCATCTTCCTCACAAAGTCGAAGGGCCCCACGAGGCCCTCACCCTCCAGCTGCCGCAGCAGGACGTCCAGAGCAATGAAGGTACCCGTGCGGCCCACGCCAGCGCTGGGCATGACAAGGTGAGGGTTAGGCGGGGTGTGCCGGGCACGCCCAGGGATCGGGGTACTCATGAGGGCCCGGAAATGGGGGTCGCCTAGCTCAGCAGAGAGCAATGACACAGCCTCCCCTGCGGCTTGGCCCCACTAAGCGCCCCACGGCTGCCTGCCCCTCGCCGGCCTGAGAAGAGGTCTGTTAGCTGGACCTGTGCTGATGCCAGGGCGGGGCTCAGACGCAGGAAGAGGAGCTCCTGGATGAGGGCTTGCAAATCTTTTTAAACCACTTTAATGGATAAATCCAGTGGTATTTTGTACATTTACAATGCTGTGCAAAACACTTCCATTGCCCCAAGAGGAGACCCTGCACTCATGAAGCAGTTACTCCTGTTCCCCTTCTCCCTCCAGCCCCCGGAAATCTGTCTTCTGTCTCTGAGGAGTTAGCTGTTCTGGATATCACATTAGTACAACTGGGCACTATGTGTTTTTCATTCTGTTTGGTTTCTTTCACTGACATAGTCTCCTCTTCTTTTCTTTTCTTTTCTTTTCTTTTCTTTTCTTTTCTTTTCTTTTCTTGAAACAGCCTCACTGTCTAGTCCAGGTTGGCCTAGAGCATGTCCTCCTGTCTCAGCCTCCCTAGTGCTGTGACTACAGGCGTGCACCGCCATGCGTGGCTTCAAATAATGTTTTCAATCTTTCCTTTTCTTTGAGACAGGTTGTCAATAAATTGCCGAGACTGGCCTTGAACTTGCAATCTTCCTGCCTTAATTTCCCAGAGTGCTGGGATCATAGGTATCACACCACCTTGTTTGGTGTGATAATCACCTTAATTAACTATTCCCTAACTGGATTAGGGAGAAAGAACCGCAGGGTGCAGGGGCTCTCTCCAGAGGGTTCCCCTGGGGATGGGGCCAGAGCCACAACCCAGCACAGCCCACAGCCACCTTGGACACCAGGCAGGAGCCACTCCAGCTTGGTTGCTTGCTGCAGGCTTTGAACCTGAGAACCCAAACTTCCTGATCTGGTTTCTTCTAAAATGGGAGGAAAGCCCTTTGTCCTGAGGGTGCTAAGGACCAGTAGACTGCTGTGTGAATTCCCTAAGCATTGCTTAAGACTGAAACCGCACCCCAGTTTCAGGGGCCAGCACCTAGGAGACGCCCCCTCCTCATCCTGACCCCGGAAGGCTGAAAGGAAGCCTTGGCAGGGAGGCACCCTGGGCTGCAGCTCCTGCTCCCTGAGCTCTGCTCCCCTGCTCCTCATCCAGGTTCTGCCCCCACCTTCCGACTCCCCTTCTGTCCTCCCTGTCCGTCCTCCACCCTCGGTGGGTGGCACTGTGCTCTTTCTCATCTGTGGCCTGATCTCCATGGCTCACCTGCCTCTCCCCTTCCTCCTTTGTAGTTCCAGGGACCCAGGGCTGTCATTCACATTTCCCAGGGCGGCAGGCAGACTCCAGACTGACTCACCTGCAGTGCACAATGGGTGGGCCCCCTGCCGGGGTCTGGTCCAGCCACTGCCTCACCATCTTCCAGAAAGCCAGCAAGGGGTCTGGGGAGGGTGGCACACCATGGTCTGGCCAAGCCAGGTAGTGGAAGTGTCGCACATGAAGGGTCTTCCGCTCCTCTATCTGGAAGGAAAGAGTTCATGGGCCCAGAACACCTGGGGGATCCCCTGGAGACCTAGGAGACCCCTGGAGACCTGAGCAGACCCTAGGAGACCTGGGTGGCCTCTTGGAGATCTGAGTGGACCCCTGGAGACCTGAGTGACACCCTGAAGACCCAGAAAGCCCCCTGGAGCACTGTGAGGAGCCAGAACTCACGTGGAGCAGCTTCAGGTCCCGCACCGCCCAGTTCTCTGTCACCTCATCACCCACCAGGGCCACCTGAAGGTTCCCGTGGGTGCAGGGCTGGCTGTCCACAGGCCAGTACTGCTCACACTTCACCTGCAGAGGACACAGCTGTCAAGAAGCAGTTCACAGGTCTCCTGCTTTGGTTGGCAAAGACTCTGCCCTGGCACTGGGGAGGAACCTGTGGGTGGAGGGGCCCAGACTCATGCCAGTTGCAAAGACCCTGCCATCCTGAGTGTGACCAGCTCACCCCCTGCTGTGGCTGTGTCCCCTGAAGTCCATGTGCTGGAAATGTCATCCCCAAAGTCCCATGTTAATTGCACCTGGAGGTGGGGCTTTGGGGAGTGGCTGGGATTCCATGAGGTGATGAGGGGGGCCCGTGGTGGAATCTGTGGCTTTCTGAGAAGAGGAAGAGAGCCCTGAGCCTGCAGCTGGTTCTGTCTCGAGGGTGATGCCTCTGCCACAGAGTGACACAGACTGCTATCCCTGGCCAACACCCTGACATCCACTTCTCAGCCTGGGAGGGTCAGTATCCCTGGCGGGGGTAGGGCCAGGTGACAGCGCCAGGACAGGACAGGCCCCACGCTCACCCGGCTGGACTCCAGGCAGTTGGTGAGCATCACAATGGTGTGACTCTGCTGCTCCCATACCAGGCGCCAGAAGTCAGGTACAGTCTGTGGCAGGGGGCCCTGGGTTGCGATGAAATCCTGGGGACTCTGGAGACCCTGGGGGAGGAAGGCAGGCAGGGGCGGGGCATGAGCCGGCTCCTCTGGCCCATGTCCACAGGTTCCCATTCCCCCAAGCCAAACCCCAACCTTACAGGCACAAAGCTGGCATTGATGTAGTTGGAGCCTGGCTGGTCCTCGAGGGGCTGCAGGGGCACCCGTGACCAGTCATCTGGGAGCAGGCACAGAGAGGGTGAGGGATGGGTCAGACCCAGGGGAGGTCATGGCCACAGGCAGAGGGACACAGGGCTGACCAGAAAGACTGAAATCTGCGCTGGGACCGGAGAAAGTTGCAGGGTGCAGGGCGAGGGCTCGGGGCATGGGGTGTGGGCACTGGTGGGCAGGAAGCCAGGACTCACAGGGCAGCACATTTCTGTAGCGGTTCTTGGCCTTGTTCTCCAGGGCCGAGGCCGTTGTCTGCGACTGGCCCTCGCCCTCCTGGCACAGTCGCTGTGGGAGAGCAGAGCAGTGTGTGTGGGCTTTCTCCATGGGCCCAAGTACGCCCTCTGCAGCACCCACAGAGACACCTGGCTGCTACTCCAGAGAGCAGCCGAGGGCACAGGGGCCTGCTGCGGATGTCAAGCGAGCAGGGCCGGGAGGCCCCACAGGCAGACCACTGCCTTGGGGAACCAGAGCAAGCGCGGGGCTGTGCTTGACCGGAAGGAAGGGTGAGGGGAAGCCGCCTCACCTGGTACTCCTCTGAGAAGCCCCGGTTACTGTCCTTCTCGTTTCTCCTGACATGGTCAGCGAAGTCCTTGGCCAGAATGTCCCCTGGGAAGAAGCTGTAGAGGGAGAAGGGGAGAGAAGTTCAGAACTCCCTTCTCCTGTGCTTTTGGGGTAAATAAAAAGGGGATTCTGATCTAGCAATGCCACTTTGGGGTAAACATCCCAAAGAAATGAAAGAGGGGATCAGTGAGGTGCTTGTGCCCCTGTGGTCTTCATAGCATTATTCACAGCAGCCCAAGGGGGAAGCAGTCCCAGCCCCATCACAGATGAGCGCATAAAGAAAACATGGCCCATCTATGCCGTGGAGTATTACTCAGCCACAAAAAGGACAGGAATGCTGACACGCACTAAATGAATTAAGCTAGTCCACACACACATACACACACACACACACACACACACACACGCGCGCGCGCACTCATGTATATACCACACACACACACAAGATGATGTTCCACTCATTTGAGGGACTTCTGGGAATCAAACTTAAGAGACACAAAGAGAATTGGTGGTTGCCAGGAGCAAGGGGCTCATCACCTAATGGACATGGAGTTTTGCAAGAGGAAACAGTCCTGGAGATGAGCAGTAGTGGTGGCCACACAGCTATGTGCTTAACCTTGCTGCATGGCAAACTCTAAAATGGTCAAGGTGCCAGGCTTGAACCTGTGATCCTCCCACCTCGGCCTCCTTTGTAACTGGGATTACAGGTGTGTGCCACCACATTCAGTTGTAATTTGAAAGATACTCTCTCCTCTCCCTCTGCCTTCAGTGTGGAGGTGTGCTGGCTCCCTTGGCCAGGCCCCAGGCACACTGAGTCGTCAATACCGTTGAGGCCTGAGCCTATGCTCCATGTTTGCTCCGCAGTAGCCTGGAGAAGCCTTGGCCCACAGCTCCACCCCACCTCCTCCTCCTGCCCAGCCCTTGGGGCTTCCCTGCCCGGTGCCTCAGGGTGGGCTGCGGCCATTGCCTCAGGGTGGGCTGCGGTGTGACCAACCCAGGCACCTCGCACTGGCATCAAACTCACAATGATCTTCCTGCCTCAGCCTCTCAACTGCTGAGATTATGTCCTGGGCTTTTGTCCTTGGCTGTAGTTTTGTTTTCTCTCGACAGAATATCACCAATTCCTACACCCAGGTCACCTGAACTTTGAAGCCATTTTCCCACCCACAGCCTAGGTGTCCTGGGAGGTCCTTGTGCTGACAGGCAAACATTCTTTGTTGGAGAGAGAACTAGGGATTGCACCAAGGGCCTTTCCACTGAGCTGCATCCTCAACCTTGGCTCTTGGGTTGTGTTTTTTGTTTTGGGGTTTTTTATCTTTTTGTGACAGGGTCTTGCTATGCAGTTCAGGCTGGTCTTGAACTTACTCTGTAGTCCAGGCTGGCTTCGAACTTATGATGATCTTCCTGCCTCAGCCTCTTGAGTGGTGAGACTACAGGTGTGCGCATCACCACACCCAGCACCCAATCTCTTTTAAAAATTGTTGTTGTTGTTTTACAACAGAGTCTTCCTAAATCACTAAGTTGCCCAGGCTGGGCTCAAATTTGTGATCCTTCTGCCCCGCCTCCCAGAGTTCTGGAGTTATACACATGCACCACCACAAGGATTCAAACACATGTACTGAAGTTGTGGGTAGCAAGTGTTCAACGGAGTGGGGTCAACTCTGTGCAGTAGGATGTGGCTGATGCTGCCCACGGCCCAAGGCCCAGGACTCCCTGGGGACCCAGTGAGGGTCCCAGCTTTCATGGTAAAGAAGAAACAGGACCCACTTCTGCCCACACCCGTGCGTACTGCTGTGCACATCCACAACCCAAGCCCACATCTTGGTCTTTAGCTCGTCCTGTGGTTGCCTGGGCTCCCCACCCCTCCTCCTCCACCTAACGTAGGGGTCTGGGCCTGAGTTACCAAGGAACCTGCTCTCCATGCCACTGGCTCCCCGGGCCACAGAGGCGCGTCCAGCTCACACTCTCCCAAGGCCGCATGCTCCCCAGCTCTGGCCTCCTCAACAGCTAGCTGGCACGTGGGACTGCCCCTACCCTGCCCTGTGGCCTTGCTGATCCCGGAGTCACCCCTGAGCCACCCACCCAACAGTCCCCCACTGCCCCATCTCCAGCAGAAGCTCTCTGAAATCCAGCCACCTCAGCCCCCAGCTGGCCACTGTCACACTCCCACCTCTGTCTCTTCTTCACCATGGTGGGTTGTGTCACTGGTCTCCCCCAAACCTCCAAGTCTCCATGTCAGAATATGCCTTTGCCCCTTGCTTCCACCCACAGGCTCTGCCTGACCTGGCCACATCTGGTCCCCTAGGGTCCCTTCCTCAGGGCCTCCCTCCCCCTGCTCATGCCTTGCGTGGCTGGCCTCTTTCCCAACGCCTTCCCCGGGTGTCAGGACTCCTCTCCTCACTGCCTCTGGGGCAAGTCTCCTCTTAGGCCTCTCATTTGATTGACTGATGCTTGAGTTTTGTGAGACAGGGCCTCGTGACGTAGCTTAGGCTGGCTTCAAACTCAAAATCTTCCTGCCTCAGCCTCCAGATGGTGGGATTACAGGACCTTGTTATAATGTTCCTCTACATCCTGTCCTTTGCTCTTGCTTTGCCAACAAACATAGTTCCTAATCCAAATTATTCTGCCTAGTAATGTCTTCTCTTGGTGGAATATAAACATCACAAGGGCAAGCCTCTTTAACTTACTGTTTCCTGGCAGAGTGCCCGATAGACTTTAGTGCTCAGTGGAAAGCTGATGAATAGAGGAATGAGTGAAGGAATGAGTGGAAGGCCTTGCTGGTGAGACAGGAACTGACTCTAGGCACCAGCTCAGGGCAGTGGGTGCGGAGCGGCCCCGTCCTCTGCCCTGTCAGAGAGCAGCAAACACAAAGACTGCCGGAAGCCACTAGCTTCCTAGGCCTCTGCTCACCTGAATGCCAAGTCCTGGGGCGTTTCCTGCTTCTGGTGCTTCCTGTTCCTGGGAAGGATAGTGGGGCAGCGGAAGGTGAGGCACAGGCTGCAGGCTTCCTTGCAGGCCTGCGGTCTCTCAGCGGCCAGCCCCACACCACATGGAGTCTCACCTCTTCTTCAGGAACAAAACCAGCAGGCCCACGAGGATGAGGATCAGGAGCACACCCACAACCACTCCAGCGATGACACCTGGGGAGGAGCCGGGGAGCCCTTAGAGCCCAGCCCTGGCCTCCTGATCTCCTGCCCCAGCCTCCCCAGCTCTGCATAGTAAAGACATTGAGGCAGAGAGGGACAGGAAACACTCTAGACAAAGCCCTGGCTCCCTCACTTTCCCTCTGCAGGTCCCCCAGGCCTGATCAAAACAATAAGGGTGAGGGGTGCATTGCAGCCGCTCCCCCGTCCTTGGCCTGGACAGAGGTTCTTGGTCCCTGGCTGTAGGGTAGACTGGCGCCCACGGCCCAGGTCCATCTCTGCACAGGCCCAGGCCGCTCGACAGTCCCCAGCAGCGCCCAAGGCCTGCTCATCCTCTTGTCCTCATCTTCTCATGGCCAGTCCTATACCCCCAAAAGAGAAGACGGTCCCCTTGGAACCTGGGCCTAAGAGACTGAGCTGCCCCAGGCCACGGAGCCTGGCGAGGTGCACTGGAAAGCACCCACTTATCCTTGCCACGGCCTCCCCCAGTCTCTCCACCCTGGACACCCAGTGTTCCAAGAGGCTCTGCCTCCAGGGAAGGGATGAACAGGACAAAGTGAGGTCTGCAGCCAAGGCACATGGTCAGAACTTTCCAAATTCAAGCTCCACACCTCTTCAGGCATCCCACTGATAAATGGTATGGCCACATTTGGTAAAAATCTGGCAAACAGCCAGCTACCATACAACCCAGCAATTCTACTCTTGGGTATATGCCCCCCAAAAATAATACATTCACACAAAAACTTGTGCACAAATGTTCGTATCAGCCTTAATTCACAACAGCCCCAAAATGGAAATTAACCTCTAATTTGTTAACCTATAAGTGGATAAATAAAATGTGGTACATCCACACAATGGAATATTACTCTGCAGTAAAAAGGAAGGAAGGAATTATTCATGAAATCATGGGCTGACCAGGGCAGGGTGATGGGAATAGTGAATTAAGAGCGATGGTGAAAGGGGTGAGTTTTCTTTCTGGAGTAATGAAATGCTCTAAAACTAGCAGTGTTGATGGCTGCACAATGTTGCTAGTATACTAAATGTTATGGTTTATGTCTAGATGTCCCCCCAAAACCTCATGCAGTTATAGCCCAATGCTGGGATCAGAGTGTGAGTGCTACACTGGCCCTGGTGGGTGGCCTGCATATAATATAAAGGAGGGAAAGAGGCTTGCTCCTCCCTCTTACCCCTTTTCCTCTTGCTGCTTTTGGTGTCTTCTGCCACCATGAATTGTTGCCCTTGTGCCATGTGCCACTCCACCTTGGAGACAGCTGATTATGAAATGAAACCTCCATAAAATGTGAGCTAAATAAACCTTTCCTTCCTTCATCTTGGGCATTGGGTATTTTGTCTCAGCAATGAGAGAAAAGAAACCCACACACTAAATATCACTGTGTTGCATCATCAGTGTGTCTGTGTACTCCCAAGCTGAATTAATCACCATGAGCAGTATGTGTGTAAAGTGCTGCGTGGTACACCCTCAGGAAGTTGTCTCACAGCAAAAAGGCCCCCAAAGGCCCCCGGGGACTCCCTCCCACGAGGGCTCCCAGTGCCCCCCCTGCTCACCTGCACTCTCAGTTTGGCAGGTCACCGAGGCAGATTTAGCTCTCAGACCGTGCCAGAGGGTTACCACGGTGGCTGTGTAGGACTGAGCTGGCCCAAAGCCCAACAGATGCACGTGGTTCCCGCATGAAGAGTTGTCCTGGGTGCTCCGCTGCATGCCCACCTCCAGCTCAAAGCCTTCATACCCTCCAGAGGGACAGGACCAGTTCAGGAGGAGCCCATAGCCCCCCGAGGTGCTGACGCAGGAGACCAAGGTGACCGAGTTGGGAGCTGAGAAGGAAAGGTGGAGTGTAAAGGTGGATGTCCTAAATACTCTACAATGCTTTCATCTACTTGAATGGTGTTACACTGTCTTGATATGTTTGATGCTGTAGCATATGAAGTTATACTCAAATATTTCAAGGAAAAAGACACTATGGTAACTACTATTAAGTCGGGTTATTTGGTGGTGAAGCACTAGGTTGCTGAAAGTGTCATGCTTTAACCTGTATTGTTATGTTGTTATGCCCCCTTTTATCTCAACCTCTCCCTTATTCATTAAAAATTTATTTAATTTTTTAAATTTCTTTTTTAAACTAAGGGGAAAAATAAAAAAAACTAGCAGGATATATTATAGTAACTTTTTTGATTTCCTATTAACTTGAAGTCCTGTAATACCCCCATTATCTTGTTTTGACTGATTAGACTCTATTCTGCTCTGTATTAAAGTATCAAGTATCAGAGTATAGGTAACTACTTTAAAGGCAATAAGATTCACTATGATGCCCATTCTGGTTTGACTAGTATCCTCTTTTGAGGTTCTGTAAGATTTACAATGTTTAGGTTTTATTGGTCTTGTTCTCTACTGTTTTGTTCAACTTTATAATACCTAATGAGATAGACAATTCTTCTTAAGGAAGCAAGAGGCATTATGGTAACCATTGTTGATAACCTTGTACTCTGTTTTTACATCATGTGCTATGTCTATCCTTGGTTTTGACTGACAACTTTGTTTTATCATGCTTGATTTTATTCTCTTACAAAAAAAAGTAATAAGATCTAAGGGAGCAATAAAACCCAAAATGTGTAAATTTTGTTGTAATAAAGAGAGGGAAAAAAAGTGCCCTAAAGGATACAACAGCAAGGGTGTTTAGGTGTGTTAAATAGAAGACCATATTAATATTTTTGATTGGATTACTGAACACAACTATTTGCAGTCTCACTGTTTGAATGTTCACTTTGTATGCTTTGATCCTGTGACCTGAAACATCGTTTCTAAGATGATAGCGTGTAATCTATTAACTGGTGATAGCTTACTGGGTTTTTTTTTTTTTTTGTAGTTCTGAATTACTTGTACCCTTACACTGTTTTGTTTTGTTCTGCTTTTTTTCTATTTTTCCTTTTAAATTAAAAAAAAAAAAGGTGGATGTCCTCAGAGGGTCTGCTCTTCCCAGCAATGCCAAGTGGCCTGGCCATCCCAGGCCCTGGCAGATGGGACGAAGCCACAAAGAACCTAGAAACTCAAGACCTGGCAAGGACCAGCACCGTCTGAGCTCTCTCTGACCCCCGAGCCTCACCTACCACCTTCCTGTTCTCGCACAGTAGACACATGTTCCCTCCCACTGCAGTCCGAGGGAGCCCTCTGTTTCTACATTCTTGCAGCCTGTGCAGTTCTGAGACCCAGACGTTGCATTACTTGAAGTGCACTTACCTCCCAGCCCACAGAGCCTGGTCTGTCTCTGGCCCCTCCCATCCCATTCCTAGATACACTGTGTCGCTAGAGCGGCTTCCCACTTGAGTCTGCTTGGCCAAGAAGGCCAAGAGAGATGCCCAGGGCCCATGTGCCCACAGTGAAACCAGTCTCTGGAGCAATTCTGATTCTGCTGGTACCTGGAACCCGCACGTGTGGGCTAAGAGATGACTTAGTGGAATCACCTGCTGACCAGGGTCCAGTGAGTGAGGCGGTCAGTCCCTGGCAGGTGGTAGTAACTCTCCTCCCTGACCCCAAATGGACCCAGGGTTTGGGACCCAGAGAGAGCCCCATGGTTTGGAAATCCCTGCCTGCTAAAGAATGACAGCTCCCAGAAGCAGCACATACCATCCAAACTCTAGGGGGATCATCAGGGTCCCCAAGCTCTCTCATTCCCAGCAATCTCCTAAAGCCCCCGATTCTTTCCCACTGCCATCCTAGTCAGACTGCATCACGCTGGGGCCTTGCTGAGCGTGCACTGGCACCACCCCGGCTGTGCCTCTTAGTCCCGCCTGCAGCACCCACAGCGTCTGTAGAGCTTTGGGTCCCAGTGGCAAAACTGCCCCTTGACGCGTGAGGTCCCATAGGTGCACAGGGAAGACTGGAGCACAGTGGAGCTGTCCTGCCCAGAGTGATGGAGCCATCAGGTTGGTGCTACAGCCCAAGGCTGGTTACAGCATTAGGGGACTGGTAAAGGGAGTAGGGTCAGGACCTCCAGGACACTGTGATGGACCCTGCTTCATGCAGCCTGGTCCCCGAAGCTTCTTAGGAACAGAATCCTGCAGTCACGGTCTGGCAGCAGCACAGACCGCCTTTCCTCTTCAGGGCACAATCACCCACTCCATGTGTGTGGCTCCCCCAGAGGGAGGAAGCTGTGTATTAAACAGCCAGCTCCTACCACACATAAGCCCATACTAGGCAACTTGGTGACTAGCAAGATCCTGGCTCACAATGAAAAGTAAAAGGGGCTGGGGAAGATGTAGATCAGTGCAAAGGCCCTAGGTTCCATCCCCACCACCCTAAATAAAAGTGCCCTTTGCCTTCCCATGAGTGGGAAGAGCTGAGAGCCAGCAAGGAAAACCAGAAGAGTGGAACAGCTTCAGGAAGCACGCAGGGTTTCGGAAAAGCTCGAATGCACAACAGACAGGCAAAGCAAGGAAAGGTGAAAAGTGTCAGTGCTGCCTCTCCAAGGACACAGAGAGGATGGGACCAGGGCTGGCTTTGAGAAGAAACCCACTGTGGCCTCCACATAACTGGGGTTGGAGGCAGAGCCAGGGCCACTGTGCTGGGGCTCGCTGTTGGGGCTCAGCCACCCCAGGCCTCAGCAGCCCTGGCATAGCCTCTCTTTGTTGTGGCCGGCTGGGAGACAGTACCGGAGGGCAGAGTTGGTGGTGAAGCCTCTGGGAACGCAGGTAGTACTAGGTAGTACTAGGGTGCAGAGGGCAGGTACAGATAGCGCCTACCCTGCAAGGATGAGGCCCCTCCTGCGAGGTTCTCTGAAGGGTTGGGTCTGAAAGTGCCGATGAGCCTAGGGTACTGCTGGGCTGTAGTCTCTGAGCCCTTCAGCCCAGAACTAGCAGTCTCTGCCATTTGTTCAGGGTTACACCTCTGCTTGGATGTTTGCCCCATCCAGCGGCAGGGCACAGGGCCCTGTAGAGCAACCAGGCACCTCACCAGCTCCTGAGCCACCCAGGCAGCTCAGGACAGCAGAGGCTGGGGGCAGGGGCAGAAGGAAATAAACAAATGATCAAGAGGTGTGGAGGGAACACAGCCCTGAGGTGACAGCATACCACAGACCAGCCTGGCCCACCAGAAAGGTGGGGCCCGTCAGGAGAGCATGGGCAGGCACACACAGGCACAGCGTGAATCCCGAGTGACCCCTTGGCTGGAGATTTCAGGATTACGGGTTGGGGAAGAAACCATCAGCCCAGAGGAAGTCTTTTTACTCATCTTTCTTTCTTTCTTTCTTTCTATGTGTTGTTTCTTCCTCTTTTGTCTAATTTTATTTACTTTTTATTTGGATTTATTTCTCACTCTTTGTGCCTCCTCTTTCTCATCTTCCTTTTCTTTGTTAAGCTCTTGGATTTTCTTCCATTTTTCCTTTCCCTACCCCTTTCACTTTTATTATTATTACTTTAACATTATTGCTTTTCCCTTTCTCAATTTTTAGTCTTTTAGTTTATACTTCTATTATTACTGCCCTTTCTCTTCTATTATTAACAGGGATATAGTTGTTGCTTTCAACTAGTTTTTATTATATTTCAGTATCTGGCTTGTCTTTGCGTCACTGTTTTTTCTACTCTGAGTGGCACTGGAGATCCAGGCCTCAAAGGAAGGTGGGTAATTAAGAATACCTTCACAAAAAAGTAGAAGAGATATCCACCCCAACAGAAGCACCAATCACAGCAGAGAAATACAAGACATCCAAAACCCAGGCAACATGATTCCTCCAAACCCCATAACTCATCAGTACCTGAATGCAAAGATACTGAAATGGACAAAATGCCAGACAAGAATTCAAAAGACTATTTTTAAAATAACCTATGACTCCACAGAGAATACAAACAAACATTTAAATGAATTCAAGAAGACAATATAAGCTATGAAGGAGCAATTCAACAGAGATGGAGATTCTGAAAAAGAACCAAACAGAAACCTTGGAAATCAGCTCAATAAGTCAAATCAAAAACCTAGTGGAAAGCTTCACCAATAGACTGGATCGAGCAGGTGATAGAATTTCAGAGGTTAAAGAAAAGGGTGATGAATTATTATTACTCTCTAAGAGTAATAAAAAATCATATACCAAATATTCACAAACTCTAGGACACAATAGACCAAGCATGAATTTTTGGTATAGAACAGGGTACTGAGGTACAGGTGAAATGCATAGAAAATGTATTTAGTAAAATAATAACCAAAAATCTCCCAAATCTCAGGAAAGATTTGAACATCCAGGTACAGGAAGCATTTAGAACCCCAAATAGGTTATGACCAGAGAAGAACCTTCTCCTGTTGCATTACAATTAAAATGCCAAAAGTACAGAACAAGGAAAGAATATTAAAAGCAGCAAGAAAAAAAATGGCAAAAACATCATTATAAAGGCAAAGACTTTAGAATAATTGTAGATTTTTTAGCAAAAATTCTAAAGGCCAGGAGGCTTTGGAATGATGTATTTCCAACCTGATAGGAAATGTCAACCTAGATTACTATCTCCAGGCAAGCTATCTTCAAAATCAAATGACAAATACATATCTTCCAAGATAACCATAAACTAAAGGAACTCAGAACTACTAAGCCAATACTGAAGAAGAAGCGTGAAGGAATAATGCACATGGAAGACAGAGTAGACAAGAAAATGAGAATTAGAAAAGGACCAAACAGTACAAAAACAAAATGGCAGGAATTAAGACATACTTTTTATAATAATTCTGTATGTAAATGATCTTAATTCTCCAACTGAAAGATAGACTCGCAGAGTGGATTTAAAAATTTAAAAAGCGACCCAACTGTTTGCTAGCTATAAGAAACACATCACCAATA